AATCTCCCAATCTTCGAGAGCAGCCAGAGCCATAAGTATGCGCAGAGATTCGTAGCGCAATACTGGCGAGAAGGTCTCATCATAGTCAAACCCATGAACCTGAGTGAATCCCTTGGCAACAAGTCGTGCTTTGAAACGACCGTCACGCTTCCTGCTAAACACCCATCTGCATTTGACAGTCTTTCGACCGCGTGGAAGGCTGGTCAAATCCCAAGTACAGTTTTCCTCGAGAGAGTCCAGTTCTTCGCGCATTGCGCGCTCCCACTTGAGTGCATCCGGGCTCTTTGCTACGTCCCGCACGTTCTGAGGCAAGTCATGCTCAGCTTGGGCAGCTGATAACATGGACTCAATGCTGCTAGGCCTCTGATACGTAGTTCCATCCGGCATAATGCGGGGCTTATTCCGACGAGGGCGGCGATGGGCAATCGGGCGATCGTCTATCGGGCCAGGCATTAGGGGTACTTCTCGCGATCCCGTGACAGGACCTTGTTGCGCGAGGGGTGCCGGTGGCGGTGGGAGAGCAGGAGGTGGTATGCTTGCATAAGGCGTTGCAGGCGCAGGATTATTGATAAGGTCAGGGAAGGTTTCCTCGAATGGTGTGAACGGCTCCGGTCCAGAGGACACATTGCCGGTGACTAGCTTGGACTTGGCAGGGAATACTCGCTCATCGAACTCAACATTTGAAGAGACTCGTATCTTGCGTTGATTCGGATCCCACACTTTCCAAGCTTTTGTCTCTCGTTCGTATCCAACAAAGATGTGGTCGGGGCGTCCATGCTCCAACCCTTTCGGGCGTTTTTCAACATCCACATAGAGAGACGCCTTGCATCCAAACACACGGAAATAAGAGACGTCTGGCTTCCTTCCAAGCCACAGTTCCGCAGGTGTTCGCCATCCCAATCGTGCCATAGGTTGTCTATTATGAACGTGGACAGATGCATCCATAGCACATTGCCAGAAGCCTTTGGATAGGCCGGCATCGAGGTGCATGCATTCCGCTTTCTCGTAGGCTGTGCGATTCCAACGTTCAGACCTCCCATTTTGCTGTGGTTCGCGTGGCGCGGACTTAGGGTGCATAATACCACGTGCATTGAGCCAGGCTGTGAGTTCATTGGACATATATTCGCCTCCACGATCTGACCGGAAGGCCAGTACTTTTGTGCCAAGCTGACGCTCTGTAAGGGCAACAAAGTTTTTAATCGCAGTAGAGGCTTGGTCCTTTGATTTAATGAACACCATCATGCCAAAGCTCGAGAAATCGTCGTAGAACGAAATTGTGTAGCGTGAACCTTCCAACGACTGAGTAGGCCAGGGGCCCATCAAATCAGTGTGGATAAGCTCGAGGGGTTTGCTAGCACGTTTCTCTGATGCAGGGTACGGATGCTTGTGCTGTTTTCCAAGCATACATCCATCGCACATGCCGCGCTGGTCTTTATTGCGTCGCAAGGGGGGAACACCTTCAACTTGTGTCGGCAAGTGAGAAAGGGTCCTCCGAGCCGCATGACCAAAACGCTTATGCCACAATTCACGATCGGTAGTTTCCAGGGAAGCGAGCGCGGTAGACTCGTGAGATGCAGACACAGATGGTGCCACGAGCTCCTCGGGGTAGTACCAGTAGCAGCGATTGCTTGCTTTAAAGGTCATCAAGACATCCCCATGCGCTTTTCCCTTGTTGAGCCAATCCTTGGTGACTAGGATTGCCTTGTTGTCACCAACCACGGTGTAGTAACCAGCCTGATCGAGCGCATACCCAGAAAGATAGCGCCCTCTTATGTGCGGGTTGTAGATGACATCCTTCAACGTGAAGGTGTAGTCCATGCCACTACTAGTATGACCCCGCAACACAATATCTCCAACGGCTTCATTCCTGAAGCGAGCTCCCGACCCAACGACTACATAGGTGTCGATAGGTCTGATGTTGTGAAGATCGGATCGGGTGTTTGTCATATGATGCGTACAACCCGAGTCCCATAGAAAACGAACTTTGGAGTCGTCTCCCATTTCTTCAACAAAAATTCCATCATCAATGTGTTTGAGGGAGTCACTCATGAGATAGGACGAAATGTGCATTCCATTGGAGGCAGCTGCAACCGCGGGAGCGGCTACAACTTCTTTTACAGCGCTAGTACCATCACCACTCTTCTTCTCCTTCTTCTTTTTCTTCTTCCCCTCATCCTGCTTCCCCTTGCCTTTGTCAGAAGATTGACCAGTAGGCTTGAGGTTGGGATACTTCTTGTAGCAGGATGCCGCAACGTGACCGGACTTGTTACAATGAGTGCAGCGGGTGGCAAGGGACGGAACGGTGGAAATCATCGAGTTCGACGTCGTGTCGAGGTTCTCGATTTTGATATTCCCTATGACGCTGTTCTTGACATCGACCGGGTTCAAGGAAGCGATAGGACGATTGGCCAGGTAAGAGGTGACGAAACCTCTACTGGAAGCGGGCAAGGCGGCGAGCATGAGAGTAGCAAAGAGGTAGTCGGGGATCTCGATTCCTCCTTCTGAACACTGGCGACGACGAGTCTCCATTTCCATGATCTGTTTTTCAATGGTATCACCACCGTGAAAGGTGGTGGTGTTCAGGAGGCGGTACTCGACGAAAGCATCGATGGCATTTGGCTGGCCATAATCCGTCGCCATTTTCGCAAAAACCTCGCGCGCAGTGCGCTCCCGCTGACCATCCATAAAGATTCCCTTGCGCAGATTCTGGGTGATGTAAACCCGCGCAAGACCCAGTGCCTTTTCATTGGCAACGTCCCATTGATATTGGCTGTCGCCAGCCGTTCCAGGACGCTCCATAGAACCAGGGTTCGAGGTAGATGTGCCGTTAACCGTAATATGAGTGGGTTTAACCACTCCCCAAGTGCCCTGATGCATGCAGATGCTCATGTAGTTGTCCGACCACGTATTCCAATTGGTGCCATCGAAGACACTCAGAATGGAGTTGTTGAGTTTCTCGATTCCCGACATGGTGGGGAGATACTCGATAACGTCGGCGGTTTGGTAATGAAGAGAGGGGAATTCGATATAGGGAGGATCACCGAATAGGGAACGAAGTTCAGGAGTCCAATCGTCCTGATGGTGAAATAGATCTTCGTTGTCGTGTTCACCAAGTTCGTATAGGTCTTCCCAATCGGTGTCTTGAAGGGTAGTGTAAGAAGGTCCCTGAGCCCAACGGACAACAGGAAATAGGATAACCCCAACGGGAGGGTCGTCTGGTGATGACAGGGTGATAGAGATGGAGACTAGAGCGACGAAGTCAGCCCCAGATTCTCTGCAGACCAAGAAACAAATCCCAAGTGCCAAATCTCTGAAACGAGAACGACCAAGCGTCCCCATCCCATCCATGATGCCCATATACGCGTGGGGAATGATAACGAAATAAAGCGGTATAGTAAGTGCCCATATTTGTATCAAAGTAACGTAACTATATACGTCAGCGGCGGCAGTACCCGACGGTGATTACTGCCCTCGCAGTCCGTCACTGGCCAAGGGACACGTGCCCAAGGCCGTCCCAAGCACCGGGTTTGGCCGCCCATCTTCTCCCTTTTAAAGACATGCATACACGCAGAGCGTCATTGCATGAATCCTCGTAGTGTCACCAGCACGCAGGGTCCCTTGTGAGGAATGCGAGTCAACCCCGAAGGATTGTTTTGCCTGGCAGAGGGATTGACCTCCAGCAGCTGTTGAGAGCTACCACACCACCTAGGCGCTTCGCGCAAGGTTCAGGAGTGGGATTGACCAAAGGACCAGTGCCTGGTGGGTATGTCCGCTGTACAATAAAAAGATGTAACGTAAAACGCGCGCGAGCAATCATGGACGGAATGGCTAACGGCGCGTCTGCCAACTGAATGACTCCCTGACGCCGCTCGCGTAACCCCTTGAGGGTGAGAGCACAAATGCGAGGACCGACATCCAGCAAGTGGGACGAGCGCACAAAGACGGCGCTCTAGAAGGGCTGAACGAGTGAAAGATACTCGCCTTAGCAAAGGGAGTAGTTCGATGTTTCTTGATCTGGGCTAGTGGTTCAGGCGGGGCCCATAACCTGTCGCAGACAATACCGCGCAGTGGAGATACGACCAGTAGCGATCACCTATAAGACAGAGTCTCAGCGAGTGTAGAGACACAGGAGCTATATCATTAGCTGTACCTATAAGACAGAGTCTATGGTACAAGTCATAAGTAAGGTCATTAGATCGTAAGGGAGAATGCATACCTCAGCGAGTGTAGAGACACAGGAGCTGAGGATATGGAGCGTATAGTACTAGGTTTATATACCAGTCTGGAGCAGATATCATGATGTCATAGTGGAGTAATGATATCATAGATGAGTAATGGATGACGCAATAATGAGGTCAGGTATGAGGTCATTGTGGAGCGAGCCAAAGTAATCTAAGAATACTACTTATGATGTCATGTCTACATACTGTGATAGTCGCTAATACAAACAAGCTTCAACAGAAGGCCGGGGAACGCGGGATGAACTTCCCTCTGCACGGTTGTTGTTGGTACTCGGTACTGCAAAAGCAGCGCGAGAATGGAAAATGGCAGCGATTGGACGACCTTCGGGCGCGGATGCGTGATGTGGATTCGAGCGAAGGGGACTGGGTGATCGACGATTGCGAGCAGGATTGGACCGGTTTACTACTACTCTCCGTGTGACGACCTCCATTGACTTCTTCGGCCTTCCCGATCCCGCCCTCTTTCCGCCCCAAGACTTCTTCACAACTCTACCGGTCTTTGACAACTTGTATCCCTCCGGGGTAGGGGGCGGCTCGGGGTCCTCCACATCCATGCGTGCAAGATCTCGTTGGCGTTAATGCGAGGATTTGCGGCCGGGGTTCTATCAGCGCACACAAAGTGACGAGGAATCGTCACACGTGGAAAACACGTGTACATCAAAGTGTAGTCATGAAGATTAGATTAGGCTTAGATTAGGATCTGATGAACCGCATCAACCCGTTCCGACATAGCCCGAAATCCTATGCCATATCGGGAATGGGACGTGCCCGGACGTCAATCAAGAGCCTAATTATGGACACCAGTCCACCGTAATCTGCGGGAGCGAGCAGATGTTCCAGCCAACACGACCATTGTACTAGTTCAGCTCAAATAAAAGGTCATTCCGCGTAGATCAACTGTTTTCGTGCATCAATCCGCTGACATCCGAAAGGAGTTGGCCGCTGTGCTCCTCGTCCGAAACGACGGCGGGGAGTCCAAGTCGAAGGCGCGAAGTAGCTTTTAAGAGCCTTATAAGGTGGTGATTGGATAATGATGGGATCATTTACCCTAACCCACCCTTTTCCACCACTGGTGCACATCCCACTTGTGGACGTTCGCTCCGTTCTACTATGGGTGGTACTTGTCCGATGAGCTTTCACACCAGAACCCTACTTCGCTTCGCCTAAACCACCTTGTTTACTACGAGATGAGCGCTTCGAGCAATGTGCCAACGAAGACCTGTCATGCTCTCCATTTCTACGCATACAAGTGTAGCCTCTCCACTGTCGGTGTCATACTATCTATCGAATCCTCTACGCCGCCCTCGCACCTCACACCATCCCTCTTAGTCTGCAACAACGCAAGGACCTCGTCCATCACTGTGTCTCTCGCCCTTCTCGTCCTTCCCTCCGCCTCTACCAGATCAATCTTCAACGCCGCAACCATCAACTCAAGCCGCCTGATTCCCGCCTCCAGCTCCACCTCTCTCTCCCTTCCCAGCCGGATTCTGACATCCCTCTCATTCTCCCGCTTCTGAGCTGCCTCAAGCCGTTCCTCAAGATCGATGCGATGCATACGTTCTGCGGCGCGGGCAATTTCTGTCTCGACTCGGCGGGTCTCGGAGATCTGGGCGATGGATTGGACGTTTGAGAGCCAAGCTGTGTAGCTTGTAGCATCTTCGGTGTCGGCAGCCGGGATACACAACAAGCCGGACACCGCGTCAACCACTTCCTTGGCGCTCACTACGGATGGTGGTGGTTCTCTAGGCCCGCATGCGACGTTCGGCTGCTCTAGGATTGTTTCGGTACTATCATGTACGTGAGGTATCTTCTGGGGTCGTATCAGACTGGAAGGGATGGATTATACGGAAGAGGGTGCTCACCACCCATGTACTGTCAAGATGATCGCAAGCCGCATCGTCTTTACTTGTCCCCTCGGCCGCAAATATCGATACGTCGAGTCCGACATGCTGCAAGTTGCTCTCAAACAACAAAAGAGTGGGAATTTCTTTGACCGCCAGCGCCTCGTGTAGATGGTGCACCACAAACCCCACGAACTGGTGCCCCCTCCGCTCTGCATCCCCACCAGCATCCAGTGAATCGGCTACGCCGAAGCACACCTGGGCATAGAGGGACGAATGCATCGGCTGGGTACCGGCCATGCCGACAATCCGATGGGCCACGTGGCTCGCCGCCGCCACCGCCTCCTCAGGGAATGATTCTTCGCCAAACGCAAGAAGGGATACGATCTTCGTACAGGTTCCGGTGATGTTCGATGGCACGAGCTTGTTCAGCAGGCCTGTGAGTTTCCGGTCCGAAGAGGCGGTGAGGAAAGGCGCGGAGTTTGTGGGGAAGGGGATTGACATCTTTGCAAATGGGGAGAGGCGCGAGGAAGGGAGAAAGAACTATTTTATGAATGCATGTCGCATTGAAACCATGAGGTGGGGCTGATTCATCGTCGCCGTGAGGCGCCAGATAATCTTATCTAAAAGTGAGACTCGTACAAGCACACCATAATACAAGGCTTGTGCTTGCTTCTTCGTATATTTAGACAGAAACCCGTGCCAGGCTCCAGTAAGATTTCCTGCGCTAGGTCATTTGCTTGTCTCTCCTTGTCTCTCTGGGGAACGGATATGTCACATACATGGAGAGCATGGACCAGAAGCGTGTCACGGCTCCGAGTCCATGGGACTTTTCCCAGACAAGAATCGACATCTTTGCGGTGCAACGAAAGTGACCGGAAAAGACCTGTTTCCTCCGTTGTTCTCCGACCCTCCGGAACTGAAGCACAGAAGCCGCATGCATCTTCAACTCGCCTCACCTGATACTTACACTGCGTGGCACAAGAGGTCGAGGGTCTCACGATCGGGTACTGGACGCCGACCCACAGCTTGCTTTCGATTCCAAGCGACGTCGTCGGCCATGTATCAGCCAGAAAGCGACATCCGATGGGTCATAAGATCCGGTACTTCCAACTCGCATGAATATTCAACGACTGGCCTGTGAATGTCCTTCCGTCACAGGAAGGTCTCCGAGTCACGTGTGGCTCGACGTGCTGCTCAGAAGATCGTTGAGAATCCTCTCTTGGCGAGGACTCGTGACCATGATGCGTGATGTTCCAACCGCTCGTCAGAACGGGCGACTGGGGACACCTTTACGGCAATTGGTCGGAGAATCCGAAGAGTGGTGTGATCTTTTTCACTATAAAAGTCAGAGGGGATGGGTGAATCACAACTCTATCCACCATGACGAACAAAATTCACTCGAGGGTGGGACTGTTCGGGCTCGTAGCTCTCGCGGGGTCTGTAGCCGGATTGGAGAATGGGGTGGCGAGACTTCCGGGTGCGTGTCGCCATCGTCGTTCTTTCTTTCGCTCTGTCTGACCTGTGATAGTGATGGGATACAACAGTGCGTGTGAAGCACTTTGACCTGATTTCGACCGCTAACTCCCATCGTAGCCTGGAACGCGTTCCAATGCAACATCGATCAGCAGCTCATGGTCACCACCGCGAAACTGATGAAATCGCTCAAGCTTCAAGAGGCGGGGTATTCTTTTGTTAACATCGATGACTGCTGGGCGGAAAAGAACCGGTCCAAGAGTGGAGATATGGTTCCCGGTACGTGAAAAATACAGTCTCTTCTTCGAACGCTTGCTGAGGTGCTGGGGTCTACTCTAGATAAGATCCGGTTCCCGTCTATCACGAACATGACGAATGAGATCCATTCGCTGGGATTGTGAGTGCATCGGCTTTTGAGCGTGGAAGATCCGGACCCTAATTGATTCGCCAGCAAAACCGGCATCGTACGTGGAGCTCTTTGCTAAAAATTGACTCCTGAATGAATGAACGTGAACAGTACAGTGATTCGGGCTGGTTCACGTGTGCTGGATATCCTGGGTCCTTCCAGAACGAACTTCGAGATGCCACGACGTTCCAAAATTGGGGATTCGACTACTTGAAGTGCGTCCAGTTTGATTGACGGGAACAATCGCTGATGTTCTGCAAAGGTACGACAACTGTGCGAGTAAGTTGATTCTTTCGAGTCTCTTTGCGAGTTTCTCATGCCTCGTAGTTCCGTACGATGATATCATCGAGGAGGGTATGATTGGAAGTGAGACTGTCCATTTCCAGCTCCTCGATGTGTCTAAGCTGTGAGCAGAGTATCAACGGATGACCGATGCATTCGCCTCACTCGCAAAATCGAGCGGGAAACCGCCTTTCATCTTTTCGCTTTGCCAATGGGGATGGGTAAGCATTCGATATTACTATTCCGCCCTCAACGCTGACGCTGCTTAAAGAGCCAAGTCTGGCTGTGAGTTGGCCGATGTGTTCGTGTACAGTTTTGCTTAATCCGTCGTGTCAGTTGGGGTGCCACTATGGGCCACAGTTGGCGTGCATGTGCCTCCTCCTCATTAGACTTTCACCTCATTGACGTCCGCGGTAGGTTACTGGCGATATTGCACCCAAATGGGACTCGCTTGCCGCGATCATCAACTTGTGCGTTTTCATTAATTTGCCCGATCCAGTCATATGTACTGATTCTTCGATGTAGTAACTCGTTCATCACAGCAAGCACTGATTTCTTCGGCCATAATGATATGGACATGGTACATATCATTTCCGAAATTCCGCCGTGTCGAGATATTCTAACCGATCTTCAAAGCTTCAACTCGGAAATGGAGGGTTGACTTTTGATGAAGCGAAATCGCATTTCACTGCTTGGGCCTTGATGAAGAGTCCCCTTCTGGTATGTTTGGCAAATCTTACCTTTTCAACATGCTCAAACATCATTCTGCTAGATTGGCACGAATGTAATCGTCCTCTCCTACCGTCTGCTCTGACATGTGTCGCTTACCGCAGCCAAAGTTGTCGACCATCACTCCGGATATCCTGGAAATTCTCACTAACAAGGAGATTATCGCCATCAACCAGGATCCCGTTGTAGGCAAGAGCATCTCCCCTTTCAGATGGGGCATCAATGTGAGCGCAAATCTTGTGTGAGCGGAGTTGAAAGTACTGATTGATTATCAATTAGCCCGACTGGACGAGCAACAGCTCTTTCCCCGCTCAGTACTACAGCGGACCGTCTGAGAAAGGAACGGTGTTCATGCTGGTTGGTCCCAGGTCTCACGTTGATCCCGCTCGGCTCTGACTCTTTGAAAGCTGAACACGTTGAACGAACCGGCTGACATGACCTTCAATCTGACCGAGTCGCCCTGGATCCGTGCGGGAAGGCAATATCATGTCCGGGTGAGTGTTCATCTCTGCACTGGCTCCATAAAACGCCCCATGCTAACCGACAAACCTTCCAGGACCTCTGGTCGCACACTGACAACGGAACAGCCGTGCGGAATTTCACCGCGCATGCTGTCCCTGCGCACGGTGTCGTCGCGCTGCTGCTCAAGGACGCCGGGAACGAGCCCAAGGGGATTTTCCCTGCGTGCTCGGTCTGGTTCCAGTGCACGGATAAGAACGGAACGCGCGTCGGTGGTTGAAAAATAGTCAGTGTACTCGTATTTACGCTGTAGTAAATTGTCACATCCTGTCGTGTCGAACAAATTGTTGTTAACATTGATCAGCTGACCGTATCTCTCTGCCTTGGCCAGTTCAATCCACGTGATACTGATAGTGATGCGGACAACTTTCATCTAGCTTGGTCTTTGGTCCCCCATTTATGATCCAGTCCGTATTGCTGACCCGTTTCCCCAACCAAGGGACCCAGTGGCCGTGGATATTGAAGTTTAGCTGCTTTCTCATCCTGAAAGGACGTGTTTTGGCTCCTACATTGACTATTGCGTAGCAGACCAACTCGAAAACGAGGCAGTGCTCGAGACCAATCAAGACAGATATCGGACGTCGATCGGTGCAAAGTGTGTCGGCGGCGAGCTCACGCCTCATTCGCATGTCGATGGAGAAATACTGAAAGACAGGTGGACGTTATCCGTGGTAAGGCAGTTTTACTCTGCATGACCCTGACAGTCTTGAATTCCCAGAGGGGGTTCAGGGCAAAGAAGCCACCGGCGAGTCCTGCACATATCCACGAATGGCTCTACTGTGCCGAGATCTACCTGCGTCTTCGAGCTGTCCCCACATCCAACTATCGAAGTCTTTTCATGCACCTGTCACCGAATTTTCTCAGATCGGTCTATGTACCCGCGTATTTTCAAAGGGGATGTCTTGAACATCGTTTCAAACCTCTGTGCATCGGCATCCGACCCGCGCCTGCCGATTTATCTGCGGATTTCCGCCTGGTTTCTATCGCGAGTGTTGAGGTTTTTTAAAAAAAAACAGCACATGAGCTCTCCCACATGGACTACATCCACGAGATCGACGGACTCTACTATATGGTCTTTTCTCTCTCTATTGGGTTGTGGAAGCACTTTCAATCAAGTTACCGGTTGATCTACTCAAAAGCGAACGAATCGATAATCGCTGACATAGAAATCGAATCTCGCGGGCAATCAAACTTTCATGTGGCCCGATACTGTCCATTCCTGGATAGCATCAGCGATGCCCCATTTGAAGCGCCGAGATTCGCATGATGATTTTACAGATCTGAGTTGGAACTTGGCCACCCTCAATCGAGGGCCATCTGGCGGGCGGCGACGGCATTTGGACAGAAGCCGCGGTGAATAGGCAAACAGACAGGATCAGGCCGGTGGACCCACCGATCTCGTAAGCATCAGGCGTCTCCCTGAAACGATGGTCTTGAACTAGCCTCCCAGCTCTGCGGATTAGATATCTCTTCCTAGTTATATCAGTGCGACATATTTCTTAACAATTCGCCATTTGATATCGGCCCCGACAAGGACGGTGAAGTGATAGGTGTTGCTGATGATGAAGATCTGATTGACATCTTCGCTCAACCTATAAATGAATGACATGTGAGATCTCAGCTGCTAAATGCGATCGGGAGTACTAGGAATACTACGGTTGGGACACCAGACTCAGAGCGCTCCTAAGCGATGATAACGATGTCGTGGGCCTGCACTCATTTTTGGTGCCTCGGCCAAAATACGCAGCCCGATTCCTGTGAATCAGCATGAGTTCTACCACCCTGGGACCAATCCTGGCGAGCGGCCGGCGTTAGAAGGAGCGGGATATAGACGCAGGGAATCCACGTTATTACCCTGCCCAGACGTTTATCTGGTCGCTCGCTTATGTGCGTGTGAAACTCAGTAGCACTTTACGGCTACTGCCCGTCCGCGGGTCGAAAGGCTCGCCTTATTACGCACTTGATGTTTCTACAATATCAAGATACGATGCCCGAGAAGCTTCTATGCCGGACGCCTTAGCTGCTGAAAGTTCAATTTTAGAAATCGCCATCCTGCATTGAATGGTCCATGAAAGCCTACATAGTAACTCTGTGTTGTCGCCAGAAATATTCGTTGGGTCAGGCAGAGTATTGTTGATCGGATCAAATAAAAAACGGCAATCAATAGCTGCTTTTCAAAATACACGCCCACCGAATGGACAGTCTAACTTCCAACTGGTGTGAGTGTGTGTGATACAAGCTCTGCTCTATCACACTGCGGGGCACTGATTATCTCGCGTCCCCGAATCTTCGCCGAGGCTTCTCTCCAGTACATCCGCAGCCAGCACACCCCAGCGATCGGAGTTGGGGTTTGTTTTGAAGCTTCTCGCAGTTCGACTTTGTGCTTGCAGCCGCACTGTCTCCGCGTATCCATGTCGCCCCACGAGCATGGGACAGTGCATCACGTCCTATTGCCTCCCATCGGTGCTTCTCAGACTTGGCTGGACCACATGGAATCAGTAGAGCTGATCATTGTCCGAGATGGCTCTTCTCCAATGTCATTTCAAGAAATCCTGGGAATCATGGGATGAAGGTGTTCTCCGGCTGGCTGATGACTATATAAGAACTGCGAGGGACTGAATCCGATAGTGTGCCCGCAAAGCTGCAATGCCCGGAATCATCATCGCAGGAGCTGGGTGCGCCACTTCTTCTCTCCCTCTCCCTCTCTCCGATGGAAGCTGATCGTTCTCTTACATTGAAGCGTCGGCGGGCTTATGACCGCCTTCGCGCTGAAGTCTAAGCTGGGCTACGACGATTTCGTGGTGCGTTGCGGTGGTGAACTGCTCTGCGCTTGACGAATCCGATTGTAGATCTACGAGAAAGCGACCGACGTGGGAGGGACCTGGCGTGTAAGTGCTAAATGCGTTCTGTTCTCGCAGTTAGAAGAAGACTAACCTATTTCTCTTAGGACAACATCTATCCCGTGCGCCTGACTTCTCGCGACTTTCACGTATCTCACCTACTGCACAGGGCGCCGCGTCTGATATCAACGTCCACTTCTACTCGCACTCCGCAGATCTCAATCCTGAATGGGACACGACAGTCGCGGGACAAGCCGACATGCACGTGTATTGGCAGAAGCTCACCGCCAAGTATGGCATCTACCCGAACATCTCCTTCGGGCGTGAAGTCGTCTCAGCCGAGTGGGAGGCTGACACGGAGCAATACACCGTCATCTCGCGAGATGTGGCGACTGGGGAGACGTCCGAGGCCACCGCCAAGGTGTTCATCTCTGCCATCGGGGTGTTGAATGTGCCCAGATACCCGAACATTCCGGGCCTGTCGTCGTTCAAGGGCCTCCAGTTCCACTCCGCCAGATGGGATGCAGGTGCAGACCTTGCGGGCAAGAGAGTGGCGGTGATTGGGAACGGTGCTTCTTCGTGCGTGTACTGCTCCCCCGTTTTCGGATGGTCTGATGACCAGTCGTGCAGTGTTCAGTTCATGCCCTTCATTTCGAAGGATCAGAGCGTGCAAGTGACTCAATTCTGCCGAACCCCCCATTACATCTTCCCCTCGGTAAGCTTCGAGGATTCTTCCGTCCCTGATACTTACTAACCAATTCCATCATCAGATCAAGAGTGAATACTCTGCGGCGTGGAAATGGTGCTTGCGGAACATCCCCGGTCTCATCAGAGCCTATCGCCACTTCCTCTACTTTGATGCAAGCTACTCGCTATCTCCGATAGACTCTTTGTTGATCTGTTCCTAGGCCGAAGTGCGCTACGCGCTGGTGTTTGCCAGCTCGTTCCTTCGCAAATACGTGACGAGGCCTGCGAGTTTGGTTCCCCAGTTCTAAGTTGCTCAAGCTGACTGTGGCCGATTCAGATTCCTGTGGGATACATGAAGTCCTCCATCCCTGCGAAATACCTGGACAAGATGATTCCGGAGTATTGTGGGTGTCCCTTGATCAAATGACCGTTGAATCACTTCTGATTGTGATAGCCCTGGGATGCAAGCGCTTGCTGTTTGATGTTGCTTACATGGACACCCTGCATCGCCCCAACGTCGAGCTCAACTGGGATGGCGTCCAGACCATCACTGAGGATGGGATCATCACCAAGACCGGTCAGTCACAGCGCGCTTGTGCAACTTTCCGGACTGATGCGTGCCCTATCTCTAGGCGAGGTCATGCCTTTCGACGTGATCATCTACGCGACTGGCTTCCAGGCGGTGCGTGGTGCAGTGCCCCCGGGTTTTGCTCATGCTGAGTTTCGCAGGACAAATACCCTTTGAACATTGTGAACGACAAGGGTGTCACCATCCAGGACTACTTCAACGCGAACGGCGGTCCACAGGCCTACCTCGGAATGGGCTCGCCCGGGTTCCCGAACATGTTCTACATCGGCGGTGCGTTTGTAGACTCGGATTGCCGTTCCGATTTTGACCTGGCGGATGCAGGCCCGAACACTTACACCGGCCACACATCGGTCATCCACACCGAGGAGCTCCAGATCACGTACCTGCTCAAGATGCTGCCGTACATTCTCTCCGGGGAGGTGTCTTCCTTCGAGCCCAGCCTCAAGGCGACCGAGGACTACAACGATGTGGTTCAGAGCCGCATGAACCGGTCGTCGTATGTGTCGTGTGACTCGTGGTACCGCGCTGGAGGAGACGGCAAGGTGACTGCGACGTTCCCGGGCCCGATGCTGCTGTACTGGTGGTGGGTGCGCCACATCAAGTGGTCCGACTGGGTCGCCAAGGCGAACAACCAGCGCAAGTGGGACCGCAGCGTCAGGTGGGGCACCATCGGTCGTGCCCTGAACCCTTTCAGCTATGCCATGGCTGCCGGGGGCAAGGTCCTCGCGTGGTTGAGTGTATAGAATGTATCCTGTTGTTCAGACTGTTTTGTACATTAGGATAAGGTTTTGCGCATTTGAATGTCATCTCATTAGCATTTCGCCGAAGGCGTTCGTGTCAGTGTCACACGAGGGAGGAGGTATTTTGGAACAGATTCCTGGAATGCCGCAGACGTAGCAGAATGAGTGGTCTATGGTAGATGGTTCTGAATACTTCCAGGAGAGACTCGGCTGCAACTACCAAGTATCGAGGGTGGAAGCGAGCCTACATCAGTGGCACTGTTGATGGACTTGAGATCTCTTCCTGCGACTCGCGCTCACAGCAACTTGGAAGCCTGGTCAAAATGACACACTTCTACTCGAACTTCAACGTCGGTCGTCATCGTCAAAGGGAAGGCACCATTTATGTGGGAGGATGACAATCCAGTTCTCGCTCTGGTGTGTCGGCTTGCCATTTTGCCCAATCGGCGATTCATATACCCATACCCAGACCGTATCTCGAACACATCCCTCCGCGATAGCTAGCAGACCAAAGATTGCACCACCGAGGAGTCTGCATGGGTGCGATCGTCCACCGACAGATGGGTGATTGAATATTGACAGGGCCGCAGACAGCCCCGCATGCTTGGGCTCTCCATCACAGAAATCTTCCTTTGAGAGGGATCGTCCTCAACAATTAGCCTTGCTTTGTGTGTTGCCGACGTGCTGGAGAAGTTGCGGATGAGGGATGAAAGCGGGACTATCATGTGCTGGGACTTGGGGCTGGCCCAACCTGGCGCAGGGTCCGATGATCCACCGCGACGATCAATTTCTCTCACCAGCCACTTCGGCAGACAGCCGCCAATGTCACTCCCCTCCAGTGGCCTGCTCAGCAGTCGAGCTGTGAATCCTATCTATAGTCGTTGCATATGGTGGGAGACATTTTCTGTTTGACTGCATCATTCACACTTCCATGTGCGTTTCAGGAGGGGCAAGCAGACGTCCCTACGAGCAGTTTAAATACGCTGAGGGCTTCATCCGGTGCCTGGAAGAAGGAAACGCTGCGGCAAGATGTCTGCGCCCCCCGCCATTGCTCCAGCCAGTGCCGACTCCGATGCATACTGTAGGCGTCTTCGGTTTAGGTCTCCCTACCTTGCGACTGAGGAATGTCTCCAGTGCCATTCGTGATCACTGCTGCGATAGCCTTTTCTCTGATGGTTTGGGAGTAGTAAGTGATCGTGTCCCTATCTAACGCGTTCCGTCTGAGGGCTTAACCATGCCCTCAGCGCCCTCCAGCTTCCAATTGAGATCAAGCTATATACCAGAAGACGTGTTTGGAACAAGGCACCCGCATACGGATTTGTCGGACTGCGCTACGGCAGTCTCCTCGCCACCGCTCCGATGCTGGTCCTCTCTGTGGCAAGGCTGGACAACTGCCAAATCATGGCGTCGCTGGCGCAGGCTGGATCGGTGCTGGTCGTCGCTGGATCCGCAGCCATCATAACTTTCCGCACGGGTCTGCTGTGGGACGACCACCAGGGAGTGTTGGCGCCCTTAGGTGCGATGGGGATGCTAGTTACGACCGCTTGGGTGAGTCAATACACTGACAAGCGAACGTGGCCCGTCGCTGATGAGGTTCCAGATTGTTCTTGCGACGAATTATCGAGCCACTTCTTCTGAGTTTGTGCTCGTATTGAATGGGAATTGTCGCATCTCCCCGACTGTTGTTTGGCTACCGCTTGCCAACACCGCGTTCCTGATCTTTCTGCTCTCGGCGCTGGTTCTGTCGCTTTTCAAGATTCGATTCTTCCATCCGCGGGACTCTAGGGTCGCGTACAACATGTACCGCGATTACGTCGCCTGCGTCACCGGCATCACATGTGTCACACTGGCCGCGCTGATCATCGAGGGCCTCGCGCCTCGATCTGGCGCATTCGCCCTCAGTTCGAAACTGCTGCAGATTGTGTTCGTTGCGGCTCTTTCCTCCCGGGCATTCCAGAACTATCTCCTCGCGGACGTGATTGAAGCCGACGGATCGCATGTACGGCCGTACCCAACCAGTTTCACGACCGTGTCGCATACGAGCGAACTCAAGTACCCGAATCCAAGTCCGAGCAGAAGCCCGAATCCTGCGTCTGCAAGTCCGTTGATGACTTTCTCCCCGACCAGTCCCTTCTCGGCTGTGACACCGTCTCCTTTTTCGCCGGCACCGTCGTCCTCACCCACGGGCCGAAGTCGCCTCGGGTCGGTGGACTCGAATGCTGCTGCTCCCGTGGTCTATGCCGCGCCGTCGACGCTTGCTGGACGGAACCGTCTCGGGTCGGCGGATTCGGCTGCCAGCGGTACTGCCAACACGGGGAATATCCTCGCTGGGTCTTATACGAAGTTCCCTTCGCCGCCTGCGTCGTACGAAAACGCTTCTCCGCTCACTGGTGCTTCTTCGTCGAGGGTCGCTACAACGGGCCGCAATATGCCTGTGGCCTCCTCGTCCGTTGCGTCGAATAGCAAACCGCGTTTGCCCACGCCATTAGCCCCGCTGCGAAGGAACGACAAGCCGAGATCCACACTTCCTGCACCTCCGCTTTCAGGCTGGTCGGATTCTTGAACATTAGTAACAACAAATCTTCTCGTATCTACTTATATACTTATGTATTTATCTGACAATCGACCACCTGGTACAGTTCGTATGTGATGCTGGCACCGCCACACAACAATCACCACGCGTGTAGAATCATGTGCAATCCCTCGCCAACGACGATCGCCTTCTTCTCGATTGTTGACACACCTTGCATGAGATGCCTACTCGCTTGCGAATGCGCAAAGACTAGTCTGAAATCGAGACCGCGGCCGTCCTCATAGGGCAGCCTTGCTGAGAAGGAGAACGCCCACACCCCGGACTGCACTAGTGATCGACGCTGGAACTGGAACGGCTAGATGGGATTGGTTTTCACGGGCAACTCCACATGCGCTGCCCAACCCAGATCAGTGCTGGCATGCCGCCGAGAAGAGTTGGCCATACATCGCGTGGTGGGCCCGTGTGGTATGTGCAGTAACTCCTTGCCCTCATCAACGTCTATACATATAGTGAGGCTGATACCCCGACTGCCACCTTCTATCATTCCTTCGTTTGCGTCCACGGCGAGACATGGCTGCTCTCCTTACTCTCGGGCTATTGCTGACGTGGGTGACCCCGGCCCTGGGAGCTGCGGTGTCACCCCGGATGACGCTGGACAACGGGACCTTCTTGGGTATTTCTGGCTCTGCCAACACGCATAGCTATTTGGGGATCCCCTTCGCAAAGCCGCCGTGTGTAGCTTTCACCGAGTGACATTTCAAGCGCCCTGACAGCTTCTATGTAGTGTTGGGCCTCTGCGCTTCAACCTGCCGGCTCCCGTAGACGCTTACCACGGGGACTTCAATGCGACGTCGATGGGATTCTCTTGCCCACAACAATATGTCAGGGTGCCGATCCTGACGGGCATCGCCGACCAGCTCGTGAGCACGCTCTGGTCCAAGTACTATAGCGGAAAGTACCCCGATGACGAAGACTGTGGGCGGTTTCTCTACAGTGCCTCCTTCCCTTCCCTCACATGCTGCTTTTTCAGGTTTAACAATCAACATCATCAAGCCGGCGAACGCGACTTCGGATTCCAATCTACCTGTCGTGTTCTGGCTCTTTGCAGGCGCCTTCGAGTTTGGCACGCCGGCGCGGTACGATGGAACACCGGTCGTCGAGCGGTCGATTGAGATGGGTCAGCCGATCATCTACGTCTCGATCAACTACCGTCTGTCCGGTAGGCCCGCTCTTGTTCCCTGTCAAGCGCTTCTCCGTCTCATTCGTCGACAGCATTCGGGTTTTTGGCGAGCAAGGAAGTGCGTGCGGCTGGTGTGGGAAATCTGGGACTTCAGGACCGTCAGTGCACGACTTGGTGTCTCTCTCCCCGATTGCTGATTTGCTCCATAGAACGGGAAGCTTTACGTTGGGTGCAAAAGTACATTTCCCAGTTTGGCGGCGATCCTACGAAGGTTACCATTTGGGGCGAATCGGCTGGCGCCATCTCCGTCTCGCTGCAGATGCTGACTAACGGTGGCGACACGGAAGGACTGTTCCGGGCTGCTTATATGCAGAGTGGGTCGCCCGTGCCGGTGGGACCGGTGGAGAATGGTCAAAAATGTGCTTTCCTCCCTCTTCTGTTATCACAGCAGATTGATCATTAATCGGACAGACTATGACGCCATCGTCCAACAAACTGGATGTGGCTCTTCAAAGGACACGCTGGACTGCCTGCGCGGTGTGCCCTATGCGACATTGAAAAGTGTGGTTGATGCATCTCCGTTCTTCTTGGATTACTCGGCGTTGGTGCTGGCTTGGGTTCCCCGTGAGGACGGTAATTTCTTGAAGGATCACCCACAGAAACTGGTGCAGCAGGGCTCGGTGGCCAATGTGCCCCTTGTCAGTGGTCAGTGGCCCAGTGGTTGCTTCGACGATAACTAGCCTCATGAGCTACATCCACAGGCGACTGTGACGACGAGGGCACCATCTTTTCGCTCTCGACACTGAACATCACGACGGACGATCAGTTCGCGAGCTGGCTCGCCACAGAATGGGCGCCCACCTCGGGCCCGGATGTCGTTCAAGCTTTGACCGCGGCCTACCCCAGCGACGTCAGCTTTGGCTCGCCGTATGGTACCGGGTCCTTGAATGCCCTCACACCCCAGTACAAGCGTATTGCTGCGTTCCAAGGAGATGCAGTCTTCCATGCCCCCAGACGCTTCTTCCTGCAATCCCAGTCGGGCAAACAGCCCATGTGGTCCTACCGTGGGTTTCCCTCCTGCATTCTCGTTCGTCACAACGCGATACTGACGGGCGCGTGCAGTCAACAAGCGAGACAAGATCATCCCTGTACTCGGCTCGTTCCACACCTCGGACGTGAGCAACGTTTTCGGCAAGGGCGAGTTGACCGACTACCTCGTCAACTTTGTCACGAACCTCGATCCAAACGGGCCGACTGTCCCTCAATGGCCGCAGTACTCGACAGCACAGCCGAACCTGCTCACGCTGAATGACATTGGATCTGGGCTGTTTGCGCCCAAGATCGAGATCACGCAGGATACGTTTAGGAACGAGTCGATTGCAGTGATGACGCAGATCTCGCTGGAGCATCCGATATGATTGAATCTCGGTTTGCGGCGTGTTTTTACTGGGATAGACACGAGGAGTGCGTCGGAAGGGAAGTCTCGACCCCAACACGCGTATTGTTATTGTTCAATTCTCTGTCCTCCGTATAGACTGCACGGTTATTGATACATACATAATTGGGAGTGCTTATTTGACATTGGCAACGTGAGCGCAGTTCGGATGTCGTTCCCAATTTCATTTACCCGGGCCCTTGATCCTTGGCTACGGGTGAATCCGAACAGGAATTAAGCTTGCTGGGGATAAGGTCGACTGGAGAAGAGGCGGACAATGTCCTCTTGAACTATACACTCACCGGGATCAAAATGTCGAAACATGTCTGTGTCTAGACTTGGCGCAGCACAGTCGGACGAGATGCACGTTCCGACAGCAGCATCAGAGGGTGGACTACTGGCACACGACCAACGCAAAGTGTGAGAGCGCAAGACGAGAAAAGAGCGCGGGCACGCCCCTTGCACCACGGGAGAAGTGCATTGGGATGTAACGTATGTTCTCCAATTGGCGCAAACAACCCAAGTAGTTGTTTCGGAAAACTTGGCGGATCCTCGACTTTGCGCTCTGAGCGGGATGGGGCTCTGAGAACGGGTGTACATATCATGTACCTGTTCTCTGGAATCGCGCGGCACAAAGCTTCAAGCGTCTTGGCATCCCCAGCTGGGGAAAGAGCGTATCCTGCTTCAGAGACTGTCACGTTCCCCGGTCATGTCGACTGGAATGAAAGTGAAAGGTGACATGGTCAAGTTTCACCGGCAACCTGAATGCACTACATGAGGGCCGAGGTGTGGGCGACCGCGGCGAACGAGTACTGTGCGAACGAGATTGAGCTTGGATTGAGCCAGATAAACAACTGGAAGAGTGTTGGGAGCACTAAAAACAAGAGCTTGAGTGGTGGATATGAACGGCCCGCGGGGCTCTTGAGGGCTACAACGGAGGGTGTAGAGGTCGCGGTCAAGTCACAAACTAAGCGTGGAGTGCTTGGTGCATCACCTACGTTGACTATCATATCCGAGCTCCGCCTCGTTGTTCATGGCAGGCACGTACCAGTGCGCATATAAAAACAAAAGTGCGCTTGGCTGGACCACAAACAGAGACGCTCTTCAAAGAAAAAGGGGCGGCAACTTTTTCGAATTAGGGCGGCGTGGAGCATCGATATCTCGGCAGCCAAGAAGAAGTGCTACATCCGTGGCGATCGTCATTAGCCTTGGTCAGCGGAGCCTCTCCTCCCTTTTTGTCTTCTCCCGCCACTGTATCCGCAGGCGTGCGCCTCCCGCCGCTCCACAGTTCACGCCTACAACCGACGGTCTGGATCCAGCAACGCATCACCACGATTTCTGCCAGACGCGCCCAATCACCCTGCGCGATTTTAGCCATTCGCCTCCGGGGTAATCACGACCTCGACCAGGAGAGGAAATGCTCCATTTCAATCCCGTGCGTCGTTCCACTTCCTCTTCGTGACCGCGTCTGACATGTGTCGGTGTGCAGATCGACGTGACCGTGCCCCATGTCGCGTATGCCGCCTTGGGGGGATTCGTCGTCATCGTGAGTAATGGTTTACATACTCCTTATATCTGCCATGCCCATCTCGTGTCTTTCAGTTCGGGATGTTCTCCCTGCTCCTCCGTGAGCGACTCTACGTCGGTGAAGCCTGCTGGGCATTCATTTTCGGTGTCATTGTGGGGCCGTATGGAGCGAATATATTCAATCCCCGAGGCTGGGCCGGCGATGACCGTACGTGCTCCTCTAAGCTGTTCTTTGTCCGCCCTTGCTAACAGATCCACTCTCTACCGTGTCCTGCCTTCTCCTCTCGACATCGACATCGACAATCACTATCACTACTCACGGAAATGTAGCCGGCACGGTCAATACGATAACTCTGGAGCTGACCCGTGTGGTCCTCGCCATCGGAGTGTTCGCCATCGGTGTCGAGCTTCCGAAAGCGTACATGCGAAAACACTGGCGGAGCCTCTTCTTCCTGCTGGGGCCTGTGATGACTTGGGGCTGGTTCGTTTCCGCGGCCTTCATCTACTGGCTCATCCCGGGCCTCAACTTCCTCTCCTCGCTTGCCGTCGCCGCGTGCCTGACGCCGACGGACCCGATTCTTGCTGCTGCGGTCGTCGGTGGTAAGTGGGCGGACAAGCATGTGCCGACACATATACGGCATCTCTTGGCGGCGGAAAGCGGGTGCAATGATGGTGCTGCGTTCCCGTTCTTGTACTTGGCGTTGTACCTCATCCTTGATAACTCGACCAGTACCGCCGTTGGCGACTGGTTCCTCAAATTGTGGCTCTGTACGTTTCTCGATCCCCGGTCATGGAGTCCCAGCTAACGCTCTGACAGACCAGATCATTTTGGGAGTCGTGATTGGTTCCTTCATCGGCATTGGGTTCCGACATCTCATGAAGTTTTCTGAACGCGTTTCTCTTATTGACCGACATTCCTACGTCGCGCAATACGTATCGCTCGCGCTACTCACGATCGGCACAACGACCCTGCTCGGTTCAGACGATCTGCTCAGTGCCTTCGCATGTGGAACGGCCTTTGCCTGGGATGGTTTCTTCAACAGGCAGACGGAGGAGTCCGTCTTCTCCTCTGTGATCGATCTGTTGTTCAACTGTGCTGCTTTCATCTACGTGGGGGCCTGGATGCCTTTCTCCTCCTTCAGCGATCCCTCGGGAACCACGTTGCAAGTCTGGCGGCTGGTCGTCATCGCCATCTGCGTCATGGTTCTGCGTCGGCTGCCTATCATGGTGGCGATGTACCGATGGATCCCGGATATCAAAACGTCGCGCGAGGCTATCTTCAGTGGCCATTTCGGGCCGATTGGAGTTGGGGCAGTCTTCATCTCGACACTTGCTACGGAGGTGCTGGAAGCGAGTCCGCAGGTGCACACCGACAGACAGGTGGAGCTGCTCGCGAAGACAATCCAGCCAATCTGTGCATTCATGGTGCTTGTCAGCATCGCTGTGCATGGCTTGTCGATCCCCGGCTTCTCGCTCGGCAAGCGCGTCCACTCTGTTTCGCGAACCTGGTCGAGGCATACGACGACGACGGCAGCGCAGCGGCCGGATTGGATGGACCATGTGAGACACGCGGAGCAAGGAGAAGTCATCGTCAACCGTGACGGAGAGCGGCGTGTGGGTGATCTGGAAATGGGCTTGGAGAGAGAGAAGGGAGAGGGAGAAACGCTGGATGGCAGGCCGTTGGAGGACATTGATATCATCACTAGCGAGAGCCCGACAGCTGTGGGCACCCGGCAAGGGTCTCAGGAAGAGCAGCCGGTGGAAAACGGGGCCGAAAGCCCACCTGATGGAGAAGCAACGGTATACGAGTGGCAGCAAGGACCGCATAAAGTCATAGAAAGGAGAGCAGGCCCGGGCGAGGAGGTGCGTTTCATGCTTTCATTTCCTTCGCTCGTCCTCACTCGGGATTATAGGTTGAGGTTGAAGTCATCAGAAACGTGAACGGGCAAGATGTATCCTCGGCGTATAAAGGAACAGAGGAGGTTGTACGTGGGTTGGTGCACAAGATCAAGACCGTGCCCAAGGCTTTGGAGGAGGATTTCGATGACTTGGTCAAAGCTGCCGAGGAGAGGATGTCCCTTTCACCACGCTCTCGACATCTGCTGCATGAGCCTACGGTCTCCTTCGAGCAAGGTGATGACGAAGACGAGGGTTGGGCTTCAGAGCACGACGAGAGAGGAACGAGCCCATCGTCTGAGCGAGGGGACAAGCGCAAGCGGAGCGGGCGATCTTCGAAGATCCGACCGATTCCGCGACGACGCGTGTCTGCGACTGCGAATGCGGCAACTAGGAAGGGTATCGTCGGGCGAGCGCAGCAGTTTGTACGAGAGCATCGGCAAGGGCAGCATCATCAAGAGTTGCGAGAGGACAGCGCGTCGCCTCCTGTCGCTGGACCGTCCAACGTTCGACCGGAAGATCAATCCGCGCCATCTGAATCCGAGCTCGCAGCCCTCTCCTCGCGTGTGTCTTCGCGAGACTTTGCGTATGGGGGCAGGATGGGTCGACGGTCGAGGCTCGATAGCCTGAGATTGCAGAGCGGGCGGCCGTCACGGGATGCATCGCCGGCGAGATCGGTCAGATTTGCGGAGGACGGAGATCGAACCCCACGGCATGCCAGTGGGACCAGTACGCCTCTTGTGTCTGCGTTCTCTGCGGCGGAGGATGGTTTGGTCCGTGAGGAAGGGACTAAGGAGGAAGGGACCAAGGACTGATCTGTGAAATCTCATTTAGCAGTCTGACGCACATGATCTATGCACGACGACCGACAATATGCTTGCTACTTAGAAGTTTACTAGCATCACTGTACACTACAATGCATCTCTCGCTGAATGTTCCGACGGATGTCGAGTTCGGAGGAGAGGTGGGCAGTGGTCGAGACTACATTCATCACTGATCACTTTCATCCTGACAAGAAACCCCTGCGCCCAACTTGACCGCTTCCTGCTCAAGCCGGTTCCGGAATCGAATCAAGCTTGCATGTTCTGTGTCCCGACAAAGGACGCGAAAGACGACACGAGGTCCCGGGCTCTTTCCCTGTTGCATTTTGTCTACGAATTCCTTGAGTAGCGGCGAGGAGCACTCGGTGCATTGACAAATCTGGAATGAGGGTAGGATGTCAACGTCAAGCACAACCTCGTCCAGCTCAGGAGAACGGGAGAGGAGGGAGGGCGGAAGATCGAGAACAGGACGGAAGAGTCGATATGTCGATGTCGGCGCGTGGAAGTAGATTCCGTGGCCGATCCTGAATCGCCGTAGAGAGCTTAGAGTCTGTAATTTGAGAAGGCAGATATTCTCTGGAAAACATAGGTCGGGTTTCAGATGATGGGAGGGAGACATCTATGCTCCTACCTTCCAATGACGAACATGGGTGCACGTCCAGATGCAAGTCCTGCAGCACTCCGTTCAAGCCTACTAAAAACGCGGCGAAGAGCGGCATGACATGCGGCGTCACTATGTTTGGGATGTGGAGCGAGAGACGTCTGGTGCGGGGAGCCTTCTCCTGGCCAGCCTTGAGCCAGAGAAGGACGCCAGCCTTGGATTCAAACCCCCGGATGGACAGATGCTCCAGTGGCTCCCTGAGTGTGACCTCTGGATAGGCGCCTTGCAGGGCGTCTCCCCACGTTACGCCGTCAAGCTCCAGATCGGACAATTTCGGAAGCAGGGCGATCAGCTGAGCAAAGTGAGAAGCAGCAGCGAACTTTGTGCGCTGCAGCGAGAGCTTCTGCAGGCGTGGGAGGCACGGCATATCGTTGCTGCGTGGTGGCACGGGCCCCAGAGTCAGCTCGGTCAGCCGGTGGAGCGAAGGAAGGGAGCACAGGAACGCCGCGTTCAGATGATGGGATCCAGAGGCCCAGTTTCGCAGATTCAGCGCCCGAGTGTGGATTCTGAGGACAGAGAGCAGAAGACAGAGATGTTCCTCGTTCATGTGCACGGTGAATGACCCGAAGAGATGTCTTTGGCTGGTTGGGACCCATCGTCGACATACGAGGGCACAGCTGCGGAGGTCGGGTCTACTCTGCCAAAGGAAGTCGAGGATGTGGTCGGTAAGTTCTGGGGGAAGCGAAGTTTGCGCGTGAGGTGGGAGAAGTGGAGTGGCCAACGGAAGGGATCCCATGGAGAGGACGTGTGGGCAATCCACAGATTGCTAGGATGCTATTTCAAGCGGCGCCAACCGGATCCACGCCTATACTCTGGTGCATTTGAGTTTCCCAGATCTCCGCAGTAGTAGTGATGCAATGTGCTTACCTAGCTGCCTTGAACGATGACCGAACAACCGAGATGCCTCTCACTTTCCACCCGGTATCGTATCAAGCCCTTCTATACATCGTTGCGCTTGTTGAGCGGCCGGGCTCAAGTCATCGGCATGACGCACATCCGCCACATGACCATTGGCAAGTCATGGGATGCACTCGCTGAACACATGAGTACCACCCATCCCCAAAGATGACGATCCGGTGCTGACTCCACGCTCTGCGCCAATCAACAGTTTGCAACTCTGAGACGCGCGGAGTCAGATAACAGGCAACTGCACGTGACCGCGCTTGACGGCATCAACGCACTCGATGTGACAGGCTCACTCTCCTGCAAGTGCGCAATCTTCACGAGCAATTAATCTTCACCTTGACACCGTGCCTGAGCATTTGAACTCCTGAATCACAATGTCCTCGCAACAACTTTCTTTGTTTTTTTCTCTTCTCTCTTCCAGGAAATGCACCTTCTCTGGTTCTGGCTGTCGCTCCTTCCTCTGCTCACGGCAGTTAATGGATTAGGGTTCAAGCCCCCGCACACGCGCTCGAATGCGGAGCGCATCGCAGCGGGAGAACAACTTGCCAAACCGCGCAGGATGTATGGCCTAGGCGGGGAGAAAATCTTTCGTGCGTTCCTGCCTGATTTCTTGCATTGTAGTCCAAATTTATGCGCCTCTGCTCAGCCGTACCGCGCGCCGCGCCGTCTGGTCTCGCTTTTCCCATCTCAAGGCCGGCAGCGACACAGACCGGCTATCTAGGGCTTTTCGACGCCACAGGCACTTTCCTCGGGTACTTTTCGCTCCCCGCTGCGGGGATCACCTCGTCTCTTCCTCCCATCCAGCCACAGGCGCAACCGGGAAGGCGGTCGGCGTATGCAGGCAAGTACTCTTTCGCCACGCCAGCCCATCCCGGTGACCCGGTGGCCATCTATCTTGCGGTACATTGTTTCTTTCGGGCCATGGTGTTGCCTCACCCAAAGATACATGGACTAGGATGACCCCGGTTACTTTTTTAACGGGATCGGAATGAGCAACGGATTGACTCTTGGATCGGGCCTTGGCACATGGGTTACTGTGGTTGTTTCTGGCGTCGTCAGTGAGTCGCAAGTGCTGTCTTTTTGACACAGGCTGAGAGTTTCGATAGCCTCGTCGGGCGTACCTCCCTACCTCAATCTCTACGAAACTTATATCGTGCGTCCTGCTATCCACTCGCCTTTCATGTTCTGAGTGTGCACTGGGACAGTTTACTGTTGATGAGACAACTGGTCAGGTTGGAGTGCAATGGGTTAATCCTGGGAGCACAGGAGGTGAGGCAACTCGTCTGGTCCGATCCAAACACCAGTAACAAATAGTCCAGTCTACACCCCGGCATCTTTCATGTGGTCCCCGTCCCGAAATATCCTCACATTCACCGGTGACACGACTGCTGCTCGGGCTGGCTACCAGACTACTTCCGGCACGTTTGATTCGAGTTCGGGGCTGGGTGCAGATGCCGTCGAAGTGGTATGTCCAATCTCTAAATGCTCTGTCTCTGTTGATAAAGTCTACAGTCTCTGTATTTCGGGACTCAGCAGGATTGGACGTCATACTTCTAGAGGACTACGATGTATGATATCTGGCAATCGAATACCCGCTGCGTGAGTAGCCGCTGCAGAAGATCGTTTCCCGGACGTCTGACAACTCCAAGTTGTGGAACCCTTGAGACGAGCGAATACACGGAAACGTCGCCTGCGACACGGCAGGAACGTTGCGCACAATTTGATATGCAGATGTGCCTTAGCTGTTAATCACACGACACTGCCACAATCCTCTTCCACGCAAGCCCCGTCACTGAACGATAACAAAGGATCTCTTCTTTGAACAACTTGCACTGCACGCCAATGCAGCCCTGAGCTCAGCTGAAGTCCCACTTTGGGCTTTCTGATGCGACGTACTCCATCCTTCACGGCAGTTGCTACCTTTCGGATGCCCAAGTCACCGAGATTCAAGCCAGCGTGGACATGGCAGAAACGGAGAGAACGAAGCTCATGCGCAAGATCAATGAGATCAAGGCAGATCTGATGTTTCACGAGAAGGACGAGCGACGAATCTCAAAGTACATCACTCTTTGTCGCGCGACGCTTGCCCCGATCCGGCGCCTTCCCGAAGAGGCGCTGTCCCTCATCTTTGTAGCCTATGCGGGCCACGATGCAACGCACGATAGTGGGCTGGATATGGAGAAGGGCAGATGGGCTATAGCAAAAGTCAGCAGCTGCTGGCGCAAGGTGGCCTTTGCCACGCCCGCTTTGTGAACGACCATCTCGTACACGTGTAAAGATGGCGTTCCACTGCCGCCCAAGAGCAAGCGTAACGCATCGGCGTTGTTGGAGCTCTGCATTGAGCGGAGTGGCACGCAGGCCCTATCCATCGAGCTGCAGTGCGGCAACAGTAAGCTGCACGAATGCGACACCGTACTGTAGTTGATGGGGAACCACTGTGCGCGGTGGGAGACAGCGCACCTCGACATGCCGATGGCCTTGTTTAACGAGCCTCTTTTGGCGGAACCTTTTGCGCTCCCGCTTCTGCGGAGGTTGCGACTGAAAGTCTATTCCACCCGCCACCCGCCGCCAGCCTTGTCGGGGAATACCGCTTTCTCCGTCGCGCCATTCTTGACCGACTTGGAGCTGACGTACGGGGGTTGATGGGAATTTCCTGTTTTTGCTACCCTGGGCGCAAATTCCCACTTACCACGGCTCTCTCTATCCTGGCGGGGGTTTCGACGTATTGTCTGTTGCGAGAAGTGCCGAATCAATCTTCGACCAAGACGCAGATTCCATCTAGTCTATTTCTCAGGCCAACGGCGATACTTTCACGACCCACACTCACCTTCGCGTGCTTGTGCTAAGTTCACAGATCTTTCCCGCTCGAATGAGGTTTCCTTCGTTGAGACAGCTTAATATACGCGCGGGAACTCTGGGGGCTGAGACAAGGTCACTCGTGGTGATCGAGAGGTCGGGGCCGTGCCAACTGGAGACGCTTGTCGTTCGAGAGCTCGTGCTTGCAGGCAAAGATACAGTATATCATCGACTGACTGCGCTGCTCAAGCTTGTGCCCTGGCTCAGGCATCTCTCCCTCGATGGTGCGTCTGGCAGCTCGGGGAGTGATGCGCTATTCGACGACTTCCTCGATCATAATGACAATGACCAAGCACCACTACTTCCATCTCTTGAAAAACTGACGCTGAACGGAATTTCCCTCAGTAATGCCTTCATCCGATTCCTCGAAGAGCGCGAGAGGCCTTCGCCGAGTATCAGTACCACGCTGGAATGTCTGGAACTGAAGCGCGTGCACGAGACGACCACGGATGTGCTGCAGAAGATCCGAAAGATCGTAATGCAGGGAGGACACAAAGCTCTGCGTCTGGTCACGACCGAGTTGGAACAGACTCGGCGAGTCTTCTTCCCTTTGCCTCAAGATGTCAGTTTTGACTCCTCCATCAGGCTTCTTCATCCAGTCGATATCCCCGCAGCAAAGGGCGCCACAGATGGCTTGCTGGATGCGGCTGGAATTGAGCACGACCAGTCGTCTTATCGAGCCGATGGATATGCATTTTCCATCATGCGCCCGTACTGACGCTGAACCGAAGCAGCTGTTCCTGCCCGCTTTCCACGAAGTCTGCCAGCGCTTCAATAAACCATGCCTCACAATCCCATCTATCGCGAGGCAGACTTTCTCCTTCATACACCCCTGCATCTCAATTCTCCGCTATCCCGGCACGCCAACGAGAGTCTCCGCCGCACTTGCCGTGAGTTAGTACGGCGATTGATGCGCCGCAGCCGAGGAATGGACGGTGACACTGCCAGCGAATACGAGCGAAGCGAAATCAGGGATAGCCAGTGCCACGATGGAGTGTCAAATGTTTGCGGCCAGGGGCCAGGCCATTGCACTAGGATATCCGAGCGGCAGGTGCGATTTTCCATCGAGTCAGGACTGAATGATGCCAATCGAAGAACACAATTCAAGGCGACGGAAACACCTTGTACTGGACGTTTCTCTCGTAATCACAGGTGACAGCAGTCTCACAGGAAATGCCCTCTTTACGCAGAACATCCTGGAATCGGACGAGTGCTGTCGCGGAGGCGATATCTCGCGTGAGCATCTGGAAGCGAACGCTCGGAATGGCGCGCGTTTGAAGGACCAGATCCCTTAGACGAAATTCATTGCCGTCTTGAGGTGACAGTGTATAGTTCACCGTGGGCATCAAGTCCACGTCGAAGATGATTTCTTCGAGACATGTCGAACTGGAGAGCATCGAATGCAGACCCAAGACGGATGGCAAGAGGCGATAGTGCGACGTGATCCAGTGGAAGTAAATCCCGTGCCCGATCCTAAAACGCCGAAGGCTGGTCAGAGTCTCGAGCCCCAAGAGGCGGAGATTATCTGCGCAGAAGCGTCAACAAAAGTATAAATGAAACCGGAGACAGTAACGCCGGAAAGAGAGACACCTTCCAGCGACGGGCACGGGTGAACATCCAGGTGTAGATCCTGCAGAATCCCGTTCAGACCCGTAATGAAACCGGCGAAGACAGGAATTATCGACGGCAGTTTGGCGGATGGGATATGAAGGGAAAGGCCCTTTGTCTGTGGCGCATCCGCCCCCGCCCTGAGCCAGGTAAGTACATCGGGGTTTGTCTGGAACCCACGAACAGACAAATGCTCCAGAGGCGCCTCGAATGCGCCATAAGGATACCTGCCGTCCGTGGCGTCTCCCCACGTCACCCACGCAAGCTTCAGCTCGGACACGTCCGGGAGCCGAGCCATCAGCCGCGCAAATTGGGCGGCGGACCTGAATTTCGTGTGCTGCAGAGAAAGACATCGGACATGGGGAAGGACTGGAAGGTCGTCGTGGTCTGGTGGGAAGGATCCCAGGACAAGCACAGTCAGACCGCGAAGGAGCGAGAGCGACGGGAGGAGGCTTAATGCTGTCGGGTGGGAGTTGGACGGCCACAGTCGGAAGTCAAGTATCCTGGTGTGATTTCGAAGAACCGAATGTAGCAGGCTAAAGAAGGCCCCGCTCGTCTTGACGATAAAGCATTCAAACAAATGCTTACGACTGGTCGCCACCCAGTGTCGGCAAACCAGCGAGCATCGAAACAGGTCGGGTCTACTCTGCCACAAAAAGTCGACGATGCGATCTGTCAATTCCGGAGGCAGCACAAGCCCGCCCACAGAACGCATGTGGGACCAAGGAGCCTCCGCGAGTTTCGAGATGTCCTTCGACTTCTTTGAAACGCCGGATGACGGCCACTGGCCATGCAGATCCGGAGCGACGTGGTGAGAGAGAGCAAGAGAAGAGAACTTGTGTGCTACCTACCGGTGGCGGCGCAGTTATACCCAGCGGTCAGGCGTGTTGACCCCGAAGCTGAGTTGGACGCAGTAGCATGAGCTTATATGACCCCACCACTGGCAAAATGTGCGCTAGCGCAGCGCTCTTCTGCAGCCATGTACGTAGCTGGTGGATAGATGTGAAAGAGTGCGGTGGTAAAGCAGTCAGCCACTCGAGAGTTGATGCCGACTGTGGCCGAACCAAGTACTGTATTCCGACTGATCGATCATATTCGTCCTGTCTCTTGCTCTCATTGCATCTCTGATGAACTCTCTCTCTGTCATGCATGAAATCAGCTCACTCCCAAACGTCATTCACAGCAGGCACAGCAAATGCTGTAGATATCTAAGCTGCTGTACCGGCACCTCGGCATAGGGCGCCGGTGCGCAGGAAATGACTACCCGTGTAATTACTCTGATCATCTTCAGGTGATGATCTTGATGAATTCTATACGCCTCTTCTCTTCCTTCCTCTTCATTTGCCATAGCGTGGCTGTCCCTGTGACCTGCATCCACCATCTCCTTTCAAGAAAGTACCGCCCAGGGCTGGGGACATCAACAGGCGTCTCCAGCGCTAAACTTTGGCGTCCAACTGATGCAATCGTTCCAGAACGCCCGTCCATCCGAGAAGGGCTTGGTCTTTTCGCGTCCTCAAGCCACAGACCAGTCCGATGCTGTTCGCCCGATTCGGACTAGAATCTTATCTTCGTCATTGGTCTAAGGATATCTCCGTCAACGATGTCTGGCCGGCTTTTGCGGAACATTTTCTCTGCACACGCGCGCAAAATTGTATAAAGACCCGCACGAACCATCCATCCGACAGCGACTGCACCTTGCCCTCACTCGACACTCTTCTACTACTCACCTACCGTCCATGTGCACCTCGTCAGCCTCCGGCGTCTGCAAGCCAGCCACTTTCTCGCGAGGGTCGAAGTCAGTGACGACAACCACCAACCTTCCCGTTGCGGGAATGGGCAGCAACGGTCCGCAGTGCGCCCACTGTGGCTGGCGCGGTGGCGGACACGCGTGCGTCATACTCTTTGTTTGGACGCTGCCGGCCGCTGACGCTCCGTGTAGCCCGAACTGCCCTTTCAGTATGTCCATTTCTGTCGCTGGGACAGCGTCTCTGATGCCACTGTAGGATAAGCAACCCAACACTCAAACGACAGTCGCTGTCTCGCGGCTTCCGAGGTGCGCTAAGACCTTCTCACGCAACGCGCCATTTTCACGGACTGGGGCGGCCAGATTCAGTCAGTCCGAATGTACCATACTCATACGCTCTCCTCTCTGTAATTGCCGAACGTTTCTGTCTCGCACTGTACACGACCCACGTTTTTGAATATGAAACTCTTTGCATCAGGTTTCGTTGTGCTTTCTACGGTGTAAGAATCCAAGTCTATCTTCGTCTCGTGCCGCGCCAGCACAGCTGGACCTGATTTGCGCCCGCAATGTGGCATGCTTTCTCGCGTTGCGTGTCAGCGTTTGACATTTGGAAGTGCCAAGTGCTGACCGTGCCAAACGTATGTATCGAGAGTTCTATTCACGGATGCAGCCCGCAATCTGATACATGGGAAATCAAGATTCTGCATCACAGCTCCACTTGCCCGGACGCGGCTGCAGGATGAGTTGCCGATTCGGGAAACAGGCAGCCACGTCCGCGTTTATTTTAATCAGCCGAATCGAAACATCTGAAGACTGATAGGTACGGTTGGATTCGTTCGGCCTCGAGTTTCAGACAGCTCAGGGTCCTCCCATTTGCGCGAAGCGTCACGGAGACATGTCCGGAATCTCCGACCGTGCTGTCAGCCAAGGTGAACACGGCTGCTTCCCGAGTTACTCCCATCATCCCATCTTCAAGAGATAGTTGCCGTCCCTGCCCTATGACCTCTTTTTTGTGCGCACGCAACAAATTACAGCCGTCCAGCTGTCAATCCGTTTTCGGGAACTTGCCTACTTTGAATGCGGTTTGATTTCTGATTGGCAGCTCACAGCTTCTGTTGAATTGCGGAGTTGTAGGTCCAGTCAAATGTCGGAATGCCAGAATGTTGCGGCACCGACACAATACTATCTTAGTGCGGAAAATGAGTTTTATGGGTGTTAGTTCGGGCTTCGGCTACGATATCAGCAAATTCGAATGATGACGCAAGTTTGGTTTACGTGACTTATTTACTCGCTTAGTTGGATCTCCCCTGTTTTCCCTGGTCCAGTATCGACATTCGAAATTGTGGCTGATGAATTCAGGATCGAATGAGAATCCTGTTTCCCAAATCGAATGAATGTCAGTGCGAGACGATGCGCCCTGTTACAAGATGCTGAATCTTCGCTTCCCTCTGTTTTACAACATACAGCGTTGTCGTTCGGGTCCTGCCGATCGAATTGATCCGTTCTGAAACACGCCCCGGTGTCCTTTTTGGTGGAGGTCCAGATTCTCTCTTGCTCTTGCCGCGCGCAGATTCTATCGAGCAGTAGGAACACTCGTGAGTCCGCCCGAAACTCCAAGTTAATCAACGCTGAGAAGGCGTTCGAGAGGCTTGGCTCTGGCTCTGGCTTGGGCGCCGGTCACGGCATGCAATAGCTTACTACTACTGCTAGGAGCACGGGCTGCCTTCCCAGCTGCGGGTTTTCTCCCGAATGTTCGCCGACTATCCGTTTTCACACTCGCTGTCCACTGGACATCTTAACTGCCCAATCACAGTCATGAATCAAAACCCATGTCCAACTCATGCCCAGCTCCCGAACAGAACAGCTGCTCTTTAGGCCGCAAGGCTTGCACTGGCCGACTTCTCAATCTGTGATCTGGAAAGCACGACTGCAGCCGCGCGGCATCCTCAAACTCGCCGATGTCTATCAGACCTCGTTTCTCAATCCGTTTGTGTGATATTCGAACAATCGTGGATGTAGGGTGGGCTTGGCCTGCCTCCTGTCTTCCCGCGACCAATGAATAGCACTTGGGCCTGTCTATCGGAGTGGGCCTAGTATTTTAGACCGCTCTGGGACCGCTCATGGCCCACGCTGCACCGCGAACTACGGACCGGATCCAGATCTCCCGCAGTCAGTACAGCGGTGCTGTCGTGCTATCACTCCATCAGCGCACTGCGACCGCGGTGTCTGTTGCACGCGCACACGGACGGTGATGGGTCCTGCGCCATGACTAATGCTGTTCGATTCTTTTGCATCAGCTGGATCTGCTGGCGCGTGTCGGCGAACCTCAGACGCCCGGTCATTCGAACATAATATTGCGCGACGGAGAGCGACACGAATCGCGAATCGCTAGATGGTATCTCGCAGCCATTGAATCAGATTCCGCTCTGACCCGTGAGTCGGAGAGACGGTCACCAAGGAAATATACTAGACCCTGTGGTTTGGGACTCGAGAGATTCAGTGATTCGATCGAACTCGCGATTGAACGCATGGGCCGGTCCCAAGTATCAAGCAAATAGGATCGAGAACAAAGTCTTGGGTCTTACTAATTCAATCTGACGCGCAAGTATGAAGAATTACTTGTCGTGAAGTCGGTAAAAACACTGTATCGTTTGTGTCATAAACAGGAGTGTCAGACAACGGTTTGAGCGAAGCAATCCTTGCTTAGCTCCCAACAGATCTATCACCTATGCTTAGATGCCGGCGGTAAGATCTAGTGGAATCTAAACTCGTTTGGATTGGTATACTGTATGTTTAAAATTATCTCTTGCGCGATCAGGCAGGGTTTTTTTTGTCGACTCCAAAATTAAGTCATGATTCAATCTGTCCGCTGTGATTACAAGTATGACCTAGATGATGTAGATCATGGTCTGTGATGCTACTTTACAGTTAACATCACGTGACAGACGTGGAACCACCGGCCCGCTGGCCCGCCCGGCATGTCTTCTCTCTCTGTCACAACGCACCCTGTGTCTTGTCGCACAGATCGAACTCATCGGGAAAGATATGATTGAAAAATCATGATCTCGCTCGAGATCCTGACTGTAAATGGCTTCTGGTACAAAGAGAATTGAAGTTTTTAAATTGATTCCTCAGCGAGGGAGGAGTGATCTTCCTGACCTGAGCTTTAAGTATTTTCGACACCGCAAGAACGTCGGCGCCACTCAAAATGATGGATGAGGTACATTGGCCACGGGATGATCGTTCCAGGTCATGTGACTTAGCCAAATTGAACCACCTGCCAAGATATCCGCGAGAAACCGCGAGAAACTTCTCACTACACCTCACATGTCCCAGATTTAACGGTGCCGGAGATAGAGCCAGCAATTTCCGGTTGTTCTGAATAACAAATCAGACGATTGAATCTGTTACATTGCCTGAGAGCTCGTGCTCCGCTCGTGGTTGTGTTTAAGGGCGTCTGACAACAGGCAAACACTCTGGATTAAGCCTGTCGAGATTGTACCTACATCATTATTCCGCTAAGAAGGCCGGTACCTTCTGCTTCTGGATTACAGGTCGCATGGAATCACGATCGCTGCATCTTTCAGCTAATCCAGACATTTGCTGGGATGTACTGCACATCATGTCCATCCGCCCTACCACTTTCGAATGAGTAGGCATTTGATCTTCCTCGCAGTATCATTTTCTCGCAATCCTCTGTGATGTCTCGGCTTTAACATTCTTAGCATCGTCTCTTCAACTTGTCTCGTCACGAGTCGCTAACTCCCGAAACGGCTTGATCGCTCCGCTCTCCTATTTCCCGGTGCTGCGTCTTTAGCTATATGTCTTTTATACCTTCCCCATCGCACGCCCCCGGATGTGTTTCCATGCTTCTGGCAAGGACTGCCGGAAAATCACACCATGATTTCATATCGCGAAACACGGTGCTTCTGCCAGATAGAGGCTCAGCGGAACACGTGACATTGCGCGGGCCGGCGGGTTTCATACCGCCACTCACGACTTCCAATTTGGCTGAAACAGAGCTGACGGTAATACCAGTTTGCTCACATGACGTCCATTGAGCATCGCGAAGATGTATTTTAGTATTGAATCTTCTATCGATATCCTGTGGAGTGAGACTGGCAGTTTAAAAACGAGATACCTCTCTCTCAGGAGCAACACTGCCTATGATGCTGCTGAAATCTCTCATTTCCACCGCCCTCCTCCTCGCAACATTTCCCACTGAGACCCAAGCCGTAATCGAGTGCAATGTGCTCGACTACGGCGCCGTCGCGGACAACGTCACCGACATCGGCCCCGCAATGACCGCCGCATGGCAAAACTGCGTCATCCCGAGCGTGAACAGCACTGTCGCCACGGACGTCCAGCTGCTCGTGCCCAGCGGAGATTTCCGGCTGACGACCATGGTTCTGTTCAACCACGCGACCCACTGGAATTTCCACCTCGTCGGCAGCCTGTATTTGCCGTTCAATACGACTCTGGGTGGGATCGGTGGGACGATGCTCCAGTGGCAGGTGCGCACGCACACTGTAGATCGACGGGAACGCGGTTCAACCTCGGACGGCTTTAGAACTGCGATAATATTCTGTTCGACGGTCCGGGTGCGATTTTCGGGAACGGGTACCGGTACCGAGAAAACAATGATGTAGGTTTCTCATCCTTGATTCGAGGCAGCTCTGATCGGAGTCGACTGCAGCTGAGTCTTTTCCCCAACCGCCCTCGGTTGGTTCGGTTCCAAACTTGCAACAAGTGCGTCCCGGATAGACGACGCGATTCTTGTGCGCTGATATGCTAACCAACCGCGGAAACCAGCATTGAGATCACTGAGATCACCTTGTATGACGCGCCGATGTTCCATGTCACCATCATCGGAAACAAGTAGGCTCACGCTTGTGATCCGCTCTTGGACAGACCCCTGATCATCCGCGGCCAGCAACTTGGCACATGACATGACGATCAGAGCCACTCATGTTGGTCAGTCCGCTATCGTCAAGTGGCAATGCGGTTTTTTTTTATTGAACGCGCGTGGCAGGTGAAACGGATGGGTTCGACATGAGCGGAAACAACAAGTGCGAGAATATTTTCCGTCGCCGAATCTTGCTCAACCGGCCTCTGTTCAGCTATGTGCATGACGTGATTGTTGAGAATGGCGATGAGGTATGCGGAAGAGACCAGCTCAGACGGCGTGTTGTCTGATTTCATGGCTTGTAGTGCGTGACTGTCAAAACACCTACAAATGTGAGTTTCTCCCTGCCTACTCATTCATGAGCCCCTCTTCATTTTCCACAACAGGGATTCCGCGCGGAAAACCTGATATGCATTCACACCGCTGGATGCAACATCGGCTCGTTCGGGGCGGGAAACACAAATGTCTCTGTGCAGAATGTCTGGTACCGGAACGTAACGCTGAATGAAACCTCGGATGCGGGGATCATGATTAAATCGTATCCCGACAACATCGGTTTCGTCCGGAACATCACTTACCATGATTTCACACTCGTACGCGGCTGCTTCTCTCCTTTTCGTTGTTTTATCATTTTTTGCGAAGATTGAGCCCGATTTCCCTCTGTGTAAGTTCCAACCGGGAATTTCATTTCCGAACCCAAATCGATTGACGACAGATATCGGCGTGTTCTGGAGGGGCAACGGCATCGACACCGGAAAACTGGAAATCTCCGATGTGCATTTCGACGGAATATCGGTGCGTACTGATTCTGGACCCGAGTAACTTCCTGCTGACGACTCTGTCGGACAAATAAGGGTTTCGGCAGCACCACGCGACCTGCGGTTCTCCTCGACTGTAATGCTGCCACGCCATGCAAGAATATCACTGTATGTCCAACTTTCTCATTCTTCTGCTCCTGATTGATCGACTCACTTCACCTGTTCTTAGTTTGAAAGTGTTTACGTTTGGGGAGGGGTAGCAAACCAAATCACGAATGCGTGCGGATCCGGGTTCACTGGAGTGCCGGCTTGTTGATAGTGCAGTAATCAGTTTCAATTCGTCAATTTCAACGACATGTATGCAACGCAAAAGATTTGAAAAGTCGAGATCTACAGATTATTATTCCACCAATCTTACGCGGCTGAGTAACGTTTAGATAGCTCCGTATGGTGGATGACTCGCCGGTCTAATCTCCGTGTTGTTAAAGTTGTTCAGATACGACCCCCAATCCCCCAGCTCCCAAGTCGTTGGAGCGTTGTTCCACATCGCAATCGTCCCGTCGTCCAAAAAAGGAGGAAACTCGGACTCGGGGCCGATCCCGAAGCCCTCATTCGCTTGCACGTAAGGTGAAGATCCGTCGAAACCCGCCCATTGGCTGTTGGGTGGTGAAACTGAACTTGATGGTGTGAAGGAGGCAGAGACAGATTCGGGGTAGACAGACGCAGGTGGATTCGGATGGGGACGAGATTGTCTCCTCGGTGCGTGATCAGGCGATGCCGGAGGTCGATTAGCGAACTGTGGCAGTGTCGCAAGTTCCGCAAAGATGTCCCTTGGCAAGTTCTAGAACACAGCACAAACAGGTGCAAAGGGCGAACGTACCACATCAAACCTGGACCTCGCCATCGACCCTCCGCTACTCGGGCAGCCTCCATGCACTTATATACGTTCCCAAGTTCGCGCGACGAGTCGGACAATTTCCCACTCCAGACATTCAACAGCAGAACCATACCCGCAACGAAAATCGGCGACTGGTTCATTAATAAGTTACACATGGATTCGAAGCCGGCTCTGTTCCACTCACCAAGTTGATAACCACCGGGACATCTCCTTTTCGTTGTCGCTGCGCGTGACATAGATTAGCGCAAGCTCGTGCGGCGTTGGTGCAGATCGTTAGTGATGGCAGAGCCTGTCGCAAGTAATGTCAGAGCAAGGTAATCGGAAGCGCAATGGCAACCTCACCAACGGCAGTGTCTTGCGCAACATGGGGATGAACGGCCGATGAATGAAGATCTGAAGATGATGATATTCACACTGCAGCGCAACGGATTGATCGAAGAACACTGGATCGACACGCATGGGGTCCCAACGAACTAGAAGATCGAAGAATCTCGTAACCAATGTGCATGGAATACGAAACGAATACACTCACGATGCTCAGGAACATTGTCCAACCATTGATTAAGTGCAGAGTCCAGTTCAGCCACGACACTTTCCTCGAACAAAGCCCCGTTCATATTGAACGCGGTGCGCGTTTTATACAGCGGATACTATAATTGTGAGACGCGCCAGCTCAACACACGATCGAGCAAAGCTCACCAAGATTTTAAGACTGAAAGCCAGGAGATGGTTCAAACCAATCACAGTGTTGAAGAAGGATACACGTGAAGGAAATCCCGGCGGCTGCTGGAATGGCCGTTCAGGATTTTCCCAATACTCGTCGTCACATTCGATTGGAGGGTCGACGTCAAACCTGAGCGCTTTCAGCTCTATGAAGCAAACAATCTCGTGATGCTGACGGCCACGCACTCATCATACTGCAGAGCGCATGACCGGCCCATGGCGGCACTGACACTGCGGTCCATGACCAAGAGATACCAGAAGGCTCTTTTGGTCAGCTCGCGCTCGACGGTCAGATCCTCGTCAGAACTCATGCGTCGATGAGCTCCCATGTCCTGATAGACAGATCAGATCGAATAAGACTGAGAAAGAGGAGGAATGAGCGAACCTGAGCCAATCGCAAACCGATCCCAATCAGGGTCCAACAAGCCTGAGGCGCGCACGCATGTTCTAGGAATTGGACCGCAAGCTGAAGGTGGATACTGAGGGACATGCGCAGTCACAGAATAAGGCGCATACCACGTAGTATTGAAGATCGTACAGCGTGCCCTGGTTGAACAGATGCCCTCCAACGAAGGGAACCTGATCGAACCACTGCCAGCCGCAATTCAAATTGCGAGCTCCTGGTTCGGTCGGGCCCCCGACCCTCGGATCGTGGGACCAGCGGGAAGCGACAGAGCAAAGAAGGAGAACAACGGCACCGAACCCAGTGTCTCTGTGAGTTGGTCAACAGCGGATAATAGGATTCGATTCACGGCGCTTGCCTGTGATGTAGTCCGGCTAGCAGATGCCTCTCGAGCGTCGGCCGATGGAATACCGGATAGTAAATATTCATGTGTTGGAAATACAAATCCACCAGTTCGAAAATGAACCCTTGTTCTGGAAAGACATAGGGGCGCAGGGTTGGAATGGATTTCTCCCACTGCCACTCTTGAGTAGTCTGATGTGGAGGCACAAGGAGTATAGGACACACCGGCTTGAAGTTCCAAAACTCCCAGCGCTTGTGGCTCCATCCCAAAAGACTATCCGGGCACGGGTCTTCCCACACTGCCTCCGGGCTGTCTGCAAGATCGGGCGAAGATGCGGCCGAATTGGCATTCGAGATTTGCTGACGCAGAGAAGCCTTCGTCACTTCGTCGCGCATATCCATCGTCACCTTCATGAGCTCAACCCCGGACGACTTGCCCATGAAGTGTTTCTCGGGTTTTTCAGTGAAAGTCAGATGTTCCAGCTTCGCAGAATCGTGAGCGACGCAAGAAAGGAACACAAAATACAGACCGACTCTTTTCGCAATCTCGATGTGAAGCAGAGGCTCGGCTTGAGCTGAGCGCGGCGGGGACGTCAAGTGTTGTAGTGCATTTCGTAGCATTTCAAGCGAGGCGGACGGCAACGCAACCTGTACCCCATTCTGGATCAATTCAGGGGCGCACATGGCTTGCAGGCGGGTCCACATGCCTTCTCTGAACCGTTTGATGTTTCCGATGCTGCGGAGGGCAATGGTGCGGAAATGGCAAACTGCGCCGCAGCGAGCTCGGCACGAAGCTGTCTGACCAATGCCTCCGAGCGATCGAGTCGCGCTTCCAGAGACTCGACGTAGCTGCTACTGAAGTCATGTCAGTGTTATGACCGCATCCACCCGATGGTCGCAATCGTACTTCTTAGGTGGAGCACGTTTCTGCGAGCAGCGGTCCGGAGTGTGAGCACGCGAGAGGGGTGTAATCAAGCGAATCAAGCAGACTCACCACTGCACCCTCCAAGTAAGTACACTCCGAGTTCGCGTCCTGACATGTCGAGCACCGGGACCCTGGCTGCTGTGAGCCGTCGCCTGAGTCCACCAGAAGGTTCAGCGCCTGTATCCCAGTCGCAAGGGGTATTCGAATTGTTTACGCACAGCGACCTGGCCGCAAGATCAGTAACGCGATCTGTGTTCTGAGGCACGCGAGACGTACTTTTCCTCCTTCGACATAGATCACAGGCTCGCTGTACGCGGCGTTTCTTCACGCGATACGGATCGGGGCCATAGTCTTCCTCGTTTGATGACATTCACTGCGGGAACGGAGGAGGTGTGGGAGACAGAGGGAGAAAGCTAAGAAAGGGGGCAAAGGCCGACGAGAGTGGGTAAGAAATGGAGAAGTGTCCTCGGCACATACACGTCATGTATCACGGGGATGCCGGGAGTTGCATATCGGTGACTCATCTCGTCGGTAAACACCGAAGTCCGCGATGAAAGCCATGTCCATACGTAGACGCATCGGGTAAAACGAGAGCTCTGATACGGTTGTCCCGCTCTGGAAGGAGCTGCGGAACATAAAACCCGCCTGGCCATGATTTAGGTGGGGGCGACTCTCTCATGAAAATGAAATTGCGTGAAGCACGTGATAATCGCTGGACAGTCACACGGAGTCACAATCTATCTACTTCTCTCTTGTCCTCCGCTGGGTCGCATCGTACCACCTGTCATAATCAAGCCAGTCATCGCGACTTGTCTTCCGCTCTTCCGGGGCTTCAGTCAGCGCGGAAGCGGCATTGATGCCGAGGGCTCGGAATATGAGTCAAGGACGGATCTGGATAAGATGTTGCAGGTGAGTATTAGATAAGATCCACGCAGGCTTGCTACATGTAAGTATTATTGTAGTACAAACTACTAACACTGAGAGTACATTTGGTCACTTCTGATTTATCGATCGTACAAGCCTTGCAGGACTACTATTAGGTTACTTTTGCGCCCAAGCGGACAAACCAGTCGTAAGTTGTTGGGTGCCCTCCTCGACCGCTTCGCAAAGCTGGATGGGAACTATGCAGCGGAAACCGAGATAGGACGTGCTTGCGGGCGATTACGGTGCCCATGATGGCCTCCTATCCGCGGAAGGTGGAGAGCGTGGAGCAAGTCACCGAAGCGGGAGTGGTGCTGATGTTCCTCCTTGCCCGATTGTCGGGTAAGGACCGGAAGTGACACCTCGACCGGCAGCGTTTCGGGGACGGACAGTGTCATGTGCGGTGTGGGTAGGGACGACGAGCATGTGCTGGTGGGGCTCGATGGCTCGAGCTCGGGAACAGTATGTCGATGGTGGTGGTGAGGGTGGTGATACGGGTGGCGATGATGATGGTGAGAATGCCGGTAAGAGGAGGATGTGGTAGATGGTGTGGAGGAGGAAGACTCGGATTTCACACCAGACATGTCTGCCACAGCAGGCAAACCCGACTCAATCGCACCCGTCTCAAGGCCCATGACTCCTTCCCAATGCGCCAGGATCTCCTCCTCCTTCACAAGCAGATCCCAATCGAGGACCTCGAGGAACTCTCGCTCAATCCGACCGATGTCTCGCTTCCCAAAGACACCCGTGCACAGCGCCCAGTGCACATTACGCAGAGTGCTGTCCTGCGTGAACTTGCTCGCGACAATGAGCGCGCCCAAGAATACGCGCTCCAGAGCCCAATCTTCGATTGCGATGGAAAGGTGCGCACGCGCTCTGGCGATATATACCAGGGCAACGAGTACGGTAGCAGGTGTGACTTCGGCGCGGGAGAGCACCGAGCGAACGAACTTGGGAAACTGAGACTCGTAAGAGGGCAGCTTGGAGGTGCGCTGCGCATGGTCGTCTTGGTTTGGAGAGTCACGGGTCAAAGCGAAGCGGACGGTATCAGATACGCATTCGACGATGTATGCTATCACAGGCAGCATCAGCGGTCTATTCCTCCCTAGTGAAAAGAAACATGGCATACCTATCACAGAAGGGGTGAACTCGATATCCAGAAGTTGCAGGATCGCAGAAGAGTGGTTGGCCGGATCTACAAGCGAGGCGGGATGTACGGGAGAGTGCGGGCTCAAGCCGGATGCGGAAGTCGATGCGGGGGACCACGACGAGTAGTCGGTCATCGAGGACATGATGCTACGGGGAACGGACGGGGGCGACGGGTAATCGGAGTGCGGTTCCCATTTTTCGAGATTCTGGTTATAAAGCCATAACCCGCCTCCCCATTTGTTGCCGAAGAGCAAAAAAGAGCCGGGCTGCCGCTCATTGCCGCTTTGGGGATCGACTGTGATTGATCACGTGGTGGTGACGTCGAATTGAGCCACCTCGCCCTTTGACTCGGCCCAAACTTGTACCTGGGAAGCGGAAAGTAGGGAGGGGATAGAATTTGTTTAGAGCAGTGATTGGCTCCAACTGATACGATAAAATATGGTGCAGTCTTACAACCAATGCCTAACGGCAGAAAATACCATATTCACACTGTGTTCGGGGCGGGAGAATCCGGGTGACCAAAAAGGAAATTTTCGGCGGGTCCATACTTTGCCGATCTAAATTGTCGTGTAACAACGATGACACGACCGGGATGGAGTCCGATGGAACGCAGTCCGGCCGTCAGCACCTGCATCAAAACAAAACCGAGAGCATATGGTGCATGTGCCCTTAACACTACCACTTTTGTACAAGGGTCACAGTGTGTCACAGAAGCGTCTGTTTTCTTATCTGTCTTACAGAAACACTCAGTTTGAGGTGTAGAACAAATCTGTAAGAGGGATAATTAATTGCTTCAAAACTGAGGGAGTTGATGTTTTGATTGACACCCCGATTCCGGTTCTGTCACGTTATGTCACGAAATGTGACTAGAAGTCACGCTAAAGTCACCACTTTTGCTGACAAATATGACCTCTTTCAGGCTTCTATGCATAAAATGTGTCTTTCCACTTGATCTGCACTCAATCTGAACCATTTCTGATGCTTTCCCGACCATTTTATTTTTGCAAATTTTCTGACCAGATTCCGGTCCTGTCACAAAGTGGCAGTGACAAGGGCACGTGCACCATAGAAGCACTCCCCGTCCGTCGCTTCCCGAAACCATATGGTTGAGATCCGAGCAAAAGTCGAAGATCATGTTGATCCGCACAGACTCGTTAAAATAAGTTCAAGTTGAACCGGAAGCAAATTATGTAGTAGGTTCTGACAGAACGTCGACAATGGTAAGCGGAAAATCGCCGAATCAGGCACACAAGGGTAGCGTAAGAAAAAATGGCTAAGAACATGAACTAGTTGTGATAAAATGATCTCCCGCAGTCTGAAACTCGGTCGCCGCATCGTCAGGCGACCTCCCCACCAGCGTCGCTACGAGCAGCGGGTCCCTCCACAGCAGTCAGCTGAGGGCCGATGTCGGACTGAAGCTGCATGGGAACGAAAATAGTCTTGCTCTGGGCTGTTTTCGCCATGGCTTGCACTGGAAGTGACGAACGTCAGAGCCACGTGTCGGTCTCGACAGATATAAAAACCCACATGCTTCGAGCTGCCGGATCTGCATCGCAGCGGGACTGGCCAGAATATCCGCCGCCTGTCTCATTAGTTTCGCTGCTTCAACCTCGGCCCGGGCTGCGATGACTTTGCTCTCGCCCAAGCGCTTCTGCTGCGCCGCACTGCTCAAGCTCGCGGCGACGTCTGCTCCGAAGATGATATCCTTGATCAGAATGCCCTCGATGGCAACTCCCCAATTGTCTGCGACGTCCGCCACTATTTCGCCAATCTCGAAAGCGATCTGGTCTCGTTCGGTTACGACCGACTGAACCGCGCGAGCCCCAACAACCTGCCGCAGTGTAGTCTGGGCCCGCTCTACCAAGGCTTTGCGTAAGTCCGTGATCCCAAAAGCAGACCGATACGGGTTGTTGATCTGGTAGTAGATAACCGAGTCGCTGCGGAAAGTCGGCGCAAGAGCGAGGATAAGTCAAATCCAAAAACGTACATCTCCACGTTGACATTGTCGCGAGTACTAGCAGAACTATCAGCTCGTGTCCACAGTAGGATGCAAACTCTCACATCACACTCTGACGGCCGATAGGAATGATCTGAATCTTGACATCGACTATCTTGAGAGACTCAGTGCAGATATTCACTTGCACCAAGCCGGGATCCACAGATTTGTAGAATTGGCCGAAGCGGGAGACAAGACCAACAGATCCTGGTACCGAAATGAGTTGTCCAAAGACAGCAATGGCAATGGGGAAAGTTCACCTTGTTCCACTGAGCGGAAAGGGTTCGAAACGGGACAGCAGGGGACCATCCCACAGATACCAAAAATGGTGCCGACTGCTTGCAAGAAAGATCCGTACGCGCCGTGAACAACCTGTTTCGTTCGGATCAGCGACTGCGACCAGTGTCTCGGGTGGCGACACACCTCTCCAGTTCCAAGATCTTGGGCATACGAAGGCTGAGAGTAACCGTTGGTAAGCAGGCAAAGAGCCCCAGAGATCTGAATCACACCTGCATTTCCTCCCGCTTCAAGGGCTGTACCTTGATGAGATGAGGTTGCTTGACGGCCGAGCCTGTGATGTGAGCTGAAGAAGTTGAGAATCGCGACCGGAGAAGGAGTAAGACACGAGAAACCTGCGCCGCCTGCGTCATTCGGCCCATAGCCCACATCCTGCTCTCCATGATCCACAGCTTTGCCTCGCGACCGCGATGATCCGCTGTACGATGGCGCACGGTCCTTGAGTTCAATATTCGACATGGAGAATGGGTGAGTGGAGCGCCTGCCTGTAGAGAGGCTGGTCGGTTATATGTCCCCTGGTCCCGTTCCGCAGCAGCGAGGGAATGTCCAAGACTGCCACGCATCACGCGGTCTCGCTGGCGATTGAGTGGATCGAATCCAGGATCAGATTGGCAGCTGTCACTGCCATTCATTGTCTCACGTGAAAGCTATTTTAAAACTTACCCCCGATGCACAAGGGGCCTCGTTAGATGTTCGATATGTTCAGCATCGAGTTCAGGCATAGGAATCTCATGAACGATCGAAGATTATCGGATGCATCATGGACTATCATAGACCGAGCAGTAGAGTTGCCTGCGGAATCAATTTTCAGCCTGCATCCGGGCCAATGTTTACCTTCGAAACGCCGCGATACGAATCATTCGGTACACTCAAGTGACCGAAGTGCTGCGCATTCTCCAAGTGCCGTTCAGAGTCCTCGCAATCAAAATCATAGCCGTCCGGCCATTCACTCTGATCCGACCGGTGTGAGATATATAGTTCTATTCTGGACATCCCTTATACAGTGGCAGATCCGAAGGTATATTTAGCACTTTCCGGGTCGTGTACTGAGTATGGTGGCATCCATTCGCAACTATCTGTGTCCTGGTTGAGGTAGCGGGGCTCTCCTTTGATTGTGTGGTCGAATTCGGGATTTTTTGCCGCCTGCGAGGGATCTCCCGCGTCCTCAGCATGGCCCACTAGCTGATTGGGTCGAAAGAGTGAGGCTTTGAGCACCTTCCGGTTGTGTGTTCGTCGGCACAACTTATAGACAACGATAGCGACAAACAATAGGGTGTTTCACGAAGCGTTTTTATGATGTTTTTACGATCCTTTTATGATCCTTTTTTGAGTCCATCAAAAAACGGGTCTCATAAAAAAGTCGCCTTTTTTGCAACAGGTGCATAAAAGCGTTCGAGCCCTTTTATGCTCAGAGGTCTTTTTTTCGGTCAGCTTTTTATGGGCTTTTTATGAGCTCGTGTTATGTCATCTTCTCATGTTACTGTCCCCTATTCTACACTCTTTTCTCTCCTATCCACTATGGGCAATCCTAGGAAGAAGAAGAATGCCAACGAGGGTACCAGCGATGTCATCAAGAAGCAGAAAGCGGCCTCTCGAAAAGTGACCACCACTAAGGTGACCACAAAGGCGACCGATGCCAAAGCGACTGCAGCGGAGGACGGGAACGATGACGACACCATCGAGGTCGAGGATGGGAAGAGGTCCAAGGGTGACAGCATTCCGTGGGAGAAGAACCCAGCCTGGATTGCCAAAGCTATCGAGTTCCTCGTCGACAACCCTTCCTTCCGCCGGAAGCTCTACAGCGATTCCACCAGCGATGCAACCGCGCAGGGCCGTGTCAAGGTCCAGGGCAAGACGACAAAGCTTCAGATGTACGAGATGATGATGGACTATGTTGCTGGCGTGAAATCGGCGGAGGAGATGAAAGAGGATGCGGCCAAGGCAGCGAGTGGGAGCAAGGACTCGGACGGCCTGGTGGCTGAAGACAAGGAGACCGGTGGAGAGGATACGGATGATGAGGCCAACAACACTGGAGTGCTGAGTCCCGAAAATGTTGCCATGTATCTGGGGAATCGTGAACGCTTTGCGAAGTCCCTACAGCAGCAGTTCTCTCGGTGAGCTGCCATGGCTGATATACATGAGCGGACTTGCTTACCGGTATCCAGGATGAAGAAGCAGTATGGCACACACGTCAAGACGTTGTATGACACTGGCGGCGGGGTCAAATCAGAGGAGGAGCAGGCCAACTTGATAGGTATACCATGAGTGATTCTGTTCCGTGTTCTGACCGGAAACCAGAGAAGATCCGGGAGCAGTTCGTTCACTGGGATGACCTGCATGCGTTCTGGCGAGAACTGCCGAACTACAACCCTGTCGGGGTCTCAAATGCGAAGTCTGGTGGCAATCATGCCAAACGAGCAGGCACTATCTTTGGGATGGAGCCGATCTACAATTCAGAGGATAGGAAGGAGACGTCTGTATGGAAGGAACTCAGTGTCGATACACCTTCATCGCCCCGTTCCAGATCCGAAGCATCATCAGAAGCCGGGGCGATAGATGCTGATGAAGATGACAGAGAAGTGGTTGTCGAGGGAAAGGACACAAAGCCCATCAAGTCCGTAAGTCAGCTTCTGAGTTGTCATTTCTGAATTGACCGACAAACTTACCAGAAACCTGAGAAACAGCACAAACTGAAACGCCGCGCTGCATTTGATATCGAATCTCTGGATGAGATCCATCAGCAAGAGCTCGCTGAATCCGCAAATCGGAGCCGCGAACGACTCGCTCTCGAGCTCCAGCGAGAGGAGAACAAACGCCGCAAGCTTGACAATGACAAGGAGCGAATGAAGATGGAAAGAGAAGCGAGGCAGGCTCAGTTGCAGCGGGATCAGATGATGATGAACATGATGCAGCAGATGATGGGCTTCAATCGCAGGAATGGTGGAGTGGGAGCACAGATGGGCCCGCCCCAAGGGCCATATGGAGGAGGGAACATGGGGCAGCAGCCGCAGAACTATGATGCCGGAGAGAACACAGGTCAGCAGCAGAACCCCGGATATCATACTGATGGACTTCTGTCACCGTCCAGCCTCTCTGGATTCAGTTACGGCGATGCGGGTAACAGTCAGTTCTCAGGTTCAAGTTCTCCAAGCCAGTATCGATTTGATTAGCACATATTCTATCTATGAAACATGATGATTCCTTCGTCGAGTAACACCGCTAGCAAAGAGCGCTTCCTTCACCTTTCTTCGCTTCCTCTGCCCAGATGACTCTCAGCCCCTTCTGTTACGCCTCGCAGGAGCTGGGTCCTCGTCATCTTCGTCATGCCCATCATCCTCCGCTCCGTCCCGAATGAGTTCTTCCTCCCACTCTTGATCCAGGGTGCCCTCCTCCGACTCGATGTTGTGAATGAGTGTGTGTAAAACGAGGCAAGCTCGGATCCACTCTAGCGCGCGAAGATGATCTGTTTCGTTCTTGATCTGTTGACGAAGTCCGCGCAGTGATTGGAATCGACCCTTGAGGAAGCCTACAGCATGCTCAGATCGGATGCGGACATGTGAGACCCAGTAGTTGAAGGTTTTGTTCTCGGCAAGGCCGTTTGCTGGTTTCTTGAAAGGCGTGACACACCATGATTCCGATGGATACGCTGAATCCCCCCAGATCCACTCGTTCGGTCCGATCAACTGAGCATGATCCTTGCAAGTCCTTGATTCAGCAAATGCAGTCGAATCATGGGTGCTGCCTGTGTGTCCAATCACGTAGTCGATAATGCGGAGATTCGGCAGTGTAATCAGCTGTGAGACAGATCAGACTGCGTCCGGTTCCATGAACGTTCAGAACGCACCTGAACATTGAACGAGTAGTTGCTTTTGCGATCGAAATACGCCTCTCCGTGATAGGCAGGCTTCTCTGCCAGAGGAACGAGAGTACCATCCACTAAGAGCCACCCGTCCCTCCATGCTGCACAGCTCTGTTCTTCGACCCAGTCTTTCGCATCCTCTTTCATCTCAGCGTTTGGCCAACGGATGACAGTGTCGTGAAGATCCAGTAAGGCGATGATAACCCGCCGCGTAGCGTTGACAACCATGCCGGCAGACACACCCGCCCATTGAGCGATGGACTCTACGGATGCGCTGTTGCCGTAATGGCCAAATCGGAACAGAGCGATGGCAAGCTGGCGGTCCACAGGGAGCTGACGTTTCCCGGTCTCCTCCTCCCCTCCAAAAACCGGGTTATTCTCGATTTGTCGGACGATCCCATCAAATGTATTGGGTGCCACGCGAAGATTGCGTCGAAAGCGAACAGGGTCATCTTTGCGGTACAGAACAAGAACGAGACTGAGTTGAGACCTCTTCGGAACCTTGGTCCTTGGCTTCAGAGTGCGCACGCTCTCAAGCTGCTGAATGCGTTCCCGTATTGCCGCATATCTTCCAAGATACCGCCGCGTCTCCTCATCCTCCGAGTCAGCGGCATCTTCAGGACCGGTGGATGCAGATACGGATGAGATTGACGATACGTTGCTAACATCACTGATGTCCATAGGGCTACCAGGGCGACCAACGTCCTCTACCAGTTCCTGCCAGTGCTCGTCTCCCACTTTTCCCAAAACGACCTCTTCTTCCCGTCTCTCCCTCCGGTCCCTTTCCCGCTTTCTCCATGCTTGTAAACGTCGTGCGTAAGCGTAGGCGCCATCGATAAGTCGTTTCCGTAGCGAGACCTTGGGCATGGATTGGGAGAGGGAAGAGTGTCACACAGTGTCACATTACCTTCGACCGGTCGCCTGTAATCGGGGAACCACGTGAGATCGAGGCATGTGACGAAGCTACCTCAGCATCAAAGAGGATAAAAGGACACTTAAATTTGGGGGGGTTTCACGAAGGGACCCTTTTATGCGCTTTTTATGGTCTTTTTCTGTTCGTAAAAGCAACATAAAAGGAATCGTAAAAACGTCATAAAAACGCTTCGTGAAACACCCTAATATGGCGGCCATGATAGACGCGGTAATAGCCACAATGTTTACCTTCGGAAGCACGGGCGCAGGGGAGCTGGTTGCTGAATTCGGCTTCCCTGTTTTCTGTGGAACCTGGCCATCCTGCACTAGAACGATATCAGGATAACGAAATAATCCCGGGGCAGCCACCCGCCTCGGCCCAAGGACGAAGAATCGATAGCTTCAGACGAGCTGGCTGGAAATATTGAGCATGTGCACGTTGAAGATTCAGACGTCACGAAAGCGGCTGCCGTGCTGGGTGCGAGTGGGCCGGTAAAGATTTTTGTCACTGGTCCGGTCTTGGATCGATAAACGATGTGGATGCATCGCACATGCGCGTTGTCAAGAAGGCTGCAAGAAAAGTTTGGGGGGGCATCTTCGGCCGGTTCCACATCCGAGGATGCTACTGTCCGTGCCACTGTGATCAACGCGTTCATATACGTCGTCCAAGACATGACTGAACTTGAACCGGCAGTAGCATGCGAGGTCCCGTGCCACGACGAGACTGGTATCTCCACGATCGAAGCCATTGTCATATTGCCAAGCGGCGATTCGGCGACAAAGCTTTTTACAGATTCGAGCGAAGGGACTTCATAAGCCAGGCATAGTCCTAGAAAGCCAATTCTCTGAATGAACTGGCAACCGTTGAGAGTCACATACTATATAGCCCACAGAAAACCACGGAAAGGCATACACGCATGAATGAGCACAGGGGCATATGTTCAGTGCGCTGGGTAACGAAAGAATCCTCCTTCCAGCGACCTGTCGCTGGAGCGGTGGGAGATGCAAATAGAGAAGAGGCTCCGAGACAGCTGCACTCCCAGTCTGTTATACGGAAGCCAGGGAGAGTTTGGGAATGCGGGTCTCACATCGCAGAAAAGATGGAACTCATCTCGCTGAACTTCACTACCATCGCTCTGACGAGAACATACTTCTGCGATTGACAATCCGAGCGGGAGATGAACTCTGTCCCCTCATGATGTGGGGTCAAATCACAATACGGAACAAGGAAAGTGAGGCAGATCATCGTGATGGAACCAGGAAACAAATCTTCATCGAACACAGGCTCAACACTGGTATTGGATCCCGCCCCGTCTGGTGAATCATTGAGCGTAGTCCTGTGTAGTCGTAGGATCATGAAACTATCACGACGGCACCGACCTATCTGTCAATCATCGTCAGCCACTGACAATGCTAATCAAACTACTCCGATTGGTTGTCTAACTTCGTCTTGTGCGCGTGAAGCTTGAGTGTTCTCTTCGGAGGCGTGGACTCTCTCACATCTTGCTTTGTTCGATCGCGGGCTCATAATTCGCCACTACAGTTGTTATGATATCTGCTGCACAGGACGTAGTCCATCGGTCGATCGGTTCTTGTCTCAAGCACACATCTACATAAACGATTACTCCTAGCGTCACACATTTCAGCCCCTCAACCCCCTTCCCGCTCGTTGAGCGAGCACTCTAGAAGGTCTTGGTCTCTGGAAGACGAAGCGCGATTTGTCAATGTCCGTCGTCTGCCAGCACCAGAACGGTCGGGATATGTTTCTTGCCATGGAAGAGAGCCTGGAGCTCTCGACATATTGTGTCGTGGTCAGCACCGAATCACCACGCTCCTGAAATGCGCCTTCTGATTCTTTTGTGACGCAGCTTGAGAGCTTTTTTTACGGTGAGTGGAGTCTTGCTCGATCTCTCCAGTCTTGCTGACAATGGCAAGGAATATATCTAACACTCTTTTGCTTCGCACTACGCAAGCCTCGCAAGCATACTGCTCATCGGCATTTTCTTCTTGGGGCGCTATCCGTTATATTCCTCTCTGCCACGGTGCATTGGGTCCTTCAGCTCGTCAATTCATCGATCAAACACAAGATGGCTACGATACTAGCCACCGGAAAAGAAGCATTGGAGAACTACTTGGCCATGACCATGAGCACTCTGTTTGTGAGCAGCAAGTGAGATCTATTCTGTCATTATTATCCTCAGACTCACCTGACTAGTTGCCTTTCCCCAGCCTGATTGCGGATATCATCTTCGTATGTGCTTTGAACTCGTCGCAAGTTCTATAGAATTCAAGATCACATAGATACTTCGATGCTACGCTCTTTGGGACTTCCGTACATCAGTAATCCTTCTACCCTCTCTGTTGCTGATATGCGCCACTTGTGGGTCACCAGAGGGTCCCTCTCCGAGGATTTACGAGATGTACTGACGTATACAATAGTACTCGGCTATTGCAGCATTTTCGCCTGTGGATCGATCGGACTGGCGGCCTTTCCGTTTATCAATCTTACCTTCTCACTCGCATTGATTTCTTCACTGGTGACAAATTTTTACTTGTCACCCTCTCTGGTCCATGATTCTCTGATTCGTGTTTGACGTTCAACTAATTTACCAATTAGTTGCTCGGATTTGGTGGATGGCTCGAACTGCTTCTTCCAGCAATCCTGCCTTGGCAAAACGCTGCAAAGTCCTCGGGGCAATGATGTTCATCTACTTTCTTTCGCTGCGCAATCCTCTGGTCTGATCATATCCCTTCAGATTCGAGTCCGGCGCTCTGTACTTGATATTTGGGCTATTCTATATGGTCCTCTTGAACTCTAACAGTGGCTCGACAGTGAGTCTTACCTTGTACATATCCAGCATCTTACCCAACTTCGCTCGCAGACGATCATATTCTCAGGACTCTCTCAGATTGTGGCAAGTCTATCACCTCGCGGCGCTTCACGCCGTGCACTAAAAATGGACAGGGAATCGCTCCGACAATTATTGTTGTTCGCATTCAGCTGGGTGAAAGTATCGAAGGGGCAGAGAGCTTCTCAAGCGATGCTGAAGTTCAAGCCGAGCAAATGTCTGATGCATATTTGCAGTGGAAGGTCATTTTGGACTTGAATAGCCCTAAATAAGAAATGCGTGGATCGGCCGAGCTCAACAGATAATCTGTTTCGATGAAAGACATCCCTTCGCTTCTCGATATCCGATTCTTGCAAAAGCTTGTGACCATCAGTAGTGACGGTATGTCAGCTAACATTGATGACGCATCACGATTATGTACGTACGCCGCCCTTGCTCGTTGACGCTTTGTTTGCTTTCCAAATCTCAGCTGGCTCAGTCTACGTGATGCTCAAACAAGATATCGATAACGTTGTCTCTCTCCCAGTTCCATCTCGTCGCTCAGCGCTGCTGCACGCCCAATTTCTGCTCCCCATTTGTCAACGACCTTGCTGAACAAGCTCTCGAGTTCTTACCAAGGAGGCTGTCACACTGCTGACATGCCGCCTTTCGTGAAAGTTTTTCCGAGCCAAATTAGGCTGGATTTTCGCGCGTCCCGACAATAAAGACTGAGCAGGGCGGATGGCCGCCCTCGCTGTATTTTTGGCTCACATTCGTCCTCTCAACCTCTTCACCACTTCACGATGTGCTTCGGGACAAGAAAGACGGGCGCTAACTTCGACATAGACGATGCGAAGCCGAAGAAGAAGGCGTCGAAGAAGAGTGCGCCGCCTCCGGCGGTTCCCAAGCCCGCCGCCCCAAAGAAGGAGGAGGAGACCAAGATCGCCGCTGTCCAGAGTCCAGGACCCAAAGTGGCCATCGTCATATACTCTACTTACGGGCACATCGCCACCCGTGCGTGTCTCTATCCTCCGCCCTCTGTTGCGCCTGACCCGCTGTGCAATCTGCAGTCGCCGAAGAGGTCAAGAAGGGCATCGAGGAAGCCGGCGGCTCCGCTTCTCTCTTCCAAGTACCCGAAACCCTACCAGGCGAGGTCCTTACGAAGATGGGCGCCGCCGAGAAGCCTGCCTACCCTGTCATCACGGCGGCGCAACTAGCTACATTCGATGGATACTTAATGGGCATCCCGACACGATTCGGCACGCAGCCGGCACAGTGGCGGGTGTGTTGGCTCGCTCTCTCTACGTTGGGATGTCTCATTGATCATTTGGGATCAGTCATTCTGGGATACCACTAGCGGACTATGGGGATCTGGAGCACTCGCCGGCAAGTACGCTGGCGCTTTCACTTCGACCGCTGGACTTGGTGGAGGTCAGGAATCGACGATTTCAAGCGTGCTGAGGTGGGCGGTCATGTCACTGCTTACTCTCTAGAGGGGGCTGACATTGACTCTCAGCACGATTACCCACCACGGCTCTATCTTCGTCCCCCTTGGCTACGCGTCTGCCTTCCCGCAGCTGACGAATCTGTCTGAAGTGCACGGGGCTTCGCCATGGGGCGCTGGGACGGTCGCTTCAGCGGATGGATCCAGGCAGCCAAGTGACCTCGAGAAGGAGATTGCCAGGATACAGGGCAAGAGCTTCTGGGCCACGATGAAGAAGGCATTCTGATGCGGCGTTCGAGCGAACCGGAAGGTCATGTACTAGCAGCATAGCGCTTCATTTATTGGCATATTCAATATTTCAATATTACATATTACATAGAGATTGGTCAAGGCAAGCCACTTTCGCTAGCTGTGGTCATAGATAGCCACTTGGGCAATCATACAGATTTTGCTGAGAGCGATGAAATCGACGGTGCATAGGAGCATTCGCTATACTCCGTCCAGTCGGATTCTCCTTCGCTAACAGATTGCGCTTCACAGCGAGACTGATCGAGAAGAGAACTCGGAGAAGGGGCACGGAACGTATCGAAGCCGAGAGGGTCAGGCGACGAAGAACGAGACTGCTGAAGCTCTGGTTTGCAGCGGTGCTGATATGGAGAAGCGGATCGGACTAGCATAAGCTTCAACGGCACTGGGTGATCCCGGTCGGATACAGACCACTCTTGTGAAGTCAACAACTCTGACTGTCCAAGGTCTTCGTCCTCGTCCTCGAGCGAATCAGACTGCGCATTCACAATACCGACCGGTGGATGCGTGGCGCGTAGCAGTACGCCAAAAGCGTCCGCGCATTGATCAGTGAGAAGCGGAATGCGCAGTTCGCTGCCCAGCAAAGTGAGAGGGAGATCGACGTCGTGGTGGGCGGAGAAAACGGGGGGAGCAGGTAGTGCCCGAGTCGGCGGTGAATGCGCGATGGAGAGGGCCGGCGATCGCCTCTTGAAGGAGTGCGGCTCTTCTGGAACTTTATCGTCGTCGCAGCAGCTTCGTTTCCTCTTCAACGCCCGCTGCCTATCAAGCTCCTCATTCAGCCTCCTGTGAACAACAACACGATCTCTTTCCAGCCAACCCCTCTCCAATTCGAGGGTCCGGGGAGTCTGATTTGCAGTCGGTGCATCAGAAACACGCGTTGGTCGTAGACGAGATGTCCAGCCACGGACGGTGTTGCTGATGGATGCTTTCACTGATCCCGGGGGTGGTAGTTTCAGCCTCGCAGCGGCCCCCAAGAGCATGCGACGACGAGGAGGAGGAGCCTCCTGCGGGGTTTTTTTGGTGAGATGAGGCGGAAGTTGGAGGTAACGCTTTTTGAGCTATCAGTTGGCCGCCCAGACCAAATTGATGAATGGAGACGCACCTGTCGGCGGAGAGCATTGAGCAGATGCATTGAGATGGCGACGTTCTTCAGTAGAAGCGGGTGCGATGGTCCGTCGTGGATGAGAGAGAAATCGAGTAGCGGGGAGGGACGCTCCATAGTCGCAGTAGTACTCCAGATGGACTGACGTAAAGGACAAAAAGACAATAGACGTCTGCTTCGACAAGCGTGCACGCATGTCTATTGCCTGGAGACGAGACAAAAGAGAGACCAGGTCATTATCCGCACGAGTCAGGTGGAATGCAGCTGGATTGAAAGGACATGACTCGGGTGCCTACCTTCTGAAAGCACCATGAGGCCGCTCTTCAAAGAACGACATCATCTCGAGCGTAGTCTCCATCCCATCTCATCTCATATCGCTGAAAGGAGTGCCTCGGAATTCAAGGTCTGTGGTTGCACGTTCAACGCGGACTCGAACGCGTGGGCCCCATGAGTAGTCCAGAGCAAATGGAAAAGATCAAGACGCTCACATCAGGTGGCTGTGTTTGATATCATCAGATACCAGAACGTTACCAAGTCGCTATTCTAGTGCGATGGTGATATTGACCAGGACATTGCGTCATCGTCCGCGTAGTATGATTCCACGGGTGACCGTACCACACGTTCAGCCCCACATAAGAGGTCCAGAGGGCACCTGCTGCATCCCATCTTATTCTGCTTGTCATGGCGCCAACTCAGGTATCCTTGACCGATCTTCCTCCCGAAATCTTGCTTTTGATCGGAGAGATGGTGGATGGGAATGCGGCAATTTTGCAATTTATGCTCACCGTATGCATCCGATGTCGGCTCCAATCCTTCTTGAAATCTGACGAACTCATTGCAGAGCAAGATGTTCCATGACCTGCTGCTCCCTAGGCTGTACCGCGCGATGTCCCTCCAGACTAACAAAGCGTGCAACGGCGCCATGAATGTTTTCCTGAAATATCCCGACAGATGTCAACACATCCAAATGCTGGCGCTGTATCCAAATTCTATTCCCGGTGCCTGGCCGCGCAAGACCCTACCGGCTGTCCTCAGCGAACGATGGCTCGCGCTGCGAATCACTTGCTTGTTCGCCTTGCGACTAGTCAATCTGCGATCCTTTGTGTGGGATGGAGAAGATTATCCTGCAGATGAGCTGTGGATCGTATTGAAGGGAATGTGCGTTCGCCTTGCCCCCAAGCTAACTGCCGGTATCCATCACATCTTTGGGTGCAGGTGTCCACAGTTGACGAGTGTGTCGTGCACCACTCGACAGAGAGAAATACCCGCGGACTGTTCTGTAGGGATGACTTTGCTCATCATGTTCGAAGTCTGAAATTTCATGTCATAGCTCTTCAATTTCGACAATCTCACGGAGTTCGGAATGCATGTCTCTATCGGCGGTCCAGGTATGAAGATTTCTTTTCAAGTATGTTGTTCCTCTCCAACTCTCCACGATGTAGTGACGATCGGCATCGGCCGCGGGCCATTGCCCCAGGAGCTGTTGGACATGCTCATACTCCGATGTCCGAATCTGGTCGCTTTGACTCTGCGACTTTTCGAATCGGCGCATACACTGACCGAACTTGACCGAGTCATGCGAAGTTACTTTCCCGAACTTCGGTCCGTGTGCATGGAGATCTTCGTCTGCCGTTCAGACCCTCTGCGCTGCCAACCGCTGTCTGCGGCACTTAGCACTTTTCTCTCTACGCATCCGAACTTGAGCCACGTGTCAATCCTGCCGTATATCCTACAGGCGGACGCCACTGCTAACCTACTGAGCGATCGGGAATGGCCGTCGATCGTTGATAGCACTGCGCCGCTTCCGAATCTGTGGTCGTTTGTGGGCGTTTGGGAGCTTTTCTCCCAATTCCACCACGCTGCAAATCGACTCCAAGCACTCAACCTGACGGGTGCGCCTGTCGTAGAGTCCACCGCCGAGAAGGTCTATTTGCGTCTTCAAGCCCTTCCCGAATTGAAGTCATTGGACGTTCGGCTGAGCAGCCCGGCACTTTTCGAGGGAATTGTGGTCGCTTGCCCGCGATTGGTCCATCTCCGGGTCATAATCTCGAGCACATTTGGTCTGGTGAGCATCTCAGCTCCGAGCACGGCACTTACGCAGTGATATTGTAGCAGAAGACGGCAAAATCCATTGTGCGTGCCGTGCAGCAACTCCCCAGGCTACGATCATTCGCACTGCTGAAAAAACCGCGAACTCTTGTTGAGCAATCAATGCTACGCTTCGCGCTGGTCTTGCTTGCGCGAAACCTCGGAATAGAGGAACTGAATCTGGGCTGGCTCGACTGGAAACGGGGCATCCGGATCAAGGACGGAATGTACACGGTAACACGTGACGAAAATGGTCAAAGACATTTGGATGTACGCGAGAGAGGCATTGGTCTCTGGAACCACGGGTCATTTGACAGGAGATTCAGAATGAAATTAGAGCAAAAACCTCCGCGTGTGTACAACAGACGTATTGTTCACCTCACACTGTAGCTAGCTGAAATGCAGAAGAATCTTGTCCGTAATAGGAGCTTGCACAGGGAGAGGATGAGAGCCAGGAGGAAATGGGGAATCTGGAGAATCAACTACTTGAACTGAGCCCGAGAAAGAAAAGGTTCGAGGTGGTTGAAATAATCAGAAACTGCTGTAGTGGAGCTATCTGAGCGAATGTGAGCAGCTTCCCGTGTGCTCAGCAAGACTTTTGTCCGAGTTGTGCTTGATTTGAGTAAATTCTCGTCAGGAATGGTAAGGGATCTCATGCAGAAGTCATTGGAGATGCCATGATGAATTTACGGTACTTATCCGTGAAACAAAGCACGCGTCTCGTCACAGACACGTGTCGTATGTCACGGTTCTTGGCTTTCCTCGTCTACTTATTCTTTGTCGACGAGTACACGATGTCGAACCCCGATAACGAGACAAACTTCAATTTCAGGCGACCTCGCGAAGAGGAGGATTTTGACAGTGGACGTCCCCGTCGCCGGCTTAAGACCTTGGATGGCGAGCATGCTGTTGCAGTTTCTCACGAGAAGAGGGGAGACGCAAAGGCAAAGCTTATTCGATCCGTTGACCATCGCATTGTAGTCATTCGAGTGGCCAAGACCATGCTGGAGGTCTGTACTGCGAATTTCAGTGCATGCATACTTTGACATTCAGCCGTAGTTTCACGCCCATTTCCTACTTCGAGAATCGACATCGTCTTTTCATCGTCTTCTACGCGAGGGAGGAGCCTCGAAGGTATTCGACTCTGATGATCCATTGGTGTTGGATGAGAGGTTGGAGGATAGTGCCATAGCCTTTCATTGGCTAGTGTACTTGAGGTGTGTCCTTTCACCATCTGTCTTCTCATCTAGACTGGACGTATTGTATTGCAGCCCTTTAAAGACACAGATCTCCAGAGTGCAACCCTCCGAACTTCATAGCATCGTTCTCGCAGGCATCTTCGCTCGTCGGTTCTCGCTTCACAACTACTACATATATAGCATTCTGTGCATTCAGCACATCGCACACTCGATCTCGTTCCACGCCCCTCCCATGCCCATCATCACAGACATCCTCAAGCTGACCTCTGAATCGGGACCGAAAGCATACGAAGACCCCGAGAGTGCCGAGTACGACATCCGAATGCACGTCTCGCGCGCGTGGAGCACTCGTGTCGCGTCCTTCAATCCCTCCAGCCGTGGGGGTGCAATATGCAAGGCCCAAGCCATGCAGGAATGGCTCGAGCTCGCAGCCAAATACGACCATAAGCATCTCCTCGCAGACATCTACCTTTACTACGCGTGCACCATTATCCCTGTGGATACGAAGGCGCCGTTCGCTACATCGTCGCCGGGTCCCTCACTTCCTGATCATCATCTCCGCGCTATCCACGCAGGGAGCTACTCCCTGAGCAACCTGTGGACCAACATCGCTGCGACGCCACCGCCCTTGCCTGCCTGTCCTCAGCTCGGTTACTGTCCTCGGCCCCTGGTCCATGCGTCGGTCTGCGCCCACGATTGGAATCACATCTGGCGTGCGGCCGTCGATCATCCCACCGTCCGGGCCCGCGCGAATGCGGACATCTTCGGGAAGCTGAACGCGCTGCACGAGCTTCTCGGTCCGCAGTTCCTGCATCCGATGAACTGCTATCGTGCTGCCTTCCGGGGTATCTACCCGGTCGGCGAGCTGATGAAGAAGATGAAGGAGACGCTGCCGGAACATTTCGGCTTGATGAAGTTGAAGAAAGAAGACGAAGAAAGCTCTGGCAAGGTTTGAAGGGGCGAATCAGCTCTCCCTGTTGCCGCGACCAGCTGGGCATCTGGCCGGTTTCTCTCTCGCTTGTGCTTTCACTTATTACAGAGCATATACCGTACTATTCGATAGTCTCGCCCGAACCGAGCTCCTTCACTGTAGAGTAATCGTTTTCATAATAGTCGAACACACCCAAATCTAGTAATTCTGACGCAGCCTCAATGCAAGTAATACTGTTTCTCGTATTGATCGTCCGAATGTTACTTGATCTCCTACTATCGGGCCTCTGGTTGATCGAAGTCACGCACGCGCTCGACATGGAGTATGGCCCGCTTCATTCCCGTTTGATCTGTCGGGAACAGGGTAGTTGCAAATCGGCCGACGGGTTCACTACCAGACGGAATAGTAAATTTGTGATTAGAAATCAATTCGGAAAGAACGATCTGCATTTCCAGGATGCTTGTGAGATTCAGCTGGGAAGAGACATTTCAGCTTTGATGGACTTACGCAAAACGCCAGCTGGAAGGGAGCTTCAAATAAGCATAAACCACGACGATTCGCGGTCACTTACCCAACGCATGTCCTGAAACCACTGATGAAGCTCATTCTGTCGACATCTCAAGTTCAATGCATGACAGAAACTATTTCAAATGGCTTACAGATTGGCATATGGCCCAACGACTTCGTTCAAGGAGGCATGGCCTCCTTCGAACCATCGATTCGGATTGAATTCACTTGCATCTTCACCCCATACAGATTGGATCCTACATTAGCTCAGTCTTTGGGTCCGGCACCAAACATGACGAACCTTTGATACGACGCAATGGAGACCGAGAGCACTTGTCCCTTCCTGACGCGGAACTCTGTCATTTGTTGTCCATCACGGCCTACTATCGGCCGAGAGACAGGGATGACATCATCCTCGAATGCCATGCGATCCGTGAAAGGCACGACTGGGAACATCCGGAGAGTTTCTTTGATCACGGCATTGAGCAACGGCATCTGACTGTATGCTTGAGACAGCGGGCGTGCTCGGATCTCTTCGCGGAGCTGTTCCTGTAATGTAGGGTTGCGGGCCAACTCAATGAGGCAAAAGCATAGGGTAGTTGCCTGAGGAGATAATCAGAGGAAGGCGACAAGGTCTGGAGGATGCACTGACGGTAGTATCTTGACCGGCAAGCAACAGGACAGAGGTCTGAGCAATCAGTTCTTCGGGAGTGAGCGTCTTCGTTCTGCCGGCTCCTTTGCCGGATACTGCCGACCTCGACGACATGAGTTGATGATGGTGCTCCAAGGTTCTCGACGAAAGCTCACGCAGCAAGCCATAGATGCCTTCGCATTCACCGGGATCATCCCCATCTGATCGCTCACTAATGAATTTCCGTCCCAAGGCTAATGCAGACTCTCGTCCTCGGTTGATCAAGTCCAGGGCGCCCACTCGCAATCCGAACAGCCATTTCACTAGAGTCTTGGGCAGATTGCTTGTAATTATGTCGGCAAAGATATAGCCTTTTGATACGCTAGCTGAAATGCCCCTTCAAATTGTATTAAACAATTGGATCGTCAAGTTGAGGAGAAAAAAACGAACACAATTCGAGTGTTTAGATCGATGAACTCCTCGTCGAGAGTTTCGAACGGCCGATTGATCAAAGCTGAAGACAGTGTGTGTCAGCTTCTGGCTTGAACTGGACGATGTCTCACCTTCAGAGATAGCACCCAGAGCGGTTCTCGACAACAGCGGGGACACATCGATCAAGCTATCGCATGCCAACTCTTCGATTTGCACTGACAGCTGCGCGACGGTCAGCACCCGAGCTTTCGTGAGTGTGATTGACAAACGCGATGTGCCAATCTTTCAAGCATGGGCTGATAGCTCTGCACAACGGATGCCGTGAAGCCACCGTTCATACCTGCTCGCAATCGTCTGTGTTCCTCGCGGCCGCCTTCGAAAGCATCTGTGATCAATTGACAAACAGATAGCACGAGTGAATCGCACCTCGCACTGTTTGTATCCCTCCCGGCCCATTCATAAGCCAGAGCAACGTTTCATATGTGATCGAGTAGTCGAAACGGGTGCTCGTTAGAATGTGCTGCATGGCCGCTGGATCCGCCACGATGAGGTGGTCCTTCTTCAAGGCACACGTGAGATCTCTCGGGAGCTCGACCGGGAGAAACGTACCCCAAAACACGCCTTGATACGATAAACACTCCCAAAACGCTCCAGCCATGCAAATTCGTGCGTTCCATACACTGGAGAGAGGAGATACTCGCGCATATTCCCTATCGACGAGATTGGCTTCCAGCACTCGAATCGGAGATCATCCCGTCACCGTAGATCCAGGACACCGACGCAGGCCCCGGTATGTTCAACAGAGAGTCCGTGTGCTGCTGGCGCTCGCGAAGAAAGCGAGGGAGGTAATAGCCCAGGATAGGACAAGCCAGTCCGACCGTGAGGAGTAACATAATCAGGGGAGGAAGTGCTGGACGCGAGTACGTGCCACACCATGTAATCCTGCTTCATTCCACCAGTCAGAGATGTCAAGACTGTCTTAGTCGGGCACCGACCGATGATTATCCCGGGAAGATCCGGTCACAATACGGGTACACATTCGGGTGATGTTCGCGACTGGAGCTGACTGATGATGTATGACGTAGGGTGCCTACCTCCATCATCGCCTTCTTCCTAGAACTCACCATGAGATTCGGACGAAGGTCGCTACAAACCATCCCCCACTCAAAACCTGCGGTGCTAGATAAGGATATCGACTCATTTGCCGTCCGTTCGTTATGATGCCAAGAAACACTGCAAGGCAGTGCTCCTGCTCGTTCCCCGCGGAAACGGCGTCTTCGGCACCGCGTTTCTCGAAACTCACACAGTGGCACCCATCATCCGTTGATGCAGCCGACCGATAGCAGTCAGTTCTTCGAGACAACGGCGCGCGGGTGCTCGTAGTGCGTCTGATACGCTCCCATGGCCAAGTCCTTCGGTATGTTCTCTGCTTGCATCTCTTGCGGCGAAGGACCAAAGAACGCGCCCAGGCTGCCATCCTTTCGAGTGTATCGTGCTCAAGGATACTCTCGAATCAGAACTTGGTCTCATACAATGACGATGTTAAGACGAGGCAAGTCCACGTCATTGTCGACACAATTCCATCCAAGCATTTGACAGACTCAGAGAATTGTCTAGATGGCATAGAGGGTGTGCTCAGGCCTTCCGGCATGGACTAAATGAGCTGCTCTGCATATCGGGGACAAAGCCGAAAGTTGTGCAGAACTCTGTTGTCTCGGGTATCGCACGTTGGGCGGCTTGGGCAGCCGAAGTCACTAACCCCGCGATAACGCCCAGTTGACCTTACCGCGTGATAGAGTGGTTCTGTATCTCACAATCTTGAAGGAAGTCTATCGAAAAAAAAACTATGCTAGTATCGCGTTCCCTGGTTCCCAGTCTCGACGATCCCAGGCATCACAGCTCTGAATTGCTCCGCGTCGTTAACTCTCGGAAACGGGATGTCCGGGATGTCCTTGCCCAAGAACGCGCACAAGGGACCCCAACCTTCAGCGACATGAAATTGCAGAAACCTGTCCTTCGGCACGACGGCCCGAAGATGCGCGTAATGGGCCTCGTAAGCTGCGACGCCCCGCTCCTTCGTGAAGCTTTCGGGGGTCGCGGCATCCGGCGCCACGCCGAAGAACGCACTGAAGATGATCGTACCGAGCCGGATGCGCCGGCCGGCAGGCGAGTTCTGCGGATCAGTCGCCGCTGGCGTGAGTGACATCGGGCGGAGCATCGGTCGAACTGTGGTGGAGAATGAGGCCCACCACGCTTCCGTGTCGCGGTGCGTCACGGGGACCATCGCATCGGGAAACGCGGCTAGCAGTTCGTCAACGAACAGGTAGTGGGGCATGTCCGTGACACCCTGCGCGATTCCGTATGAGATCTAGTGTGAAAAGCGAACGATGGGCATACCTGAAACGGCTCCAGAAAAGCGCGCCATTCATCGGCGCTGAGTGGCTCCCCGATGCCCCAGAACTTGGCCACAATCGCGCGAGTCCACATGTCAACGACTGCCTCAGGCTCGAAGATATCAAATCCGTGGTTGGTAGGTTTGTATCCAAGCTCCTCCAGGGCTTGTCTCATGGCTGGAGGTTGTAAGCTTCATGACTTGGAACTCTCGGCAACTGACTCACAAGACGTCCCAGTGCGAGAGTAGCCGAAGGAGAGGACTTTCAGTCCGGGCTTTGCATGGGAGATCAGGGGAGCAGACATGTCGGGTTGAACTTCTTCATCTTACTCTGCCCAACATTTATAGGGTTCCGCAGAGCAGATGAATCTTGCTGGATTGGCAGCCCATGATGATGGCTTTCGGAGACAAGCTACAGATCTTCAAGCTGCTGCGGTGACTGATAATCTACAGAAGACAGCTACATCGCATGGCGGATGGTCAGAACAGAACTGCTTCGGGCTCGACTCGGGCTCATGCTCAAGTGCACTAGCGTGATGATCACCGCGGACTGATCGATCCGTTGTGTTCGAAATCAGGTCAATGTGCTCGTGACTGGATTGTTTCTCGGAATACAAACGTTGTGGCCTGTGTCTTCGTCACAAGAACTCAGAATTGAAATGTGCTGTATGTAGCCGCCAGATGTGTTCGGTCCCTGAGGGCTTATCACGTGCTTATCGTGTGATCTTCTGTCAAATTCTCGTGACCGTCCTCTTTTCATATACAGATCCATGATACTGTATATAATAATAATGGATAGATATATAGATAGATTCGACACTGCTTGATTAGCTTTGGCTTGCATCAATCTTGGATGCTCGCCCGCAGTTGTTCCAGCTCCTATGTATGATCGGAAACCTCCGGACGGGTTCATCTTTGGAAATGTTCGGTTTTCACTGTACATACATTGTTTTGCGAGTCAGTAGAATTTTGTAGTATGTCAGTGAGACACTTCATAAATACGACTATGCATCTCTGCCGTTTTTCAAGATGTCTGGAAACACGGCGTCAAACTGCTCCGAGTCGTTGACCCGGGGGAAGGGCGTATCCGGGATATCCTTGCCCAAGAAAGTGCAGAGCGGGGCCCATCCCTCCTTGACGCTGAAGATCAACAGACGCTCCTTCGGCACGACGGCGCGGAGATACTCATAGTGGGCTTCAAAGGCCGCGGTCGCGACCTCCTCGGTGATGCTTTCCCGACCCATGTCTTCTGGGCGGATTTTGAACAGGACCGCGAAGCACATGTTGGAGAGGCGCACGCGACGGACATGCTGCGATTCGTTCGGGGCGGCATGTTCGGAAGTAGTGATTGGCTCGCATAATTTCAGGATGGTCGATGCGAACGATTTCCACCATGCTTTTGGATCGCGATAGGTGACGGGCACCTTCGCGTCGGGGAACGCAGCTAGCAGCTCCTCAACGAAAAGGTAGTGTGGGATGTCAGTGACTCCCTGGAATGCTTGCTTTCAGTGAAAGGAGACGCTCGCCGTCCGATTTTGCCTCACCTGGAAGCGGGCTAGAAATCGCCGCCAGTCGTCTGCATCGAGCGGTTGGCCGATACCGTAATATTTCGCCTCCAGGGCCCGGATCCACTGGTCCATGACTTCTGGATCGTCGAAAAGGTCGAATCCGTGGTTGGTTGGCTCGTATCCGAGCATGTGAAGTGCAACCTTCATTGCTTAGCGTATTCAGTCAGTCGGTGCACGGTGTGTTCAGAATGGGAACTTACAGGATGTGCCAGTGCGAGACAAACCAAATCCAAGAATCTTGACTGTTCCCGCATGCTGTTGCTGTGGAGCGGCCATGGTCGGAAATTTGCTTTGTTAGATTGAGCTGCGATACAGGGAACTGAGTGCGTCGCCCTTTTATAGGGAATGGAGCGGCAGTTCCCTATCTCTGTCGCGATCTCGTCAACGTCACCATTCTCGCAGGCGGCCTCCCATTGAGACCGTCGAATTCCGGCAAAAGAGTTCGACGGTTCTTGGACACGGTGCGATGGCCCAATCGAGTAGCCATCAATGATTCTCGAGCTTCGTTTCGTGCTGCTCCCTGTATGACGGTTATCGAATCTTGTTCTTGTCGGTTGGCCATGCCCAGCTATGGATAATCATCATCAGATGGGTTCTAGCCTGCGCCATGCGAACGCTCGACCCACTTTCGACCACACAAACAGACTGTATGTTTTAATTATACAAATAGCGGTTTCAATCTCTGGAACCTGCGCGGTGTCGCAACGCATTTTTTACGAATCTCTTGGTCCATGGCCGAAGCTCAGTCTCGGTTTCGATGAAGATCTCTTCGTGCCTCGACTTTTTTTCGGTACGAAAATAAGCGCGGGGTACGGTTCTTGATCCGTGGCTCGGTGTCTTGACCTCCAGATCGGCAGGGAGTACATATGCATGTCAGCCCTCGTGAGACGATGACGCTGCAATTCCTGATTAGCTGGGAAGATAGCGGAATCGCACCTGACCATCGACATAGATACTTCTGAGGCAAATGGTCCATGCCGCCTCCTGCCTCGAAAGTCTGGATGGGGAGACCAGCTCCTGGATTTCAGTTTGTCAGTCAGAGATGTCACAACTGATTTGACTAAGAACGTGTTTGATGCGGTTCATTTGGTCTTAGTAGAGCCCAGAGAAAAGGCGCATCGTGCGAGTCATACGTTGACCTGACATTGAGCTTGAAGCTTGAACGCAAGTCATCTGACGAACGGGAGAGAGTCTTGTGGCTTCATTTCTGATGCCCTGTGGCGCCGGCGTCTGCGCGATCATGATGCTACACAAAGATAGGCGACTCAAAAAGCAGATAGACATCTATTCTGTTTGCATGACAGCACAGATCAGAACCACTTTCATTCCCAAAATTTGGTCACCTCCAGAACCGACAGTGGATAATCAATTCAGGGAAGCCCAGAAACAGCGGCACCCCGCGACTAGTCTCAAGGTCTCATCATGACAACTCCATCTAGTTCCCCGCCCGGGATCAGTGCGGAGATGGGCGAGCAATCCATTGTGGCGAGGTGATTGCGCGGCGTTAGCATCGAAGTTGATTATGGGTTCCTGAGACTCGGAAGCTGTTCTCATGCCATGCACATCCATTCTCTTGCTCTCGACCTTCTCTAAAATTCCTTGCAGTGACGTTGTTGTCGTCCATCCCAATTATGTTTCATATCTGTTCTCGTGTTAAAAAGCTCTTTGGAGGCATAGTGGTATCCCAGTCTTCTTCCGGAATTTGTCATCGCTTGATTGTGGAAATCACCCCTTTGCCATTGGAAATACTAAGCGATCTTACTTGGGCAAAAGGATGGTAGATGATAGGATGTATCCATGATGTAAGCCGATCGAGAGATCACGGAGCGGAGCGGCCCATCAGCTTGTCCACTCTTAGTTCACTCAATCCCACGCTGCACTCCTGCTGATGTAGTTCAGTTCCTCGCAGTTTTGAAGTGTATTTCTTTTGCAAAAAAACCACGGCTTGGAACACACATGCATCCTGTTTCCTCGCAGATCCAGAATGAATCACTTGCACCTCATTTCTTTCTGTGTTTTACATTTTCTCAGCTTCACCAAGTGTCATGTGCGGATTTTACCTGCTCCCCAAAATCGATGAAAGGCTTTACTTAGATATTTGAGGCTCATAGCCGACCAAAAACAGTGTATGCCTGTACAATGGGCCGTAATGCTGGCATGCAAAGGATGAGTGTGAACGTCTGGCCCTGCGAAGAGGCACTTAGAGGATCCTCATTGTCGATGGCTCCATAGGGTACCTCCCTGACTTCGGTTTATGGCATGTAATATATGGCGAGATCCCATTTTCCTCGACCGGAGTCGATTGGGGCAAGAATCGACGTTGGTGGCACTTCGGATGCGCAGGAGTGTGGCAGTGATTGGTGACAGTTGATGGCGATACAGCCACCTGTCGTGTCAGCGGAAGACGGTCCAGTTACACGGTCAAAGCGATCAGCCGCTCTACGCTGATGACGATCAGGCTTTGGGTTCATAGATTCCCAATCAGAGATCGGCGTGCACAGACGAGGCTGATTGAAGCCTCTGAAATGTGTGTTTATTAACACTACCCACCCTGTTGAAACTTGATGACCCAGGGGTCTAAGTTCTCTGCGAGCTGTGCACCATCGGCTTGCTCGGATGTGTGAAGCTCTTTGGCCTGGGTCTAGTTTTCATTGCAAATCTTCTCGCTACTTATATCTGAGGCACAACTGCTTCATAAAAAACAATTCGTGCCTCTCTTTCTTGTCTGTCTACTACTCTTACTTAATCTGTCTGCCGTTCTTCAAGATGTCAGGGAACACGGCGATGAATTGGTCCGTGTCGTTGATGCGCGGGAAGGGCGTGGCAGGGATTTCCTTCTCCAAGAACGCGCACAGCGGGGCCCATCCCTCCTTGACGCTGAAGATCAACAGGCGATCCTTCGGCACGACGGCGCGGAGATACTCGTAGTGGGCTTCAAAGGCCGCGATCGCGATCTCCTCGGTGATGTTTTCCTGCTGCATGTTTTCCGGACGCATTTTGAACAGCGCCGCGAAGCACATGCTGCAGAGGCGCGCACGGAGGACCTGGAGCGACTCGTCGGGAGACGCGTGAACGGAGGTGGTCACCGGCTCGCACACTTTCAGGACGGTCGATGCGAACGACTTCCACCACTCTTTCGGGTCGCGGTAGGTGACAGGCGCCTTTGCGTCGGGGTACGCAGCAAGCAGCTCCTCGACGAAGAGGTAGTGGGGGATGTCGGTGACGCCCTGCAATTCGTGCAAGTTAGTGAAAAGCAAACAGTTCCTACTCGGATTTGCCTGCCTGAAATTGACCCAAAAACTGGCGCCACTCATCTGCGTCGAGGGGTTTGCCGATCCCGTAGTATTTGGCCTCCAAGGCCCGAATCCACTGGTGCATGACTTCGGCCTCGTCAAAAAGATCAAAACCATGGTTGGTTGGCTCGTATCCGAGCACATGAAGGGCAGATCTCATCGCTGTACGCAGTCAGTCGGTAGTGGTGTTGGCCATCCGCAACGACGCTCACAGGATGTTCCAGTGCGGGACACACCGAATCCTAGAACCTTGACGGTCGCGGGATGCTGTTGCTGTGGAGCTGCCATGGATGAATGCTTGACTCGTAGTACTGAGATGCGATGTTCAGTGCTGAGCTTGTCTCCGTTTTTATAGTTGAACGAGCGGAAGTGCCCTATGTCTGCCGCGATCTCCTCAACGTCAGCAGAATCCCAGGCGGGCTCTCGGCACGATCCTCGGATTGAGCCAAGAGAGTTCTACGGTTCTGGGACACGGCCAGACTGCCTATGGAGCACCCATCAACAATTCTCCGGCTTCGTTTCGTGCTGCTCATTGTATTCCATTTCTTTTTTTGGAGAGTGGTCCTGTCCGGCATCCATTATCTCGACTCCTCGAGCACTCATTCAGCAAGCGGAATGAGTTTTCTGGTCAGTTCTTGAGCGCTATAGAAGTTTTGCTTGTGCACCCTGCGCGAAGTCTGTCTCGAGTCGGAACTCTTTCGGCTCATAGGCCGAAGCTCTGAATGAATCTGCGTCAACTTCAACGAAGATCTCTGACAGCACTTCCTGTTTTTGCCATGGCGAAACAAGCGTGGGGGCAGTTCTTGATCCATCGGGGCGTTTTGAGTCCGAGGTCGGCAGGAAGTTGCGCCTGCCCGCGGTTAGCGGTGACAGCGCAAGTTCTGAGGGGCGGGGATGAATGTGTAATCCCGATGAGCAATCGAGGCAGGTCTATTAACTATCAGATAACATTCCGGCCCGAATCTAAGCTCCTCAGCCATGGCGAAAAGACCCCGAAGATGGTTGAAAATGTTCATGTTGTTTTCAGTCAGGGCTAGAGAACCACAAGTCTTGGGCGTCAGAAATCAACCTTGGAGTCATTTGGCTGTTTCGCAGTGTTTACCAGGGAGGATCATGGCATCAAACGAACTCTGTGACTACTCTTTCCAAAACCACGACGCCGCCCGAGATCGATGTGTCGAAGTCAGTCTGGATCCATTATGCGTGGAGTACGTGTTGGAGAACTTGAAGAGAAGTCAGAAGCGCATTCATGCAAAAGATTTGGTCACAAAGATTGTTGGTGCGTGCTTGCTAGGCGTTAGCAACCGAGTCGGATCCTAGACCGAAGCATTCCGACATCCTGATCCCTTCCACTCTGTGGTCTCCCCTTTCTCTGCTAATATCAACATCTTCGTCGGCCGACACTTATATCATCTCGCTATCTTCGTTCTCGTATCATATGTACATCGCGCATGTAGAGTGGACCGCCAAGTGTCGGTCCAGCATTCCCAAACACGATCTTCGCTGTCTACTCGCGCAAAGCGCCTCCACCCAAGATCCTCACTTCATCTTCATCTGCTCCAAACATACATGTAGAGTGCCTTCCCAAGTACTTGCATCTCGTAGTCGGGCCTGATTCTACGCCATCTGCGGCCAGGCACAGCACAGCTCAAGACTTGAATAGCTTCCATTTGCTCCAAACTAGCTTCCTCTATCTCGTGTTCTTGTGAGAAGGACACCACCAAGTAAAACCACCAGGTAAGATCTAGAGTGAAGATGAAGTCGAGACCAGGCAAAATGCGGCAGGATTACGCTCTTCTCCGAGAGCACCGAGCGTGTAATTTGACCTCTCCAAACCACGCGAAATGCTGCCATATCAGTGGCGAAATCATCACCCGCCATTTCCCCGCTCTTGACCTACTCCACTCCGCCAGCTATCACAGATTGATGCGCCTTCGCTCGCTTCCCACTTGCTCAGATTGAACTTCGAAGACTGTCATTCGGCGCAAAACAGAGGAGATGCGTAGCTGTACAAACGGCCAGCGGACTGGTGCACAAAAGACTCATGCATTTGGAAATCACGTGCAATTCTTGGCGGGTTTCCATTCTCAAGGTCCGCGGAAACCGCCTACAAACCACGCATTCGACGCGTAGAAGCCGAATGGGCGGACTGACTGTGGAAAAACTCGCGTGCTGCCCCACGGATCTGGCCCCAGGCCAGGGATCAACCGCGCCCCGGACGGTGAGAAAAGGAATCTGGATATCGTCTCCGCTTCCTCTCGGTCAGATGCCTGTCGAACGCATGTCACGAACATTCCTGAAGAAGCTGATGACTGACGAGAAACACGGATGGTACCCGCTGGGCGATAAGCATGGCCAGGGTTTCGGACCATGTTTCCGGGGGACCTTGAGTCGCACTGGAGTTGTATGCTATCGCGAGGTCTGGAGGAGAGAATTTTGATTGGCGCATGTAGTCACGGTATGCGCTACTAGCTCTGAGCATCATATATCTTGTAGGCTGCGCAGAACATACTGATTCTGAAATTCGTTCACCCGCTGTCGGCCTCGGCTAGAACAGTCACTTCATAGATATGTCGGACACTGATAGCACATGCAGATCCCACGGACTTACGTGCAGGTCTTGGCGGTTGACACTCGACCACTGTCTGCCATGTCTGGACCACAGAAAACGAGCTAGCATCGTGTCAGATATGAGTTGTTGGCTGTTTGACGGGAGAGTAGAACCTTCAAGGTTTGCACATCGGGCAATCTGTGCAAGATTTCCTCGAAAGTCCTGTCGGCTGCAATTTCGTTTGAGGTTGCGCCCATGACCTGCAGCAGTGAGCACATGATTCGTGAATGATGAATGGCACGGATCCTCACGTGGACAGTCAACAGGTCCTTCCTTGTCCATGCCAGGCTTCTCTCATTCAACTTCTCAAGCGCATGCAAGATCGCATGGGCATCGCCAAATGAACAGACATTGCCCGGATCCACGGTCCGATTGGGTCTGGAGCCGGAAGGTCCTCAGTCGTGCGCAGATCGTCCCCAAACTCTGCTTCCCACCCAGTGCTTCCAAGTAGTGAGACAAAGTGAGTGGAAAGGCGAGTAGGCGCCCAGATGAAAGCACCGCGAGGGTCCCGCCCTGAAGAAGCCATCGCCACCTCAAACACAACGTCGGCGCGCACCTGGTGATTGAGTTCGCACTGGGACGAGGTGTGGTGAAGTTGCTGAGCAGCGGCCCAGTGTGCATCCGAGCAGCAGAAGCTCAGATTGCATTGGGGGCATGGTATGAGGCGTGGCGCGGCGCTCCCCGATAAGCCGGTCTCGAAGCGTAGCAGTTGATCAGTACGTGGGCTGCTCAAAGGATACAATCAGCGCAGAGCCAAGGTGATAGCCCCAAGCCGAACAAACCAGACGAGACATCGGGGCTCCCATTCGATTATCGACCGCTCATGCATCTCCAGCGCCCGGCCCATGGTCCGCTCAATCACCTCGCGCATATTCTGATCGTGGCTGTCGCACAAGCTGGCCAGCTGGCCAGGATCCAGGATGGGCTCAGTGCGCGGAATCTCTATTGGAGGTATTTGAGGGTTCTCCTTCTCGAGTTTCTTGAGGGCGCGACAAAGCGCTTTGTGTGTCCCAGTCGGCCTCCAATGCGTATTAGAAGCGGCAGCTAACATGATACTCACAGAGATAACTCACCGTCTGGCAACCTAGAATCCAAAGAGCAGACGGGCTAGTGTCATGATCAAGGAGGGGGGTCGAGACGGATGGACACACGCGCAGAACAGTATGCGATCCGTAGACATCCTGTGCATCGCGCGAGCGTTACGCCCTCGTACTTCTCACAGTTGTAACAGGCAACGCCTTTGCGCGCCGGAATACTCGGGTATCGAAAACCGTTTGGTGGAGAGAAGGACATCCTCGTCTGCCCAGGAGCTGGATGAGAGAATGGGTATATTAGGGAGCCGACGCTGAGAAACCGATGGACAGCTGGGAATAGATTCGAGTTCAGACGGACAGCCTTCGAATGCCTTGTTCGGGGAACTACCCCCACGCATGCTGACTATACCAGTGCCCATCTACGTCTCCTTGTGAACTTTTTTCCTTCTCGAGTAGCTAGAGCTGTAACCGTAGTCGCGGAAGAACTAGAAGCGGTAGATGATGCGGTTGTGGTAAATGGTCGGAACCATACGAGCGACAAGTTTCGGAAACGAGTATGTATGACAGTTTTGAAGATTCCGGCAGACTGCACAGAGTGAATGAATGGAGACAGAGTACGGGTGATCCACGTGGCAGGCGCACGGACCATCCGTTGCCCGCTGAACTTCGTTGAGCCGGGTGCTTCGGTTAGCAACGGCAACTCTCCGTCTTGACTCTGCCTCAATCCAACATCATCATTCTCTGTTTCAGGCTGTTTTTACTTTCACTCTTTCTCCGTCTGTGTCTGCGTCTGGTGCAGCCTTTGTCCCCTACCTCGTTTGTCATTCTCGATGACACATACTGGATTCAGGGGTATCGAAAACCTGATGAGGCTGGAGAGAGGAGTCTGAACATAAGCCTCGCATTTGGCCGCTGGACGTCTTGCGTTCGCTGACGGTGTGTGCTGATGAGCGCGATATGACGGCAGAGCATGGTGGATTTGCGACATGCACGAGTGGCAACCGTCAGCCCATATACATGTATCAGCACCTATCACAAGACTCGGAATCCGATCTGGGCGAGAGGGAGTTGGAGGAGAAACAGTTGATGGAGGTGCTGGAGTGCCAAGGCTGCAAGTGCTGCCGAGAGTCCAGCTCAAGCCAGCTCAAGCCCCTGGTCCATGACGGCGATTGATGCGCACTGCCAGAGCGGCTGATGTAAGAACAACAAGAGCAGCTTTGCCTCTTCCTACCCCTGCCTATTCCTTCCTCCTCACCGACCGATACAAGACGCACGTAACCCACACGCTCGCTCATACTCACTCCAATCTCGTTCATTCGGCTGACGTTCGAGCCTTGATGTCACGCAACTACTTCCCCGCACCCCACCCCAACAGCCCATCTACCGCGAACCTCCTTCCAGCATCGGGTGCCCGCCAGCCCCCTCCGCCTCCTCCACCAGGCTCTGGAAACCCCTTCCGTGGACCACAACAGGCCCCAAAGCCTTCCGCATACCCAAACCCAAACGCGGGGGGCAGGAATGTTGGCGACGACGATACTCGTTACCTCCTTTCAGCATCGGAGAGTCGCACGGCCTCGATTTCCGAAAAGGTGTGCTTCACCGATCCTTCTTTGCCCTCTCTAGCTGTTTATCACCAACTCCCCTTCCCAGTATAACCTCGCACCGGACCCAACAACTTGGGGCTCCGCACTAGATCTCTCGCGTCCCGAGCCAGACGATGCCCTGCACGACCCGCGCCGCGGGAACATTCGTTCAGGCTCGATCTTCACTGGTCGTGGTCTCCAGAACGTAGGGTGCATTGCATTGCTATGTGTGTGTATTGTCGGGCTTTTGTGAGTGATCTTCAGCAATGGTGGAGCGAGCCGGCATGAGAACTAACACAGCGTTTCAGCCTCGGATATCCTGTCGCCTACCATGTCACGCATCCACCGCAAATCGACTTGCTGCACGTCAACTCGTCAGGCCAGATGCCGAATATCGGAAATTGGGGACTAATTGACCTGGATACGCCCAAGGCATGGGTTTCTTCTTCCCTCCTTTTTGGTTTGGCTGATGCAGGTCCTACCTAGGAAATGCATAAGATCTATGGATACAATGATCCCACGCAGCAGCTCCAGCTTGTTTTCAGTGACGAATTTGAGACGGAGGGCAGGACCTTCTATCCCGGCGATGACCCTTATTGGTTTGTTCCTTGGAGCTTCGTACTTTCATGCAGCTGATATCCCCATAGGGAGGCACAGAATCTGCACTACTGGTCTACCAACGATCTGGAGTGGTACGACCCGAGGCAAATCACAACGCGTGGTGGAGCGCTGGAGATCAGGCTCGACGAGGTGGCCGATCCTACGCAGAACCATAACATGAACTACAGCAGTGGGATGATGAGTACTTGGAACAAAGTGCGTCTGCAAGCCTCGTCTAACGCTGAGCTGACGGACCCAGTTCTGCTTCACAGGCGGTCTAATCCTCGCAAGTGTGCAACTTCCGGGAATCAACAATGTGTTTGGGCTGTGGCCTGCTGTGTGGACGATGTGCGTAGCAGTCCTTCTGCGGTATACATCCCTCTAACCATATCAGGGGCAACCTGGGTCGCGCGGGTTATGGTGCAACGTTGGAAGGGCTGTGGCCATACAGTTACGACTCCTGCGACGTAGGCACGCTGCCGAACCAGACTTACATGGGCGGGCCGGCTGCAGCACTCGACTCTGGTTCCCCCGACGTCAATGGAGTGCTTTCCTATCTGCCAGGCCAGCGGTTATCTCGATGCACATGCAAAGGAGAATCCCATCCCGGTCCTATACACGCCGATGGCTCTTATGTGGGCCGCTCAGCGCCTGAGATCGACATGTTTGAGGCGCAGATTGGCGGACCTGATTCAGCACATGTCGGCCAGGTCTCTCAGTCAGCGCAGTGGGCGCCATTTGACGCTTCGTACCAATGGTCCAATACTAGTGCGAACATGATCATCCCGGATACCACACTCTCATCGCAGAACACGTATTCGGGTGGGATATACCAGCAGGCAGCGTCAGTCCTGACGACGACGAATCAGAGCTGCTATCAGCTACTCGACAACTGTTTTGCATTGCATGGCTTCCAGTACAAACCCGGATATGCAGACGGGGTGGGTTTCTTCTGATACACTGCCGAGTACCTCGTTTGACTGGATTCAGTATGTCACTTGGATCACCAATTCGAAGGTTTCCTGGACATTCAATGGGAACGGCGTCGGTGCTGACACTGCGACGGAGATTTCCGCGCGCCCTGTGACCAGCGAGCCGATGTACATCCTTGTCAACCTTGCCATCTCGCACTCTTTCTCGTGGATTGACTTTGCGAAGCTGGTGTTCCCTGCCATCATGCGGGTCGACTACATACGGGTTTACCAGCCATCGGACGCCATCAACATCGGGTGTGACCCGCCTGAGCGACCGACACAGGCATACATCAACACATACATCGAGGCGTATACGAACCCGAACATCACGACATGGGTCGATGGTTATGGGCAGACCGTTCCCAAGAATAACATGACGTCGAAATGTTGAGCGGCTGTCCATGTGTTTGATACCAGATAGTGTATTGTGTAGCTCACTTCCTTCATGTTGTGGTTTGACTGTTCGGACTAACTATTGTTTTTGTTCATGTAGTCAAGTCTTTGGTGTTTTTGTAGTTCCATATCAAAGTGGGAGTTACAAGCGAGTGATTCAGATGGATTCGACTTGCAGCATTGCACACTTCTCCCCCGTTTTGTCATTTATCGGAATCAGGGTTTGAGCTACCCGCACGACAGTTTCCTTTCCCGGTGGGATGGTGAACTTGAATTTGCTGACAAGCTCGCAGAGGATGATCTGCATCTCCATGACGCTGGAATAGCAATTTGACTCCATATATCAGGGAAAGTAGGTGAAAAACCCACGCGAAACGCCACCTAAACAATCAATCAGTGCTCGGATATTGTGGGGATACAACAGAGCTCACCCAACACAGGTTCGCGCTCCACTGATGAAGCTCATTCTGGGCGATATGAGATGTGAGTGGGTGATCTGACGGACTGAATGCTCACAGATTGGCGTAGGGACCGATGATGTCGCTGGTCTGGACTGAGCCTCCCTCGAGCCATCTCATCGGGTTGAACTCCATCGCGTCTTGCCCCCACCGGGACGCAACTCTGCTGAAATCAGCGTGACCCGAGCACAGCAAGATAAAAACATTACCTTTGGTACGAGGCAATGGCCATCGTCACTACTTGTCCCTTTCGAACGTGGATCGAGTCGATCTTCCGCCCGTGGCGATCCAGAATCGGCTCAGAAAGAGGGATGACGTCGTCTGCATACGCGAGGCGGTCGGTCAGAGGTTCGGCCGGGAACATCCGGAGAGCCTCTTTGATGACTGCGTTGAGCAGCGGGAGCTGGTTGTACGGCTGGCCCGGCAGACGAGCGAGTATCTCCGCTCGAAGTTTGTCTTGGAGCGAGGGGTCTCGGGCGAGAGCTATCAGACAGAAGACGAGCGTGTTCGCCTAGTGCAGCCACAATTAGGTCGAGAGCGAAGGCTGGGAGAGTCGCGCACCGTAGTATCTTGACCGGCAACAAGGAGAATGGAGGTTTGGGCTATGAGCTCTTCGGTACTGAGTTTCTTGGTCGCCGTTCCTGCTTTCCCCCATACTAGGAGGGACTAAGAGAGATCGCGGGTCTCTCAATCAAGCGGAGGAGACGCACGAAGTAGATCGTATACATCGTCAGTTACTTGGTTCTCGCTGGATGCCTGAGCGCGCAATTTATCCTCGACAAGCGTGCGTCCTAGCGCCAAGCCAAGGTCACGACCGCGGTTCACTGCGTCCATTGTCCCGACCCGAAAACTCAATAGCCAATCGACCAAGCGCCGGGGGAGGTAGTTGCTTGTGAAATCGCTCGAAAGCAGGTCTCCTTTTGAGGATCTCGCCGCAGTCCGCCTGGACTCATTGGCCATGGAAAAGATACGTAGAAACACTGCTCACAAAAGATGTGTGTTGAGCTCGACGAACTCCGGATCAAGTTCTTCGACAGAGCGGCTGAATATAGCTGAGATAAAGTCAGCCCCCTCCACATTGACCATGTGTCCTTGAAGAAACCTAGCGAAATGGCAGATAATGTTGCAGCAGAGAGAATCTCTGCGAAATCGAGAATCTTAGTCGGGCTTGAGTCGATTTGTTCCGAGATCTGTGTGAGATTGTTCGGTCGCTCTCCCGCAGACAGAGGATGGACGGAACATACGCCTTCAGCAACTCGCTCGAAGATAGCTTCGTAGCTTTGGACCACAGAAGCGGTGAAAACCCCATTCAGAGCAGTGCGTAAATGCCGATGCTGAGGGCCCGCAGCTGAGCACGGTTGGGCGCGGATAAGTCCCGATACCGGATCCCGGAGTTTGGCTACTCACCTCTGACACTCTCTACGCTATCCATTCCAAAGACCATACGCATGTATGTTGCAAGGGGGAGCGCATGATCGTAGTTTGGGCTGTTGAAGACGTGATGCATGGCTACTGGGTCCCCCAGTACAATTTGAGTCCGCTGCGAGCGGAAACAATGGTGAGCTTCCCGCTGTGATTGCCAAGGCTGCTTGTAGGCCACGCACCCCAAAACAGGCCCGTATCCGATACACGCTTCCAAATTGTTTCAGCCACGCAAATTCATACTGGCCATAGACCGGCGCGAGGAGCAATTCGACCAAGTTTCCTAATCAAGTATGACCCAGTCGTTTGTTATATTATACAGCAAGAGTGAAGAGCCCACCGTATAGCCACGACGATGACTTGGGACCTGGCAGATCTGGAATGGATTTCCCTGTCTGTCTTGAGAAGAAGTAGACGCCTACGAGCAGGAGTGAAATTGCAGCTTGGAGCAGCGGATACATGGTCACACCCATGGCTGGTTCGAACAGTTCGACGGCTCTCCTTTTGTATTCTCATTAGTCCGACCTCAGCCGACCCGCGACGTCAAATAGTCTATTTGACCTGAGAAACTTTCCCCTGTTTAGGATCGGGTCGGCCGTACTTGAGGGATTTGTGCGGCTTTGTGGAGTAGAAAGCGAGTTGAGTGGATAATGGGTAAATCTTACCTTACCTGAGCGAAGAGGATCAAATATGTTACATACAGCTCATAGATCTCGCTTGTGTTTGTCTCAATCCAGGCTTCTTATTTTATCCCACCAGAAGTTCATTCGAATTTTAACCCCCCCTCTCAAGAAACTTGATACGAAATCCGGTTTGCGTGGATCAGAAACCTGCATTTGTGAGCTGCGTGTTATTGAGCCAATTGCCCGTATCTTGGATCTACGTCAGCTGATGTCAACTACTCGTAACTGATTTGTCCTCCAGTATGGCTCAGAGAGCTCAGACCCACACCTGATTCGGCCATGTGACTTGTATTCCCAGCCTCCAAGTCTTGCTGATGATCAGGCCAGAAGAACATGCACATGTATACACATTAGTGTATCACCGAAGGCTCATGTACTGCATAAGCAATTTATAATGTCAAACCACGACATCCTCCTTGGTGAGTCATGCAGGAACGACAAGCCGAACCTACAATTCACGCTGTTCGAGCGCAATTGAGGATACTGGATAGCCCGAAAATTCCATTCGGATTACGGTCAGGGCCTCCGTGAGTTGTCCAGTTGCAGGGGGAAAAATCATGAAACTGAATGTTGAAGAACATCTGGCAAGGACTTGATCGGTCAGTGTAGCGATCAAGTTTCAACCGCAGCACTCGTCCGAGAGAGCTTGACAAACCGGTTTGGAGAAGGATCTCACTTGTCCGGAATTCGGATTGAGTGAGAGACCTCGAAGCTGTCACAAGGCACACGCACCGTTCACCATCTGTGCATGAAGCACACTCGGACAGCGGCGGCTTCGACATCGACTTCCTTTCTATTTTTGGTGTCCCTCATGTGCAGAACGTCGGCTGCGGCTGCTTTGCGTCCGGCTATTGTATTGCTCTTGATTCACCCGACGAATCGTACTGATAATGATGTAAGCGATAGGCTGATATAGTACATGCTGCATACCGAAATCCGCGCTGAAACCGGTCCAATTCAAATAGTTGGGATTTGTTCAAGCTGGATCCTTGAGTACGTTCCGTTTAAATGCGGCGTATTTCTGAATCAGAAGTGGTTATCGGTCGGTACTCGAGGTTGTGAAGCAATGGGCGGACCACAGACTATGATTAACGAGGGATGACCTCAGTTCGGCGTCCCCATTCTGCCATGGAGGTGGCGATCCGGACAAGGAACATGTGAATCGATGCCGACGATAATTTTCTGCACGTTCGTGTGTAAATGCGAGGCTCCGAGCCTGTTCAAAAGTTCAAGTAGATCGTCGATTGCAATTTGAGATTCGATGTAAGTATTCGATCTAATCCCTCCACGACTAATCTTACTGGGTTGGCCATCTTTTGAAAAAAGCCAGATTTATGAGATATGGTAATATGCGTCTTATTCAGGAATTGTTCTGCCAACTGTCAGTCGACGAAATTTCAGTGCAAGGTCCGGGAACACGGCTCGTGGCTCATGGGTGTGGAAGCAATCATAGAAATCAAACACAAAGAAGAGAGAGCAATCGGAGAAGAGGGGGAGAATTTATCTGATTTGGATAGCTACTGTCTGAATACTCAGCTCTATCGGAGCGGACTGTGGGCAGCGATAGCGTGCAGATCAGAACGGCTCCAGTGTTGAGGCTATGCAAATCTTTGATAGCGGCTCGGCACGATGAACCGAGCCTTTTCGGAGATAATTCCTCATTTGGGCTAAGAACCCGCCAATGAGAATCAAACGATTTTCGCAACAGTCGGTTCGGACAATTCCGAGTCCGAATTTCTCCGGAACAGCGTCCGTCACCTCACTTTCATGTGAGAACGCTATGCTAATTCCCACTTGCCGCCTTTCCACCCAACGTTTTGCGTCTTCCATCCCTGAAACACGCCGCCATCTGGTATTTGTCACCACACACTCATGGGGGGCTCTATGGAGGAGAGATTTCGGAGGATTTCAGATGGATGACGCATACATTTTGTTCCATTATTGTATTCGCTCAACCGGTGAGTTCCAGACATTCCTTGTACTTTGCAATGTGTATTCTATAGTCAATACCACCCCAATCTCCTCTGCTCGACCTCAACATCAACGCAGGCATTATGTGCTATTATCTCTCCTGCCATTCTGGGCCCACATTCCCTTGATTCCGTCGCCGTGTCGCGCGCGCGTCCTTGACTGCCTGTGGACCTTGCGCGTACAGTGCCAAAACCTGGCTCTCAGGGATTTCTCGAGTGCGGAAGGTACGGGGAGGCTTCGGGTGACGTGCCAGTATGCACTTGCATTTGGCACGGTTCCCCCTGCCTCCGCATGTCCACCGGCGCTTGCAGTAGTCATTGAGACATACCGCACAGCGGTCTCCCTCTCCTGGTGCTCGTGTAGCATGCACCTCATATGGATGAAACCGTGGTGCTCCAAGTCCCTCTTGCCGTTCGGGCATCGCCGAAAACCGACCTGTCTGAGCGCTCGGGGCCTCAGGGCTCACCGCCATCACACCTAGTCCGGTATCGTCATTGTCGTTCCGTTGATTTGTGGGCATGAGCGGGGCAGAGACGCCCGCTCCGTCCTCGTCGTCCGCGTTGAGGGCAACAGTCGGAGAGATGATGATTCCTGCTGCGACCCCGAAGGACTCGTGTTTGGGCAGATCTGAGAGTAACATGTCAGTGCGTTCAACAAAATCAATTTACACTTACCATGAACAGATATATCTTCCTCGTCCGATACATTGGTGAGCAAGATGGCCGGCAAAGCATCCATAGCATCCGTTTTGCTGAGCATGTCAAGGAACGGTTGCCGAGCCGAAAAGTTGGAACCTGTCGCAAGTGTTGAAAGCTCGGATGATCGTGCAATAACTCGTTTGTGGTGGGCCTCCAGCTGCGTCAGGATTTTGTAGTAGAGCCTCTGATTTGGATCAGTTACTGTGCGGGATTGTCCGTTTACCATCTTGTTCCAGAATGCGGTGAATTTATCGAAATTGATATTCTTCCATTGTTCGTGACCCAGATGGATGGCTCCGCCTCGCCGATAATCCACATCGTTGATGTGTGCTTTGAAAGCCTTGAATTCTGCGAAGGTATGGACGGGGAGAACAGGGTACAGCGTGAGCTGTCGGAGTTGGAGGAAGCGGTACTGATTCGTCGGCTTAGTTGACAGATGAGTAAGAGTGTGCGCAGGCATTTCCCGATGATGAGGGACACCTGTAATCCGAGGCCGTGGCAGCGTAGTCATCTTGTATTCCTCAGCAATTGCTTGTGAGATGGGAAGGATTCCCAGGGACTCGTTTGTTGCAATCCGAGTCGGCAGAAGCCGTGGTAACGGGAAAGATGGTTTCACCCCCACAAGAACAGCGAACTCCACAATCTCATCGCGATCCCACAATGCATAGTGCCCTCGATATCTCTTTCCTGTGCGGTTATGAAATCCAACCTGCAACAACATGAGATGAACTGTGTATTTTACTGGTGAACATTGAGCAAACCTTGATATTCCGTCGTAAGATCCAATTCAAAAGCAAGTATTCAGCAAGTTCCGGTGACGCACTAAGGGAACCAAAGACCCGGCGAACAGCCATGTGAACTCCGCCTTCGAGCGAGTTTGTTCCCCTCACTGTGCGATAGATATTTAAACCGTCACGGTCCTGACCCATAAGGTAATACAACGGGACTGAGACCGGATCGGAGAGGTAACCGAGTCTGGCTGTCTCGCGTAAGTTCTTCCACATTTCTCGGGCCTCGGTCGTAAAGAACAAAGGGGAACCTGGGCGAGCAGTGCATTTGAGATCTTTGTACGCCTCAAAGAGCTTGTCAAGACGAGGGAGGAGAATGCGAGGTGGTGGGATAATTCGGCGAATCCTGCGGTACAGCTGGGATGCCTGTGCACGCTTGAAGTATTGCCAGCTTATCCCGTGTCTCTCTAGAACAGTGCGAACGGCGGCTTCATCGCTCTGATCACGTATGAAGATACTCTCGCTGAAATCATGAGCAAAAGCTTTATATGCGGAGTTCTTTTTCGAAAGAAGTCGCAGGACACGGTCCATGAAATGAAGAGCATCGTCTAGAACACGTGTCGGAAGTATCACAGGTCCAGTCAAGTTCTGGTGAACAACATGAGCACCATGGTTGAATTTATCAACAAGAGTCTCTTCGGCGGATTTCTGCAACCAGGTAGTAATGTGAGCTTCGCCTCCTAATAGATCCAGTTTAGTAATACAACAGTCGCTTACCGCATCAACGTGCATCGAAAGTGTGTTGAACGTGAATTCTACGAACTGTGGGTCCTCAGAATCCCAGTCTTCTGAGCTGCTGTTATCTGAGTCGTCAGATTTGTCGTCTGTATTGTCGTCTGAAGTTGGTACATAAGGAATGAATTCCGGATACTCGTTGATCTCAGCAGGCAACGCCGGCACACCCAGCAGATTCCCGATTGGGCGGACATTGATGGGATCAGATCCGCTGCGGGTCCGAAGCTGGGAGGTCGTGGCCACAATCCGGGAGCCATGGGCGGCAATCCATTCGACGGTTTGTTTGTGCAGAGCGTGTATGTCTCCTGGCACAAGAACCTTGATTGGCTATAAATATCCTGAGTAGCGCCAGAGGAAACAAAACTGACCTTGGTGATGCGAACGAGCGAGCGGCTCAATGTGATGTTGATCCTTGTTGTCGATCCGTTGACATCCACAACTGCATGAATGAAACCGGGGTGTGCGCCCACAATCTCGCCCTCGAGAACGGGCTTGCACCCATGCACCAACGTGACCAGCTGCCCATCTGTGATGGCCTGCTCGGCTGAAAGTGGCAGTCCGACTCCGGCTTGAGTAGCCAGAGTCGAGTAAATCTGCCACTGACAGTCAATATCGTCCCATGGCCCATTTCCCGACTGAGACCCAGTGTAACACCGTCTCAGAACAGTCCCAGACAGTGCGTGCAGAGAAGCAGAATCATCGTTCACGGAACCCTTCAACTTTGCAAATTTTCCCAAATCAAGGAATCGGGGGACTCGTGATCGCAGGAGAGTAGAAAGCTCCCTCAGATGAAAGACCTCAACGAGGTGTTCAATTGAGGCACGAATGTTGTATCCCACTTTCACAAATGACGGGTTGGTAAGAATGGCGTAGAGAGAGGGCGGGAATTGGGAGTGCGTCTCGTATGCCGACATCTACAACTAAGTGAGTACAGCTCAAGATGTATAAATCCACTTGCTTACCTCGAGAAGTAAAATCCTATCAACAGTGCGAATCTGAATACTGTCTATCCGTCTTCCCGTGGTGTAATTGTTGGCCGTTACACTCAAGACAAGGACACGGAGATCATTATTAGCACTGGTCCGAGCTGTTCCCAAGGCCTCATCCAAAATCTCGTGTGAAACGGCTTCGATCTGCAGAGCATCTGAGATTTTCTGAGGAAGAACGGCTGAGCTCCGCTCAAAGACTGGTAGGTCCGACCAATCCGTGATGGGAACAACATTCTTCTGTAGCTCAGCGTTCAGGCTCTCGTGAAAAGAACGCTCCACTAAAAATCATTCATGTAAGAACGGTGTGTAACCAAAATACAAGCACGATCAAGACTTGCCTCGTGGTGAGTCGGTATACAAGATCTGCGTTGGTGTATGCCCGCAGTTCTTCAAGCTCTCGAGAATTCGTTCGTACATCTCCTTAATGAAGTCCAGGGACTTAGTCATGGTGAGAGAATGACCACGGATCTCCTCAAATTCGTTGCCAATTGTGTACGCCTCTGTGAATATTTTCTTTCCCTTGATCCCCCCCATATGTTTAAGAAACTGTTGTGCGAAGGTCAGTGTCGGCCTCCGTACCAAAAAAAAAACAGATGTACATCGAAGGTATGGTCAGCCTTTGCAATAGTGAGAGGTAAAGTAGCCACGAAGCGTTCGATGAAAATTCGTTGTGCAGACATATAGTCCGCAAACATTGCCTTGAGATACGAGACTGAGGGAATATATCCAGCATAATTGAGCTGATCTGTGAACGCAGGGAAGGATTGCTGAATTCTGAGCCCGTAAAAGCTCGCAGCGCCAAGGTACATAAGCTCCCGGTCCGCATGTGACCGATACTGCATCTCTGCGGCTAATTCTGAGAACGGTGCAGGTCCGAAGCGAGCTGCAAACGTATTGGACATCATACGCATCATGGATTTTGACACGGCGCCTTGGGTGGATAGATACGCTGCATACAATACTTATTGGAGAGTTGGCTGTGCAATTGTCAAAATGTCATACCAGGGAAAGCAGCTTGCACAAATCGAGGGAGTTGCTCGATAATGTGGGGATCAGTGCCTTGGAAGCTCTTTCCGCATCCGGGATCCTTGTCTCGACGACCATCACAGAGGAAACGATTGGTCAAGAGGAAGAAGTCATCCGGAAGTGATCGTACTCGACGAGCAGTTGGGTTCGAGTTGTAACCCGAGCGGATTGAGAGAACTTTCCAAATATAAAGAGGAAGAATTCGCTCACCGTTCAATGACAAGTGACTACCGCAAAGACATTTGAATTGCTTAGGATGTCCAGGAAGATAGGGAGGAAGCCAAACGAAAGTATCGCGTAGGCATAAGTCCTCCGGGTTGAGACCCTCCGGCGATACACTTCCGACAAATAGTGCAAATATAGGGTGAGAGGGTCGTTCGAACAACTGCCTGTTCTTGTAGCACAGCGGCATACCGTGCATGTTGATCTCAGCGACAATGCGTTTCTGCAGCTTAGTTAGATACCGCTCAGAGACAGAGTCGTTCGTAGCCTCGGAGTCCTCTGTCTCGGCCTGCGCTGCCTGATCATCCGCAGACGCGTTCTCCTCTGCTAACTCGTCCGTCAAAGACTCCTCAATCATATTCCCGGTCCCAACGGTGATATCCCCATGCTCGTTGTTCTCCTCAATGAAATCCATGTTGTCTTGTATCTGTGCGAGGTCGGTGTCTGTGAGAATGTGTGGTTGGTCTACGAGTGTAAGTGATCAACCTATCGACGAGTTGAGTACAGACACGTACTTGATGCATGACTTTCAGGTCTTTTTCCGAAAGCGGCGGCTGCAGCGGGCTCGACACCGGACCAGAAAGTTCGACGCTGGTCAGGAGCCTGCCGACTTGTAGATCCTGCTCCGCTCACAGAGGCGTTTATTGGCTGTGCGCCACGAGCTGCAGAGTCTGACTGGGATACGAGAGGTACAGGCCGATGGGTATTTCGGGGGAGAAAGAACGCGGGGACGGGTGCGTTTGCGTCCAAGTGATAGATTGACGGTGTCTGCGTACGAGGGAGCGCGGGCTGCTGCTCTGGTGCCGTAGCAGGTGTCTTCTTTTTTCGACCCGCGCCGGGTCGCGGTCCACCGCGACCAGTTTTCTTAGTTGGAGGATTGGCCGGAGGAATGTCCATCGCGTATAAATTGGAACGCAACGCGCACGCTGCGCGCACGGGACTCAGGATGATGTAGATGATTGATACTGAGTCTGACAGCGTGGTGAAGCTACGTAATCAACGGATCCGATCGGATCATGCACAGCAATTGGCCCGTGCCCTAATCGGGACTGGAGCCCCACTGGCATGATGAACGAGCCGGGAACACTGGACTTCATCAGGCCCGCGAGGGACTTGATAGCCGACTCTCGGACCATTCCGGCTGCATGCCGCTCGCTCATCAATCATGATTCATGTATTGCTCTTACCTTGAACTTCAACCATGGCAATGCAAACCAACCCTGGCACGACTCGGACTCCGAGCCTCACAGCCCGCATGGGACTCGCTTGCTACAAATGCTGCAAAGAAGAAGACGTGAAACTGTCGAGATGCACGGGCTGCCTGAGAATTTCGTACTGCAGTCCACGTGCGTCGCCTGTCTCCCGTCGTTTGGTGTCTCTACCCGCTCTGCTGACCTCTTTGCACACAGAATGCCAGAAGGTGTGATCTAATCTGGACCTCCTCCGAGCGATTGGTCATCCAGGGCATGTTAGGACGACTGGCGCACCCACAAGCCCGTCTGCAAAGCAGTCAGCAGCATCGAAAAGAACCCGATCGCATTACCGACGCTCTTGTCTGAGGCCACGACGGATCTTGAAGCTCTACGTGTCGTTGGAAAGGCTCACGGAAATTACATGACATCGTCTCTTCAAAGGAGCCTGGGCCGGTACGGACGTCGATTGATTTGTGATCACTTATATGGATCGACTCAGCCATCCACAGACCATTGGAGGCTCCAGAGTTGAGTCTGGTTGGATGGGAACCGAGATGTATGGGATGGTGAGCGTGTCGAACTGTCTCGACCACCAACTCACGCTTTGGCCACCCAGTACCCGCACTGAGCAACGTCTCCGCATTGAAGCTGCTCAGAACGGATCGACATCGACATCGACGTCCAGTGCACCGCGCCTGATCCCCTGTCCCGCGTGCAACCTCAGCTTCTGCTGCTCTGCTGCGCACTGGTCAACCGCCCACGCCCTGCATAACACAGTCTACGAAGATGGCCCCGATGGGCTGTCACAATGTGCGCTCAATCAACAGATTCGTGGAGATGTCAACTTTGAGAATACCATGATTAGTACGGGGCACGATCCCGACGGATTGTTCGTGTGGGCTCCCGAGCGTCTCTGTCCGGCATTCCGAACGCTCGCGGGAGCTGGGGGCTGGGAGCAGGAATTTGGGGAGATGATGCGCAAGGATGTGGGTATTCCTTCTCACCGTCCGATGGGCCCGTGGATTCGTGCAATGTCCGTTCATATGTCGATGCCCATGACGATTCTGCATGTGCTTGAGACGTTCGATGGAGAAGATCTCGGGTGGACCAAGAGAAAAGAGTTGACCATTCATGTTTGTGTCTCAGATTTTGGTTTTCCTCTCGATGTTAACGACCCTTTAGCTCCTCGGAGCGTTTATGAACGAGATCGTGGGTGGGATGGTTTTCGAGGAAATATTACATCGGTTGCCTGGGCTTCAGACTCTCAAGGTGCGGCATCTGTGCTCAACATCCTTGAGGTCCTCTGATATAAAGTGACTCGCAGTTGGTGCTATGCGGCCCACAGATGCCAGGGGGTGCGTTTCCACGCGAAATTCCTATGGGAACTTGCCCGTGAGTGCAATTGCAAGTATATGTAGATTGCTCTGGACGAAATTTCTCCAGTAAGTGCTCGAAACGCGGACGAAAGCGGATCCACGAGCACACTGCTGAGTATGTCTGCCTCTCTGCATTCATTTCCAGCGGCCGATGTTCACACAGCACCTATCATTCATACGTTCGCAAACAAGGCACAAAATATACACGCCCTGACCTTGCCATTGCATTCAATTCGGGAGCGTCGCAAGAGTCCCTCCACACTTGGCCTGAAACTCTCAAGGTGCTGATCGACAAGAAGGTGCCCTCAGTGTTTACGGTGAGTGGCGTCTGGACTCTGAACTGTCGTCCATGACTTTGATCGATGTTCGAACGAACAAAAGGCTTATAACAAGGAAGAGGCCGAAGGCGAGGCAGCACTATTGCGTGAAGCAGGAGCGAAGTTGATTCCAGAACTCGGACCATGCAAGAATCCATGGGCGAGTATGAAGCTGATTGCGGAGCCAAATCACGTGTATGGTTACACTGCCGTGAATGGATGGTTTGCTGGGGGTTTCAAGTCTGGATAAAAGGATGATTGAATAATCAGTAGTTACGTTCAGTAAATACCGCTTCCACAGATCCATCACTGAATGGAGTATTTTTTGGACACCCTACACAATCTGCTTCGTTTCAAGTGCACAGGCTCAGTGCCGGTCAATCATCGATGCGTCTGTGTCACGCGTGACCATGCAAACGATGGCATCACCGTCACCCACTGCACCAAGTCTGACCCCTTCGCTGTCCTATCATGTTCCCGCTGATAGAATGCCCATCCTGCTCTCCTTCTGTGAGTTCGAGATCGTGAGCGACTTTTTTTGGTGCTGAATAAAGCGCGTTCAAAAACTTCCAGCCACAAAAGCGACGAAAAACGCTCCGGAAAACCATCGACTAGCACCACACAGAAGCTACAGCATCCAGTTCCGTCATCAACAGCCTGAGACCCATCTCTGTACTTTCACGTATCGTGCACGTCCACACCTTCGCGAGCGGCCGCTCGACTCAGTCCAGGGATGCACGCTCGTGTTCACATGCCACGCCCATATACAGGCTGGTGATGCAGGAGCAGACGCTTTGGCATATGCCGACGCCGCACACGAGTACTGGTCTCACCGAAGACACTTCCTGCCGTACCAGAGCCCGAGCGCGCCGGCAATGCTCCATCGAATGTGCATGCGCATGCGTATACTGTTGGGACACAAAACCTCATTCAAGCTCGACGCGCTCATGTCGAAGGCGTGCGGGAGCAGATTTAGGAGATTACAGTTGGGGCGGTCGCGTCTGAATGCGTGAAGCTTGTCTGGGCTGGTCGAAGGCCACCGGAAGCTGCCGGACTTGGGGAGATTGGGCATCGATGGGAGTGAGAAACGGGGAGGGATACCGGGGGGTACGGCTGCCGCTCTACTGACAGCTCGCCTGGGTGGGCGGCATCGACGCCGACGGATCTCTGTGTGCGAGACTTCCCGGTCGACTTCGCCGCAGCCCAGGGACTGACTCGACTCGACATCGCCCCATACCTCTTCCGATCCGTCCGGCTCCACGACGTTGTCTCAACCGCTGTCCACCCTCCAGGCCTGTCCGGATCTCGAAGTTCTCAGGCTCAGAACGAACGCTCTATCTGCGTCAGCTGGAGTGACACGCCCCGCTGCTAGGCTCCCCAAACTCGAGTTCCTGTGGATTCAAGAGGAAATCGACACCTCCGCGAACCTTTTGACGCAATCGAGCCTTCTTCCAAACACGCGCCTACACATCTTGGACTTTGGGGTGTTCCGCGGTGTAGATATTTCAGATCTGCTCGTTCCCATACGCAAACGTGAATTCTGGCGCACCCAATTTGCGGGCACTCAGCATCCCATCGTATGTCAACGAAGACGGTCGACGTTCCCATCTAAGCATCCGCGTATTCATATCTTCTGGGACGAAGATTGACACGGATCTTGTGCAGCTGGTGCTCATCATTCATCACGCTAATGAGGCTGCCCTTTGCTCGATCGTGACGAAGAGCCTCAAGACGTTTCCGACCAACGACATGACCTACCTCGACGCACGGGTAAATGGCCAGTCAATCAAGTCCTGGAAGACGGCACTTAAGCTCTTGCCCGCTCTGGAATCTATCTCCCTTTTCGCTCTGTGCTGAATCTTGCTCCTCCGCCCGATGCTGTGCGGCTTGGGCCGCGTCCTCAGGGTATCCTTGACTCGTCTGCAGAGCAATGTGTCGGATGGCGGACTTGATTCCGTCCTCCTCGATGGCCGCAAAGAAGCACAAGGCACCGTCGTTGTGCTCTGGGTTTTTCGTCGGTCGACAAGATGTTTGAGCGTAGGCACGAGTTGGAGGAGGTGCACGTCGATGATCAGCTCTCGGAGGTCAAGCGGAAACGCGAGTCGTGGGACCGGTTGTATGCCCCGGTGAAGAATCTCAAGGAGTTGGAGGAACGATGCCTATCCCGACAGTATCGCGCACTATCCAATCATTGGAGGAAACAGCGGAGAGAGCTCTTCGAGAGGATCGCAGCTTCCTGAGCGAGCTGCGATCCTTATGAAGAGTACGGTGGTTTCTGGGTGCAAAGCACTGATTGTACACAGAATCCCAGAGCTAGTTGATGCCTAATTTACCGCTGCACGGTTCATGTATGTCGTCCTAGCGACCGGTCACGCATCACTGGCCTGATCCGACCCCCCTGCCTTGCAAAATTTGCCATGGCCCTGTGTCAGAGCGCACGGTTGGCTGGGATCGCACCGGCGATCCAAAGGTCCTTTGAAGCCCGGGCTTACATTCACCTTCTTCCCTTCGAGTGCATGTACGCTCCACCATGCCGCGTTACCACCACCCACGATGCCGACGCATTCGGCTTTGGGGGAGATGATCGGAGTCAGAATGCTCAACGCTTGCTCTTCAACGAGTGTAGGACGCGCTTTTGCATGGGTCTGGCTTTCATCCCCGCTATCTTCTCTCGTTGCAGGGCGGGAACCTGAGCCCCGATACCCGGCACTGCGTTGAGCACGGACTGGCGACTCGAGAGGGCATGTGGATCGAGGGCGCGAGGGGCAGCGAATGTATTATAACATGGGCATCATTTGTTTCGGACGGGCGAGGGTAAGCCACGAGCCTCGACTTTGCATGGTATGTATCTGTTTCGTCGTCATGAATGTAATAGCTCTGTCAACTCAAATTGTGTTTGGACAGCGTAGGGTGCTGTAATGGGGTGAAATCTCGGTTGTTGGACATTTGATATGCTTATAGGAAGCGCCGTACGTTGTCCTATTATCCGTAGTTCTGTCGGGCTATCGGACTCGGGTATCAGGTGAGGTAAACACCGTCGAACTGCTCTCGTTATCCCTTGAGCTCAAAGCTCAGCCTTCTCTTCATGCACTCGGAGCCAAGCCCCACAGAAGGACTGTGAAATACGAGCGCAACCAACGACATTCTGCAGAAATGACAATCAGAGCGCCGCCACCGCGCCTTCCATTGCGTGGGCCGAGGATGGAAGGAATGGAATGTTCCGTCGTCCGCGGCGATGTGTTGCATATGCCCCTTTGCTCCGCGCTTTATATTCTCGAACGGCACAGGATGTATGGATTCGCCTACGATCTCACTGTGAGCTCTCTCGTTCTGGAATCCAATCATCTCTAACGGGAAGCTCCTGCCACGCAGCGACGCTTTTGGGTGAACGAAGAAGGCGTCCACACCCGGGGTGTCATCAATTAGCTATACAGGCTCGAATATCCGGGTTGTACGGTACTCCGCGCTGTTTGGGTTGTGTGCGGTGGAACAGTAGTGGTAGGTGAGTTCTTCTCCCAAAGCTTGATCGCGACCCCTTCCTCCAATCTCGTTTCGCGGTGCACGGCATGATGGGGGAAGCCAAAGACTGAGCCCATTTGTGCTTGGGTTTTGGCTTTGGCTTTCTTCATTCTCCTGCTGTGTTGCTCCTCTCCACCGGAGGATTGGTTGCTACTACCGCTGCGCTGCCTTCTTACTGCTGCGAGAGTGCTTCCTGGCCTGTCGGGATCGCTCGGGCTGTAGCTAGTTATAAAGCTGCCCGTGCCTGGCTCTCGCTTTTCCCGCCTCCATCCGAACCCGCCGCCCTATCCGCCGGGCTCTCCTCTTCCCCCCTCTCCTCTCCTCTGCCCGCCCAGCATTAACCTCCGCCACTCTGTCGTTCCCACAGATCATCCCGATGGCCGATTTTGAAAAAGGCGACGACGACACGATGTCGTGGCAGCATTGCAATCCGTCGGATTTCCGGCATTCGCTCGACGGCACCGTCAAGGCGACCACGACCGCATCCCATCTCGCCAGCTCATCGTACCACCTCAATCATTCGCCGCAGTTTCCCGAAGGATGCGCACAGGGCTATTTGACCGTGTTTGGAGCCTTCGTAGCGCTGTTTTGCACGTTTGGACAGATGAACACGTTCGGCACGTTCCAGGCCTGGTATTCACAGCATCAGCTCAGTGCGCTGGAGCCGTCGACTATTGCGTGGATCGGGTCGCTGCAGCTGTGGATATTCTTCTTTTCGGTGCGTGGCTTGTGCTCTGCCGCTCTCTCAGGGCCTGATTCAGCTGCTCATTTAGGGCGGACCAATCGGGCAGGTGTTCGATGTGTATGGCCCGCGGTGGATCATGCTTGCGGGGACAGTGATCTATGTGCTGGGGATAATGTTAACGAGCATCTCGACGCAGTATTACCAATACTTGCTGGCACAGGGCATTCTTTTTGGGCTGGGTGTTGGCTTGATGTGCGTTCGGCTGGTTCCTCCTGATATCCTATTTTGACCCGCCGCAGGTTCTATCCCTCTTTGTCGAGTGTGTCGACATACTTTTGCAAGTATCGCGCCACAGCCCTCGGTGTAGTTGCCTCCGGCTCGAGTCTAGGTGCGTTTAGGCATCTGCCGAGCCATGGCCTGCATCTGAAACAGCATAGGTGGCGTGATGTATCCAGTTATGCTGCAGCGATTGTTCGAACGCGTAGGCTTCGCATGGGGCGTTCGGATCTCGGGCCTGATAAGTGGCGCACTATGTTGTGTGGCTTTGGCCACGGTCACACGCTATGCGCCTCCAAAACAGCGCGGGGCTGCCTGCCGGGTCAAAGACACTTTGCGCGATGGTCGGTTCATGCTGCTCGCGGCAGGGAGCAGTTTGGTCGCTCTTGGTACGACCCCAGCCCTTCATTTCGTGCGTTTATTAAGCTCGTTCCGTCGCCAGGTCTTTTTGTCCCCTTCTTTTTCATCGTCGACTATGCGCACGATCTCCACGTTCCCGAAAACATGACATTCCCCGTGCTGGCAGTCATGAACGCTGGTGGCGTTATCGGCCGAATCGCCCCAGCTTATCTCTCTGACACTTTCGGCCGATTCAACTTGCTCATCCCCGCTGCTTTTCTCTCCGGTGCACTCTCCGTGTTCTTTTGGCTCTTTGCCCGGTCGCTGGTCTCCTTAATGTTGTTCGCGGCTGCGTATGGCTTCACATCCGGTGCCTTCATCTCGGTGATTACACCCTGTGTCGCTCAGATATCGGATATCAGGCAAATTGGGAGCCGCATCGGGCTATTGTATACTATCATTTCGTTCCCGTACGTGGCTTTCATTCATCACAATCACCTCATCTCATGAAACCCAGATCCCTCGCCGGCGGGCCAGCAGCCGGGGCCTTGCTCCAAGCGGGTAAGGGCTCCTACACCGGCACGATTCTGTTCTCGGGAATCGCCGTCATGCTCGGGTCATTTGTCATCCTCGCCGCGAAACTCAAGATTGATTCGAGAATATTCGCGCGCGTCTAATGTAGAAGTTGCTCATCACGATTACGCAAAGTCAAAGCCTCTCCGCCTGCCAGGGTCGACGCGAGCTTGCGCCTACCTCTAAATAACGCTGTGCTGGCGGTGAATGGCTGTTATGCTTATTACGACTCGGCGGGCTACGCCCTCGAGATGTGGCGGTCGGGGCTGGCGGCACTGTGGATCCTTGCCTCTGAGATGTATAATGTACATTATGAAGGACCTCATGTTCAATTGATTGCATGCATGCATTGACTCATCTTCCACGCACAAACCCGTCATCACTCGTGAGCCTAACTACATACTCCCTATGTGACTTGTCTATACTCTGGTATCTCAATTAAGGAGCCCAAAAATCGAACCAAGCATCACGTGCACGAGTTTCGAACGGTGGGAAGACATCCGTCACGTGTACTGATGAAGCCCGTAACATCGTGCGCGTGATTCTTGTCAATCATGGCGAGACGCAAGGAAGCGCGTCTTGTTTCCAGAGAAACCAATCGAAGAGACGGCGGAGCGCCTCGAGTGGCCTAAATCATGCGCGAGTCGAGACTCAGAACGAGCACCCAGCCCAGCAGAGTTCGAGAACTGTGCGGCGCAGCGGAGTCCAGAAACCTTCTCGGTTGCCCCTCAATTCTCTACGATATCTTCCTGTCCATTTCATCTGCTCAGAATTCCACTTACAGTATGGTTGGAGACATGATACATCATCAGACCGGAATGGTTAGTTTCCGCTTCACGTGCCTGCCCCACATCAGCTGACGCGGGGTCGATCATTGCGGGGTAATACCTCCATTCAGTCAAGCCCACCGAATGAAGGAGGTGGGAGCTCGAGGGGCCGAGAACGCCCGAGGTATATAAAGCAGTGAGAATCAGACCCCTCCTGCTTCTCTACCACCACTACCACCGCTGATCCATTCCTTGCCGCTGAGCCCCCATCCATCTGCATCCCCACTTCTCTCTGAACACTATTATGGCTGAAGTCGAGTCCCCACCGTCACCCACCGTCGAGATCAACGACGCGATCTTCTGCCACCATCTCAAGGAAGTCGTGCGTAGTGATCCTACTGATATCCGTCGCAGCACCGCATGCTCACACGACCACCCAGTGCACCGAATGTGACTACGACGGGCGGGAGGAGAACGACGCCTTCTTCGGGTTTGACCCCATCAATCGCGAGGGCATCGAGGCGCCGCCGACAACGACGACCAAGGATGGCGAGTATCAGTGCAAGAAGCACGGCGCGGCTGGTGAGACCTCTCTTCGCTCTCCGTGGTAGCGGTGCTGAGCGCAGGGATTAGGATGCACCCAGTGCTTCGGATGGAAGAAGCAGATCACGCGGTTGCGCACTCAGGCAAAGAAGCACAAGAAGTAGTCATATTTGTGCCAATGAGAAATGTATCTGTACGTGTAAGTATGCGAGACCCAATGAGGGACCATCATTCCAATATTGCGTATGTCCTATGCCTGAGGTCTGTGACGGGCTGAAAGAATCATGCAGTCACCTGCCCTGGCCCTTGAGACGACCACCTGGCAGCGGAACAGTCCGGTTCTCCAGAGCGTCCCCGAATTCGCGGAGTGTGCCGGCAGATCGTTACATTGTACACGAGAAGCAAGCCGTATCTTCTGGCACTGGTCGGACATGATTGCAAGCGACAAGGTTGACCATTTGGAGACAGCAATACGCTCCCATTTCGGAGAGCAGTACGATGTGGTTTGCTACGAGAAATGAACATTATGCACACTCAAAACATACGAGACATTGCAACGCACCTCGATCTATGTGGGTCAAAAACGTACGACTTCCTAAGCCCCTGGTCCCGTGGACAGGTCGATATCCGAAGGGATCGAAAGCCCCTGTGCAAAGCCCACTGCGAAGTGATGTCAAAACAACGTAGGCTGCAGCACCAGACGCTTACTGAACGAGACACCATTGAGACGCACGGGCAGGCGCATCCAGTCTTCCATTTCTGGCATCTGATCAAGCACAACCTTCGCCCACTAATGTCTGCCGGCCACAGCTTCTGCTTCCACTGAAGAAGCACAATGCGCTCAGGCTAGAAACTAGATGGGATGAAGTGCAAGTCAAGGCTCGCAGGATCCATATAAGCGAGAACAGGAACAGGACGCTAAGCAGAGCGCAGGGTCGGATTAGTGGTTCATCACGATAAGCCTGGCATCCCCGTCAAGTCGAAATTAGTGCTAGCAGCGGAGGGCCACGAGTGAGGCGCAACAGCCGATACGGACATGAGCTCTCCGAAGGCACCAGCCATCTCTTCATAGACGTTTGGAAGCCGATGTGCGGTCGTGCCGTGTTATATCCGTGCGGTGCGAATCGTGTCTAAGCCTCGTCCATCGTGCCTTCAGACTGGGCCTTCTAACCTGGAGCCTTCACACGCCCGGCAAACACGAGATGAGACGGTTCCCGTGCATAGCCTGAACAGATCAGGGCTGCTCATCCGCCTCGACGCGAAGACCAAGTCCGGCATGGGCTTGGTCCCGTTGGGCACATGTTCCGCAGGCCTGTGACAGAAGTGCGAGATCCGGATGACTACGTGCCCATATCTCCTGCAGCCTTCCCGCAGTACGCCAGGCGACAAGAATGCGAGGCGAGGGACTCGAGACGGAACGGTGGGTGTGAAGGCGTGTAGGATCAAAGACTGCGGTGGACGCGATCTACATCCTGGGTATGACTTTCCGCAGCAGTAGCAGTGGGGAGACAACGCACTCGTCTTTCTCTGAATTGTCTATCGAGCAATCATATGTCCCCCGACCCTACATGCGACTAGGCGCTCCGATCGCCATCGTGGAAAGAAAAACTAGGCACGACACGACACGTCGAATTCTCTCACGAGCTTGCCCGCCGGGACATAGTCAGGCTTTAGCGACGCCTGACAGAACAGCTGACTGGGATATTTCGAGAAGTTTCTCATGCGCTGGGCCCGCGATTCTGCTTTGCAACAAGTTACGTCCATTCAGGCGTGGTCGAAGAGGAAAAGAATGACGGCTCGTTCCACCGGCGGATCCCGAACTTTGATGATGTCTCATTGTGGAATCGACGTCCTTCAAGGCTTGGCTCACACTTGAAGGCCAATACTTCGAATGGGATCTATTGGACAAAGTCATCCGTTATCTCAATTACATCTCGTCTCGGGCATCGTCAAGGCTGGCCGGAGAGCTGCAGAGCCGGAACATTGAACTCGAGCCTCCCACCAGTGACTGTCTTCTGTGAAACGCGTCGCCAATACACCACTACACCTGGAGGCTGCAAGCCATGACTCGATATCTCACACGATGTGACTGCGGTCGGTGTCTGGGCTCTACATTAAGGGCAGGGTCTCTCTGTCTTCTTGTTCCCTGCACTCGTCCCCTGCCCGTCGTCTGCAAATGCGGCCCTGTCCGCTGAGAAAGCTGATCAGGCTTTCCCCACCGCGATCTGCAGTGGCCGGAGACGCAGAGGATACATTTGAGGAGAGATCCAAGTCGAGCGAAGGGTTAGGTGCGTTCGACGACTTGCTCTGGCTTTCGCCCTGCTGACGATTGAGTGAATGAGCTTAGTCTTCGTCAACCCTACCCAGGAAACAGCCGCAGACTTCACTTCCACTGCACCTGCCAATAGTTCCGAGGAAACGAAGGAGGCCCAGGCCTCTGGGGCAGCCTCGCCGAGAACGCCAGCCGATACACCCAAAGATCGAAATGAATCTGTAGGCTGTGAGACTGCTGCTCAGAAGAATGTGACGTCCGAGGGGAAAGAGTCTTCTCCGGAAGTTTCGAAGGGTGCTGAGGAACCTCCTGGAGTCCGACCGGAGAACAAGCTAGTCCGCGCTGTCGGTCAGATAGGCGGTGGGCGTTCTCTTCAACTCAGCTCTCCCTTGGCTCAATATGGATGTTCTAAAGCTGATATCGACGCAATCGGTCAATCCGCCGCCTACTCCACCGTGCAGCAAACCGTGACAGATCCGAATGTACAAGCCATAGAATTGAGCGCGTTGAATGGCGTTCCTGCTCTCTTGGATGCACTCCAGACGATTTCTCGGATCCATCCATTTGTAGAATGTGCGCCTCTTTTTAAATGCCCTCTCGAGCTAATCAGTGCTACCTTAGTGGCCTTCCTTCCCTTCAAACTTATCTATATGCAGTGCGTGGCCTGACGGTTGTCATCCGCGGCCGCTAATTTACGCGGACAGGGAGATGGCGAGACGAAATAAGGATCAGAGACGGCTTATCCTGTTCGGGCTGATCAAGGATGTGATGTCGACCCTTGTCCAGTGAGCTCGCACTATCGATCAGATGCGGGCTGCTACTGATGTGCCAATTCATCCAGTCTGGAATTCTTCACAAGCGAATATGCACCCAGGCGCACCACGCGGAATGGACGCCAAGTCGAAAATGAAATCAAGCGCGTGTGCCAGGAGATGAAGAACGATATCGAAGAATGCTACAATGGTGATTGAATCTCTCACAAGCGAAGGAGATCGACCTAGATCTCTTCGACAGTGTTGAATGAGCATGATAATTCCCGCCGCGTTCTCCAATTCCTGAAAGCCTCGAGTTGGAATCAGATATTCTTGGACTATGGGGCGCGGTTCAAGGCTTCACAAGAGAGGCTCGGCTTCGCGATGCATGTCGAGAATACTGTCGGTGTCGGAAAGATGTCAGTCGTGCGGATTCTCGATCCTTCGCGTTCACTGATCAGATCTCAGGTTTCGGATGTTCGTTCGCCTTGCCCATGCAGCGCTGCCGTTCTTGATTGATCGTGTCGATTAGGATCGAACAGCTGGTTCCACCCAAGAGGTCGGATACATTGCAGCAGTCAATGTGAGCCTTGCAACATTCTTTGACTTCTAGCCCGAAATAACTGCGTTGCAGACAGGCGTCGGTCTCTCGAAGTCTCACAAAAGTTGACCGGACTGATCTCCATCATAGGCTTGAACAGAAGCTGGCCGAAGCAGCTTCAAATGCGGCGGATCCTTCTCTGAAGAAATGGGTTGAAGACCATGGCGGAGTCAACGCTGTTCTCGCGTCAGATACGGTATTCAAGGAGAGTCTCGAGTACGAGCACAGGGCGTTGACGCAAACTGATGCCGTCCCGAATGTCGATGTGCCAGCCGAATCACCAGCTCTCCCTGCGAAGAATCGATCTTCCGAGCTTCCCGCTATATCGACGATGCGCAAGCAAGCGCGCAAGTCGCCTCTGACTGAAGTCCACAAGAAGAGGCCGGCCTTCGTCGCCGAATTTGAACAAGAGCTTTCTGCGATCAAGGAGGAAAAGATCGGTGATGTCGTTGCAGTCG